CATTTTAGGTTTTAGCCTTTTAGTACCATAAGCGGTACCAATCCCCAAATTTAAACCCCTAAAAGGTACGACGAGAACCCCCGTCGCTTTTATAGGAAAGTACCCCCGGGGCACTTCCGTCTTAGTAGAATCCAAAATGAAGATAAATCTAGAAAATTAATGATATGAACTGCAAACGAAAGAAACGGGATAAAAAAAAGCGTTGCCCTTATTTTATGGAGTGCTTAAAACAAGAACAATGCAACAAATGGAAAAAAAGATTGACAAAACATCTAATAATACCTTAAGTCTTCCTCAGTGTGACGGCTCGGCGACTGAATCTGGAGAACGGCACTAGTGTTTAAGTAATCCTAAAAAGGAATTAACTGTCACTTTGTCATTGAAGACGTTTCTTTTCTGGTTTGATGAATTATCTTTGGATCAGTTGTCAGCACCTAAGCGGATCAGTTAAGGGAAGCTGCCCACCTACCCCTCCCCTAACCCAATATTTTGCAATCTCTCAATTCTTTATTGTAAATTGTTTTGTTTGAAAGCTGTTGAAAGCTGTTCCTGTAACGACAGGTAGCCGAAGCTCGAAATATGAGCATCGGCGAGCAATCCGCATTGTTGCGTAACATTCGAAATAGGGGGATTTGTTTGGGGAAAAAGCCCTATCGTTTTTCTAACCTACGAAAATGAAAGGATTTCAATAAAAACAGCTTACCTTACATACAATGGGTGTTATATCTCTCCTGTGTGGTCCATGGGCCGATTTATGGCCGCTTTATGGGTTGTACTGTAAACGGTTTTCTCTAGACTACGAGTAGTCCCCCATTTTTCCTCAGGGATAGTAGAGCGAGCGAAACGCGAGCGCGCGTGGAAATCACCCCACGCGAGAAAAGGCGACACACGGCGGGGAGAGAGAAAATAAATGAACAACACTTTTTTAAAAAGGAACTTGGAATCATAACATTGTGTTTATTTGTGCTTTGTACCTTCTAGCAGAGGCAGTGTGCTTTTGCTTCGATGAATCGAATCATATCAAACTCTTACCAGCAATGACACCTACTCCTCCCCAAACCCATGTACCCAACGTTAACAATAACTTCTCACTTTTTGCAAAATGTTGGGTTAGCGGAAACGTTAACTGATCCGTATCTCTCAATTGTTTATCGTATATTGTTTTCATTCCTTGTTGAAAGCTGTTCCTGTAACCACTCGAAATATGAGCATCGGCGACCAATCGGCATTTGTTGCGTAACTTTCAAAATATAGGGATTTGTATGGGGAAAAACCCTATTGCTTCTGTAACCTACGAAAATGAAAGGATTTCAATAAAAAACAGGTTACCTTGCTTAAAATGTGTGTTTCATCTCTCCTGTGTGCTCCATGGGCCGATTTATGGCCGTTTTATGGGTTGTACTATAAACGGTTTTCTCTCTATATGTAAGGTAGCTCAAGCTAGAAATGATCAAAGCATTGTTGCGTAACATTCGAAATATAAGGCGGATTTGTATGGGGAAAAAACCCTATTGTTCTGTAACCTACGAAAGTGAAAGGATTTCAATAAAAAACAGCTTATCTTACATAAAATGTGTGTTTCATCTCTCCTGTGTGGTCCATGGGCATATTTATGGCCGTTTTATGGGTTGTACTGTAAACGGTTTTCTCTCTCTATACAAGGTTTACTAAGGTTGGCCGGGGGTTGGGAACTCCAGCGAAACGGCCCGACGGATCCACCGAAGGAAAAGGGCCCTAAATTCGCTCCAACGGCTCCAATTGCCTCCAAATTACGTCTAGGTAACACACAGTAGTTCTGCTTTCTATTCGTGATCTTTCTTCCAGGCGCATTTGCATCGAGAGCGAATCAACGGTCGCCAATCTCTGCAAACCTTCCCGTCTGAAGCCAGCTACAGAACCTTGGTTTGAACTCCGCGTGACCCAAACGGATGAAGATAGCTCAAGTTACTCACGCTAGGGGTGGGTTACAAAAAAATGTTCCATGTCGAGATCTCAGATCGAGCAGCCAAAATCACACGGAATAAGCGGGCCAGTATGCCCTTTTTATACACAACTTTAGACGCGAAGAAAATTTTCACAAGGAAATAATTCACTTAAAAACTGACCCTGCTCGGTAAAAAGGGCCAGCTCAGCTAACCTGTCTATGGGCTGTCTATGAGGGCTATGTTTTGTCACCCACCCTTAGCGTGAGTCACCATCCTTGGTAAACCTCATATAGAGAGGAAACCGTTTACAGTAGAACCCAAAAAATGGCCATAAATCGGCCCATGGACATCACAGGAGAGATGTAACACAAATTTTAAGCAAAGCACCAAGCTTTTTGAGAAAAATCCACTTTTCAGCATAAAACATGCAAAATCAGGTGAAAAAAATCGGCATTAGGCGATTTTTAGGTTTGCTTGATTAAGTTAGGTAAGCTGTTTTTCACTGAAATTCTTTCATTTTCGTAGGTTACAGAAACGATAGGGTTTTTTCCCTATGGAAATCCTCCCAGGTTATATTTCGAATGGGTACGCAACAATGCGCTCATATTTCGAGCTTGGGCTACCTGTGCTGTAACTTGAACTAAAGATCATGTAGCCTGCGTGGCAGGCGTTTGAAATTAAGAAGGGAAAGGGAGAGGCAGTTGACGCGCGGTGCTGAAATGAAAGGAATGTGGCGTTTAAAATTCACCGATGTTTTCAACCAAGTGTTAACTCAAACATAGTAAAAAAGAGGAGGAAATTTCATTCGATGGGAGGTTGTCTCTGAGATCGTAGCCCAGTTAACTCTGTACAAACCTTTCTAAATTTTTTTGGGTCGACCCCCAAAAAATTAGAAGGGTTAGTATGGAGTTTTCTTCTGAGTATAACCGGCTATCATCTCAGAGACAATTTGCCCCGAAATGCTCATTTTTGGTAAGTAGGCTTCTTGGACATTGTTCTAACAGAATATCCCCGGCTGACAAATCCCATAATTTCAGAAATTTCATTTTCAAGGTCACAACCTCTAAGAGAGATGGGGTCTGGGTCGGTTCCTTCCCGTCATGCACATCGGTAACGCGTGGGAATCAAAGATGGCGGCGACTCGTCGGTAAGTAGTGCTGAACCGAAAGCGGTCTTTTGTGGCTATATTATATCTATAATCCGCGCTTATAAACCCAAGAAAACGGTACCTTATTAGACATATCAAATGTTGGAAACGTCCTTACTCTTTTTTATCAATATTTTTGCGATGTAATATCCTTTTTTTGTGCATGTAAGCACAGCTGATGCACAGTTAGAGAAGAGTATTGAAATATCTCTAGCTATGCAACACTGCCTCGTCTGTTCTTAGATTGATCGGTTCGTTCTGTAGTTACCGAGGCACACATTACGTAAAACAAAAGAAACAATACAACCAAACAATAATCCCCCACCCCTCCCAAGAGAAAAGAACTCTCCTACGCGATTGATCAGTGTTCAAATTGAAGACTGAACGTCTTGTTTTATGATTGGCATTAAAGATTTACTGATTTGTTTTTAAGCAAATTCTTTGAAAAAGCACGGTCTTGCCATACATAATCATAGATTGGTAGTGTTTTCCCATGTCACATTTCACAGGTATACCTACAGGTCATCATACTACAGATATATAGCCAAAAACGAAGTTGTCTCCTTGCCCCATTTACTATCCTATCAAACAGGGTGATGAGATTGTGTTAATCATAGGACACAAGAAGGATGCATATCTTTGGGAATATCCAAATCTAGATTGTGTGGTTCCAGAAAATATCAATTCCATCACCATGGAGGGTATTCTATTTTAGGACCCCCTGCCACATTTCATAAAGAACTGATGACTCCCCATCCCTCCTGAATTTCCAAATGTGTGACAAAGACTCCCAACCCCTCTGGAGAATTTCATTTTCACAAAGAATGATTATCAAAGTGAAAAACAAGGTACACTACGCAGGCCAGGGTGCGGAGAAAGTCAGTTTTACAGCCTACCATTCGGGCAAGCTGAAGCTAGCATGTACTAGCCCACAAGTCATTTCAGCTAGCCCAAAACCCTTTTTGATTAGCAGGATTGATTACAAACGTTCTGTAATTTGAATTTCCCAAAAAAACAGCACATGCCTGTCGGGCAAGTTAAGTACAAAAATCACTAGCCCGATAGCAAAATCCACTAGCCCTGGGCTATCGGACATGACTTGGCATGCTGACTACCACTCAAAAGTAAGTTAACAGTCTTGGCTCGATCCTTGAGACACGAGGATTGGGTTTCAAGATGCAAGGATGGAGTCTTGAGTTTCGGGCTTCAAGGTATCCACGCAAAATTATTTTTGTTTTCTGAAAGAATGATGTTGCATAGTCACGAAGCCATTCAAAAATTCGAACTGATGATCGGTGCTTGCGGTGCAGTGTTCTGTAACTGTTTGAATTGCCAGCTTTCGGCAAGCTTTCAATAAATAAGTATAAATCTATATTTTTGGTTTCAAAGATTTATCCTGCATTTCCAATGTATATAGCCTTTGCTCACCGTGTTCAGAGATTTTAACGCAGATGAACGGTGTGGCTTGGCAAGTCACATATTTATGCATTTATATGACAAACTGTCTTTCTTTTAAATAGCGGCATTTTCACGAGTATTTGAGTACGTAAATTTGCTCTTAGTTAAGCTTCAAACTCTTTCGTGTAAATGCAGCTCACAAGGATTTCATACATGTAACATGTAGCCTTTTACTCGCGATTCCGTGACTGGTTTCGTTCGAATGTTAGAAAGTAACAAGGAATGCACAACCAGGCAAACGAGTCTGCAGAAATCGGAAAACTAGTTGTCATGTGATTTTGAGTTTGACACACAGTAAGACCTTGTGCTATTGATTTGTGAGATAGACAAAATCTAGTTTTTGGATCCAAGTGTGTGAATGTCTGATCTTGTTTTGGAACTATTAAAGAAGTTTTATGGTTGAAAAATTTGGTTTGAGTACAATTATTATTGCCATGTGTTTGTTAAATATTGGAAAAGGTAAACATGGTATAATAAATATCATTATCTTGTCAACTTTCAGACGAAAAAGCAAATGGGATGTGCCATCCTCAGAAAATGACAGTAGTTCAAGCAATACCAATTTATCAGCTACAGATGCAGCAAAAGAAAGGGCAGCAAAACTAAATGCAATGTTAGCAGCTCAAGGAAAACTTGCAAAAGGCACTCCACCTCCATTCGTGGTATGATATAATTGGTTTAATTTTTCTACAGCACTTCAATCTAATGATCAAGGAGTTTTTTCGTGATATATAAATTTTGATTGTACATTTACAGGGCCAACCATCTCCCGCAGCCAAACCGACAGCAACACCTTCTCAGGCATTGAATAATGGCAATAAGAACCTCAACCAAGATTTAATAACAGCTGAAGTTGAGATTAATGATTCTCCAGCACGGTAAGATGTCCTTACACTTTCCTTATACAGTATGCTATATACAGTATGTGTCATGTATTTACAAAATTTAATACTGTAAATCCTCTAATAAGCCCTCCCTTCTCGTGGGAAGAAAGCTATTAGTCAATCACGACTGTAAAACTTTGTGTGTACTAATCAGGGATGTTTTATTCACCAACTGACTGTTTGGAGAGGTTAGTTTCAAAAAAGAAGTTGTACTAGAACTAACACATCAGAAGTGGGTAACACAAAAACTGGTTTTTATCACCTTTATGACCTTCTAATAAAGTTTGATTACTCAGTATGATTTACTAACTTTGCTTAATGTAAACAAATGTTTTTCATCAAACTTCATGTATATACGTGTTTAATAAAATTAAATATTGTTTATGTTCCCTTTTTCCTTCTTTTGTTAGAAACTTCTTATGCCGTGGCACAACACAAGATGAGGTAAGGCTCCATATTATCATCACATGTGCTTGTGTTTTATTTTTATTATTTTATTTTATAATTTTTGCCACACAAAATATGTACATACTGTGTACTGTATGTGTATGTCGTGGTTCAATTTTTTGCTTGGTGTATGAATTTGTTGGAATATTAAAGTGTTACATGTGGATCATAAACGGGGTGGAATTTTGAGTTGTCCTTATGTTTTATATAATTTAAATAAAATCATATACATGTATCATGATGGTACCTGCTAGTTGCCTAACAACTGGCACAAGCAGAACTACATACCTAAACTTTTGAGGTTGTAATTTGCAATCAGGAAACTCAAGTAAATTAATTTGGCCTTCTTTATGGTAGATCAATCGTTACAGTGGAGCAGCTGTATCCACCAGGGGGAAATTTATGACTGATCAAGAAAAAAAGGAAGCTGAAGGAACTGGGTAAGAGTTGCTCAGAGAATTTATCTTCTCTGAGTGTCTTCTATCATATGCACTCATATTTAGGAGATTGGCACAATAATCAGACATCTCCGTCTGGGACTTTTGTAGTCAACCATTGCTTCTTTAATATTTGCTCAAAACACAATGCTTTGTACAGTAGAGGGAAAAGTGATGGTATTAAAAGACAAGCTAAGAGTGCCTTATACAGCTTATATCTTCCTCAAATTTTCATGTTAAAAAAATGTTCTATGTTATATTAATGAAAATTTGCATGTGCTGATTGCCACTTGAAATATATTTGTTTCAGAGTGAAACCACTGTACCTCTGTATTCAAGGACTCACACAAGAAAAAGTTGATTGTAAGTTATTGAACAGCCTCAAGTGTAAAATGTGAATATTAGCAGAATAGTAACAATAGACTTTATTGATTAATAATAAAATGACAACGACAAATTAAACCTTACTGGAAAATGTTTGGAAAAAAATACGAGTGTTTTTTAAAATTACAAATGTGCTGTTTCAGTGGCCACATTTTATATGTGGAGAATGTCAATCAAACTGAATCAGAATGGATTAGCTTGACCTAACTAACCCGGGAATTTTTTTTAATAGGGATTAATAAAAAAGACCCTTTCAAAATTGCATTCCATTTGCCCCAAACCCATTTGCTCATCAGGCGGTAGCTTAACCCATTTTCTCTAGCATGAAATGTATATCGGAATATCTCTATTTCTTCTGAATGGGATGCCAGTCTATCGCAGGGTTACCATCAGTGTTAATTTGTGTATGTATACCCTTTTATACACCTCGGTGGAGTGAGAGTAAAGTGTCTTCTCTAAGAATACAATGTGGTGACGTAGCCCTTGCCAACACCATTCTGATCTGAAATCATCACTTTGCTTGCAGTGGCTGTGAAGCGAATAATGGAGATCATGAATGGGGCACCAGTAGTAGACATAAATAGCAGTCAATCATCTCAGCCAGGAATGCCTCAGCCACCGAGAATGCCTGTTCCTGCCCCCATGCCAACTCCTGTTTTGAACCAAACTTTAGCAATATTTGACCGACAGCCATTGCCACCAGGGGTAAGTACAGTCTACATTTATGGGAAGCAACTCAGGGGGTGTAAGGAAAAGCTAACCAGGCTTTTTTATTAGTCAAGCCAACTTTTTTAATCAACTGCACCTTCAAACTTGCCCATGTCTTTGTTTTCCAGAGCCATTTGAGTGAGCTAGTGGTAAGCGCTTCTTCTGCTGTTGAAGTTGGCTGGCAGATGGCTCTTAGTGACATTTCTTAGAACTATCTCCTTGTTCTGAGAAAAATAGTTCCTGAGTAATCCAGTAGATGTGCTTTTTTTTGCAGATGCATTATGTTCAAGAGAAAGTGTTTGTTGGGCTAGATAATGCCTTGCCAGAATTTATTGTAAAGGACAAACTTCAAGGACCAGGGGTATGTCTGTAGTCATCCTATCTGTTGTTGTTTGTGGAGGAGCTTCAGGCTAAATCATTTTAAGACTATTTTTTCATATTCATTAAATTTTACAGCAATGTAGATCCATGGTATCTTTTGCTCAACATCATCCTCGGAGACCCAGGGGCAGATAGTGGGGATGAGGGAAAGTCTAAATGGACCGAAAAATATGGCACGAAGAAAAGTAAAGAACGGCGAGAAGAGCCCCTGGGGACAATGTCTTACCAGACCAGTTCCAAACGGTCGCCGTTTTCTGGCACCAATCAGAAGTCAGAACGGCGGCGACCGTTTGGAACTGGTCTGGTAAGACATTGTCCCCAGGGGCTCTTCTCGCCGTTCTTTACTTTTCTTCATGCCTTATTTTTCTGCTGGTTTAGACTTTCCCTCGCCCCCACTATCTGCCCCTGGGTCTCCGAGGATGGCTCAACATTGCATAATGAAAACAATATTTTTTCTCGCTCTTCTTTTACCAGGGATCCTATTTCCAGCACATTTGCACGCAAACTGGAGCCAAGGTATTGTAACTGTCAATCGCTATCATCCAATTTAAACATGTGATTCTCGGTTGAAAAGTACTGATTATTATAAATTGTTATAATATAACTTGCATCATGATTGATAAAGGTCACCTATAATTATTTTAAATTATAAAACTACTGTTCCAGGGTGTAGTGACTGTAGATCTGTTCAACATGGCAGACAATAATCTGTACATGTTGTGAATGGCCTCGACATGTTAGGGTGATTATTGCCATCATTCTTGTTTCAGCTGTCATTATTGTTATAGTTATTGTTATTATTATTTGTTGCTCTATAATTATTATTAAAATAATTGTTATTATCAAAATTAATAATTATTATTACTATGAAAAAAATTTACATTACTTGCCATTTTGGGAAGCTGTTGCCTGGCTTTACTAGCCGAAAGCAGTTGTGCAGGCCTACCAAGCCCCATTTTCCTTGGCAAATGTTGCCTGCCTGTCAGAATTGATTGTTATTAAAACATGCTAGCCCAAAGGGTTGCTCCACTGGTCTCAGGCTATCAGGCAGCATTTTATTTTCTGTTATACTGTGTGTGTTGTTAAAAGTGTGTCTTTTTGTTTTTACCTTACTCAAGACAAAAGAATTTTCGTAATATGGTGTCCTATCCGTTTCCACTCTCACAATGTTGTGTTAAACTTGTAATCAGCCCAGACTTATTTCAAATTATTTTTTTAAAGGTACAACTTAGAGGTAGAGGATCTGGATTTATTGAGCCAACATCTGGTAAAGAAGCTTTTGAAGCTCTGTATATTTACATAAGGTATGTAAAAATTCTCTCTTGTAGCTACTGTAACCTTGTAATTTTTCATCAGCTTTATAATAAAAGCAGCACTGAGAATACTCTCCCATGGGCTCTTGTCAGTGTCCTCTTGATAGTGGTGTCTGCTAAATTCTGGTTCATTTTACAGTAAAAATACAAAGAATAGTTGGAGACTCAATGGTACTTGGGGGGTCCACTTTATTGGTTTCACATTATTGTGAATGTGTACATTCTATACTACATGATATTACTGATATAATGTTACTATTATATTCTTGTTCTAATAATATTTACAGCTCTTTTGAGTATTTACTCAGTTAAACTAACATTCCTAAACTCACGGGATTTAATGGTGGAACCTCAATATGACGAAGGGCCAAGGTTTCATTGTGTTGATGTTCTTTTCCACATTTTTTACTATAACTGTGGTGAAGAATACCATTTGTTATACCAAGGACTCCAGTATGAAGAGGTTTGTGATATGGGCACTCCACTTATTCTGTTTAATGCCAATGCTATTTTTTTTTTCTCACTTCCACAGCCATAGTAAGGTCGATGGCTTAGCAGCAGCAAAGAAATTAGTGGAAAATCTTATAGAAACAGTGAGTTTCTAGCTTGCGTCATTTATTAGATCTATTTTAAGACAATACTCTTGCATAAGGAATGTTGATTATTACATGTAACTATGATTTTTGAATGAGCTTGTCTTGAGGATCTTGAGACTAATGAAAAAGAGAGATAGTGAAGGATACAGTAGAATAGTCAGATCATCCTTCTGATCAATCACCACTAATTGACGGTCTGTTTATTTGGTATTGTGTGGTTCCAAAAATTATCCATACCTCCCCCACATAAGGGATTTTTCCTTAGACCCCCCCCCCCCCCCCCCTCCTCCCCCCCCCCCCCCCACCTCTCTGGAAATTCCAGTCAAGCTTCATACATTTACTCAAATTTTTGGGCCTTCGAGAATCCCCCCTCCCCGCCAGGAATTTCCAATCCCTTCTGTGGGGGAGTATGGATATTTTCTGGAACTACACATTGGTAATATATGCATCATTATAAGTTTCTGGGAAACTGCCCCCCTACCCCTCCCCTAAGCCAACATTAACACTTCTCACTTATGGCAAACCAATAATATTATTTTATTAATTTACACAAAATGATGATTGTTGTTACTTGTAATCCTTTAGGTTCATACTGAATACAAAGCATTTGAACAAACAAGAAGATCACATTATGGATATTCACCTTACATGAATGGTGGGTTACAAAAAGGAAAGAAAAAACATTCAAAGGGGCTACATCATGCTCTTTACTATCTTAATAAAAAGCTAAAAGGTGTCTTTGCATCATGTGCATTGCAAAAATAATAGCCCAGTTTTGTTATTGAACACTATATTTAGGTAATGAAAATTTTTTATGTCGCCTGTTGGACATGGATTGAAACTTGAAAAATTTGAGCCATTTTTATCAATTTTTAATGCCACGCCTGCAAAAATCACCAAAACATTGTTATGGTTAAGTGCTCCCTAATGAAATTAATTTAACTGACATCTTCTTCATAATTCTACAGGGGCATTTTGCATAAGGGTAAAGACAGAAGTTATGACTTCAGCACAGAATAGACCTTTGTTACGGGGCGGCCATTTTGCCTCAGGAGATTTAAAAAGCTTTGTTTATGCATGGCACAAGGCTAGCCATGCATAAACAAAGCTTTTTAAATTTTCTGAGATAAAATTGCCGCCACATGACAAAGGTTTGTTGGCCTCAAACAGCAAAATCCTCGTGACATAGTTCCGTTACTGTAACTATGCTCTTGTTAAAATTCCAGGCCCAAGTCCCTGAAAGGCTGATTAGCACTAAATCCAGGATTAAACATTTTGTTCCATTTTTGTATTTACCTTCCTATGCATTGCTTAGAGTAACATTCTATGTTATCATCATTGAGTCTTGTCATAAAGTGTAAGCTCTAGTGACATATTCTTAGTCAAGACAATCCTGCTTAAAATTTGGCTTAATCCTGGGTTTAACTTAACCATCTTTCGAGGAACTGGGCCCAGGAGTTCGATTAGCCTCAAGCTTTGCCAGACTTATGGATTCAGCTAGAGGACCCCTCTTAGTAGCAAACAGCTCTGACTTGTACTTAAATGATGCATAATAACAAGGCACATATATAGTGGATATTACATGGTGGCGCGAAGATATGAATTTTATTTTCGAGTGGCAAAACAATATTTTACTCACTCGCTGCGCTCATTCGTAAAATATTGTTTTTGCCACGAGAAAATAAAATTCATATATTCAAGCAGCCGTGTAATGTTCTTTCTATTATATAGACAAAAAGACATTGATAAAATAATAGAGGGAAATGACCGAAATGATGTCATCGATAAACTCACGTGTGAGATTATGGAAAATAAACCACTCGGGTCCCGGATGTAGTTTTTATGAATTTTACGAGTGGTATATTTTCCAGTAAAACACTCGTGTCTATATAATAAAAAGTAATAATAAATTTATTAATGTATGTTGAAAGGAGGGTTAAGAAAGTAGATGGTGGTTTAGATTTCCCATCTGCTGATATTGCCCTCCAATAAAAAGCTAGTCAAATTGAACGTGTGCTGCTGTAAAGTTCTTTGCAACATGTACTAAATCTTGCCAACATTATGACTCCACTTGATCCCTTCTACTTCAAACTCAGTTAATTCCATTTTCCTGCTATTTCAAACTGATCAATAATTTTACTTTTTGTTTTTCTTTTTGCTTTTTGTCATCATTAACAGTTTTCTTTGCTTTACTTTTGTAACAGTTGGAAATCCACCTGCACAACCTCCTTCAGGATACCAGGTCTGTAAAATGAAATCTTGAAGTTATAAATAGATATTCCTGAAGTCCTATGAACTATGAAGTAGTACAGTATTAGTCTGTGTTCACTTGTATTTTCTTGTCAACTCAATTTATTTCAAGTGAAGTACATGTAGCACTGTCATGAAGTTCTTGGTGTATTTTTGTCAAAATATGATCAGTGAGTGTTTTTTATTGTTGCCAAGCGCCATCTTTAACACCAAAGAAAAGTCTTTATGTGAATTAATGTTAGCAAAACAAATAACTATTTCTAGCAATTCTTCAGAAACAATGATGTGCCATTACCTTGCTCAACTTTATTTCTCTTCCGCTTGGTTCATTGTCATTGTCTTCTTTCCTCTTGTTTCCTCTCCCCTTAATCTTTCTTGACCTAGTCATAATATATCTGTTTAGTAGGAACATTGTAATGATTTCAGTATCAAAGCGTAGGAGTAATTTACATGCAATACCCTCCTTAATTTCCAGCCTCCACCCTATGGATATCAACACCCACCCCCACATGGTAATGGCTTTCCCCAGCCTGTCCAGCCTCCTCCAGTGCCTGGATACATGTACAACCATCCTCCTCATGCGCCACTACATCAGGTATGTGTTAATACTTCTGTTTATGAGAATTAATAGATCGGACTTGAGTCCTTGGATCCTCGAACACAAGCACTTCTTGAAGTGATGAACATGCCTGCCCTATGACTTGTTGGACATTTTTTTAAAATCCTCACAATATTTTGTTGTCTTACCCGTGGTCATCCTCGGAGACCCAGGGGCAGATAAAGGGGGCGCGGGAAAGTCTAAACGGGCTGAAAAATATATATAGAACAAAGAAAAGTAAAGAACGGTGAGAAGAGCCCCTAGGGACAATGTCTTACCTGTCCAGTTCCAGACGGTCGCCGCCGGTCTGGGTTCTGATACGTGCCAGAAAACTTGTGTTTTTCTGGCACCAATCAGAAGCCAGAACAGTGGCGACCGTTTGGAACTGGTCTGGTAAGACATTGTCCCCAGGGGCTCTTCTCGCCGTTCTTTACTTTTCTTCGTTCCATGTATATTTTTCCGCCCGTTTAGACTTTCCCTCGTCCCCACTATCTGCCCCTGGGTCTCCGAGGATGACCCGTGGTTTGTGTGTGACCTGTGAATTATCATTCATGTGTTCTTTCACACTAGAAAAGTCTCTGGCACCCAGAGTACTAGCATGCAAGCATATTAACGGTCATTTTGTGCATCACTGTTGTCATTGTTTAAATATATTTTCTTTTATTTACAGCCTGTTCCACCACATGCTATTCCTCCTCGCTATGGTCCTCCACCTCCTCCAGGTACGCATGAGTGGAATGTTGGCTATTTAGAAAAGTAACTAAATGTAGTGTCCTGTGAAAACAGATAATTATTGTCCCTGAACCCCATCTCATGGCTATGTATGATTGCATGACAGAAGGTTGGGGGTAAAACTAAACTAGCTTTGATAATTTGATTTTTCCCCGAAAAATGGTCACAATGTTGCACTTTAAACATAATTTAAAAGCAGCATTATTTGTATAAAATTATGATGAGTTAAACATAACAGTTCTGCTGTACTCTAACATTAGTGGTGGCAGTTTCACCAGTGTAAATCTTAACCTTGTTGTAATGTTATTTCACTTGTTGTTGTAGTTGCAGGTTATCCTAACCAACTGCCACCCAATATGGGTCCTCCACCCCCAAGAGGACCAGAACCACATCATGGCTACCCTCCTGGACCCCATCACCAAGGAGCACCTCCACCTGGCCCACCACCAATAAGGCCCCATCAGGAGGGCCTAAAGCAACCTCCCCCTCTTGCACCTCATATGGTAGGTAGCATGTTGTGTCATGTCCAAAAAACTCATTTTAATGTCTGTCAGAATGCAAATGCAATTTTGTTTCCCTTTTGCTCTTGTTGATGGCATTGTGAATGTTTCTATGTTAATTGGTAGTTTTTGTGGTTGTACCGGTAATCTAAATAGCATACATCGAAATTTTATATGGAAACTTTTTGTTTTGTAGTGTTTTTTTAAAGTAATTTGTTAACCTTTTGCAGTGTTTTTGTTTTGTATTCAGTGTAAAAAAGAAATAAATAAAAGCTGTAAAATTACAAAAAAAAAATTAGGAGTGCAAATGTTAAATTTGCTTCTTTGTTCTTGAAGAGACCACCAAGGGAAACTGAATGTCAGTCTCAAGATCAAGGCCCAGCAGCAAGGTAGGTACATTGCATGTGTTGTGATTTCATTATTTTTATCTTTTATTCAAATTATTTGTTTATTTGTTTATTTTTTCTTTCCATAAACTTGTAAATAATTTATGTGAAAGTACTAAAACATGCTCAATAATAAAACAAGATAATACTGCATAGTGAGTGTCTTAAATGACCATGTCACAAAAGTACCGTATCTATTCGAATAAGCGCCCAACCTCAAATTAGCGCCCACCTCAAATAAGCACCCATCCTAAAGGCAGAAAAAGTTAATAAGCACCCAGCCTTGAAAAAAGTGCTCATCCCCTCCTCCTCCCAATCAAACTCAAATAAGCGCTCACCCCCACCCCACCCACTTGAGTGAATAAATTCTAATAAGAAACTTCCCGAGGATGGAGTTTTCTTCAGAGTATTTTACAGAAACCTTTCTTTTTTACTTCTTCACGTTTTGTTATTAGCATTTATTGTTTTGTTGCAAAATAAACATACTTCACTTGCTGAAAATGGTGAAAATTTAATAAGCGCCCAGCATTGAATAAGCGCCCACCTTGAATAAGGGCCTACTCTCAAGGTCAAAAAATTTAATGAGCGCCCAGGGCGGTTAATCGAATAAATATGGTAATCAAACTTCAAATGGGGGGAACTGCCACCAAACTGAGTGAAACATCAAAATAACTTCACAAAACATTAAATGAAGGTATTAATAACACAGCAAATACAAAAGGAGGGAAAGGTGGACAAACTTGAAGAAGATTAAAATGGATTACATTTATAGCTATTCAAAGCTTTTTCGCCTAACAGTTTTTCAAAGTTCATTATTTTTTGTTATTTGTAAAGTTTGTTATAATGCTTGGGAGACATACATACTTGTTTCACGCAAACCTGTAATAATATTTTGCCATTCCCAAGTTATTTCTCAAGATCCATTAGGAGTAAGGAAACCAAACTATCAGAATGAGCCAGACAACCGTAATTCAGCCCCCTTAATGAAAAAGGAATTTTTTTTATTGTTTTGTAGTCACCAAGAGCAGTCTCAGAGGGGAAATGGACCACCACAATCCCAAGATCCACCCAGACGAAAGTTCAAAGAAAAGGTACTGTGTCTTGCACATGTAAGTGGGGCTAAGACCAGCGGGTTGTTTACTAAAGACTACTGTAGCAACTGGTGGCTTTCAAATATGAGTTTTAAAAGTGGGTGTCATTTAGTGTTGATGACAGATTTCCCGCCTGTGCAGAAATTCCATACTGATGACGTTTACTACTAAGATCTGGGTAGTGCGTCTGATTGGTCGTGCTGAGAATTGCTTCAACCATCACAAGCACTACCCAAATCTGGGTAGTGAACATCATTGGTGCAAAATGTCTTTAATTTTTTTCCTCAGGCTAAATGTTCATGTACCGTACATGTATTGTTGTGTCGCAGTAGTTGGCTTTATCAAGAATGTGCTTGTTTAAGAACTCCCATAGCTCAGTCGGTAGAGCGTTGGGCCTTTGGTCCAAAGGTTGTGGGTTCAAACCCCACTGGGGGTCAGTGGCATAAATTTACTGCAAGTGTGGTGCTGCCCTTTGTTCCACCAAAGAACTAGGCTTTTTAACAAAATCAGATTCCTTGTTTGAAAAAAAAGTTAGGATTAATATTAGGCACTTTTAATCTGGAGAAAACCTGTCCCGTTTAGAAGGGTGACCCTCCGAACCAAGTCAACTTTAGCCAGCGTCTATATGAGAATAGAGTTGTCCCCTTTCCCGAGTCAACAGCGCTTGTGCGTGCTCTGCAAGGGATCTGATTGTCTAAAACAGCACTTGCGCATTCTCTGATCGTCTCACCTCGACGAAGTTGACCTGGTTGGGCGAGAATTAGGGAGAATTTGTCCTGGCTAGATTGGTGAATCTACCATCACAAAAGGGTGACCCAGCTAGGTGGGTCGCCTTTCTAACCGAGTCAACTTTTTGTTTCTCATATAAACGGTTCGCCAAGTTTTGTAAGGAAATGTGGGAAATGTCGGCTCGCTCAGGGTAGTTTGGGTAGGCAGGTGACCCTTCTACCTGGACAACTTTTCTCCATATAAATGGTGCCTCAGTGAACAAATAGTAATTTAATATTGTGATTGCAACTTAAAAAACTCTAGAAAGTTATTTCGCATTATGTCCCTCCATTACATTAGCATCTTATTGTTAAAGAACAACAAAGAGTTGCTTCCTTTTTTGGCCTCTTTTGTGTGGAGCATTTTTAATTCTTGATTTTGTCTTTTCACGTGCTAACATGATTTTTTTTCTTTTCTTCTTTCCCTGTAACTTGATAATGTTTGTTCAAACACGAATTTAGATTCCATTCAAAGCTTCTACGCAGGATTACAAGACAGTAGAAGCCGACCCAAAACATCAGGTGCACCGGGCTCCTTATTTTATTGTTTCCTTTGCAGGAATACTCAGTAGTTCAAGAGTTTGTTTTATATTTGTAGTTCAGTTTTATGTAGCAAGCTTTTGGCATTCTTCTCCAAAGAGCTGGAGGTAGTAAACGTTGTGAAAAAACGCCATGAGAAAGATTCGGAACTTTCGTTTGCTTTTACACTGACTTTATGATTGTTTGTTATTTACATGGACAAACTGGTCGGTTCACCTTTTGGGAAATAGCAAACAAATCTGGACTGATACGTCCAATTACCGAAAAACGACAAAGAAGGCCTGAAATCGGTATCAGTGATGGTTTTGAAGAAGTGGAACACAAATTTCCGCTTCGAGCATTCCGTTAGGGAAAACAAGACTACCTTTTCAGAATTCCTGTTGCTCCTTGAAATATTCCATTGAAACGATTCTGAAACTCGTGTTTCGTTTATTTTTCGACTGGATTTTCCGAAAACCTTGTAAATAACAAACTCTGGATTTCCCTCTTGTAGTACGAAATATAACTACCTGATTGGTCGCGTTCCAACTAATCGCATTGAGTGACATAGAACAATCGTAATCCATTGTTAGATTAGCAATTTAGTTCCGTTTTTTCCTCAGAATCAAACATTTTAACCACCCCCTACAATTTACACACCGGCAAAGAACGAAACTTGCAATAACTCAAGTCTCCTAGTGTTTTACTAATGCCTTTTCTCACTCCCACCAAACAGGAATTAAGACTAATGGCGTTTGCTAACATGTCTGTTCTTTCTTTCCTTTGCTGATTGATGACTTTCTTCTAGGAGTCCTCCATCTTAAATCCTTCCCTAGGTGAAGGCCACCGGCGTTCTTCAGCAGGGAGCATGCCGCCTCCCCCAGCCCTCGCACCGTCCTTGAAAACCAGACCAAAACAGAGTGAGTTTTCAGCACCTCTGCCGCCTAAAGATGCGATGCCTCCCCCGATAGCTCCTGTGCGCAGCCGAGCACCAGGTAAGGTCCACTTGAGTTAAATGAAGGTAAAGGTCCTTTGTTTACGTTGGTAGCTTGTAACAGTACTCATTACACCAGAGAGCTTTAGATTCTAAGACCACGGCGACTACAAGGAGGAGATGTTCTCGGATCAAAAACTGCCTACCTACCCCTCCCCTAAGCTAACATTTTACCCTAAATGAGAAGTAAGTCTTAATGTTAGCTTAGGGGAGGGGTAGGTGGGCAGTTTCCCAGAAACCTAAATTGATCCATGTTCTCAATACTAAGTAGTGCGCGCGGGTGAACCAGCGTCATTTTGGCGGGAAAACGTGATAGCGGTCGTCATTTCGCGACGGGCATTAGCGAGGTGCCGTAGTGACGGAAACAAGTTATCAAGCGTTAAAAGTTTATCATTTTGCTATCCGGAGAGGGATTAACCTCCTTAAATAAAAATAACTGTGATAACTTCTCTGGTGAAAAAAGGAGAATGAAACTTTCAGGAGTGTGGTGGTTGAGAATACGCGAAACAAAAACTCAAATTTCATCCTCCAATCTATAGGGTCTTTAAGATGCCACAACGGCGACGACAACGAGAACATCAAAAAAGCGATAGGTTGAATAGGCATAACAAAAATTCTGCGCGTGCATCACGTCTTTTTTGTACATTTCTTTGCCGTCACTACATGACTACGACAGGAAAATGCCTAATTTCAAGTTTTGTGGAGGACGTAAACAAGCGACGGCTAATTTTTTTTCCTCTTTCTGAACTTGAATATGGTTCTTAGGAATTCGGCTCAAAAAGGGTTCGCTTGCATTTGACAAAGTAAATGAGTTGGAGTGATCGCGATGGAGATTGAAAGAACGCAAATTCAGTTTTTAAGCGACATTTTCGTGGCCGTCGCAGTCGTGATATCTTAAACTCCATTATAAAAGGACTCTACTGAGAAACCCGAGGCCGACGATGCTCCGTTTTACGGATATGTAAAGCAACTTAAAGGTACATGGAAACTGGAATAAAGTTGAAACAAGAGCACACCTGAGAATTGAACTGAACCTCCCTCACAGAGTGCTGATCCTTGTTCCTTAGTGAAGTAGGGTTTCACTAGGAAAAGAGTGAAGGATTATTGAGGCCAGTAAAATTTCGATATTAACAATACAACCACCACCCACCTTCCTTTAGATTTATCTACCCCAAGACTGGCGGTCTTTGCACAACGTTTTCTACGCCTAAACTGTACCTTCAAACTTACTAAGCGTGTTTTGTTTTACAGATCTTTAGTTTAAGCAACCATAAGGAAATTTCTTCTACATCCCATGACGTTGAGTCAATTCTCACCCGGCGTAAACTTCACCGACTTTTGCGGTCGCAAAAAAACAACCATAAAAACGTCCAGTCGCATGAAGCCTTGCTATTTTAGAGCAATATTTATGTTTTAAGAAATCTCAGGTGCGATCTTGATGACCTTACGTTATTACGGTGATATTACGGTGACTCAAGTCGCGGCTCGCGGGGTGCCCGCTTTTGCAGTGGTTGGAATTGACTATAATGGCAGATGGGATCTATACCGGTGTTGTTTTTTCTTTGATACTAATTTGTGTTTTATTCTTGTTTCATGTGAACCCTGTGGACACTCTGATGATGGTAACTTATAATTACTTCTTTTCTGCCTTCTTTTTTCTGCTCTGTTATCATTTGTTTCCATGTGTTGTGCTGTGTGTTTCTCATAACAGCAGGAAAGCGAGAAGCAGCGACTTTCTCACAACCCGCACCTGTTGCAACAAAGAAACAAAAAACGGAGGACAGCGCAGCCATGACGTCCTCCGCGATAGCTTCATTGGTAGCTTACGGCGAGGAGGACTCGTCAGACGAGGAAGGGTCAACTTCACCCGAGCACAAACAGGTTACTCCGCAGAAGAGAGAAGAGGACAAGAGTCGGCAGGGTGCCAGACTGCCTTTTTGGGCCGTGAGACGCTAGTCACTGTTGTTCGCGTAGGGGAAGAAGGAGCGAGGGGATTTCAGTGCAAGATTTTTTTTCACCTCCTACATGTACATCACTTGTCAGTCGGGCAGGGATCAGTGAGGTGATTGCCTCGTCCGTCACTCTTTTAACAAGCCAACCATCCAATTTTCCCAATTACTAGGCGAGGACAGGGAGCTCGCCGGTCGCTGAGACTACTGTCGGTAAATTTGTCGGCGGTTAGTTTGTGGGAAGCCGTCCGTGTGTAAGTTGGTCATCTCTGTGAGACAGTCCATCTTGGGTATTTCTGACCAATACGGTGGAAATTCAAACGGTTCATTACGAATGTATGCTAGTCATCGAGCCTTTTTTAAAGCCAAACTCATCCCCAGAGTCTTTACGTTTGACAACTTGTAGTGGTAGCGAAAAGACCTTAGGGACGAGTTTGAAAAGGGACATCCCCAGCAGATCCCGCGCGCTTTCTCTTACGAAACGCATTCAACGTTTAAGACATTCAGAATTCTTCTCGCGTCATGCCTCGTCCAATACCCACCACCCAACATTTATCACAAATGGTTTCCTGAAAAAGAACATGAATGAGGTTTTTATTAAGCTATGTATGGCGAGAAAGTACGGCCGTTAATGTTGCGTCGACGGGGAATTAAAAACGCTTACTGGCGGGGAATACAAAAAACCCTGACGTCCCCAGCGCTTGACCTTTGTGAGAACAATTTTTGACGAGGGATTGAGGCGCCTGCGTCGAAGACGTCATCCAAGCCCGGTTAGTAACGCCAGCGAAGCAGCGTCGATATCCTTGTTCTGGGTCCCAGTGAAGTCAACGGATTACCGGAAATGCGTTTAGAATTTCCCCTCATCCTGGTTGGCAAATCGACAATGGCACACTTAACAGGCCAGTCAAGGCGTGTACTCAAATCCTGATACACAGACCTGTGGGGGCCCAGAGCAAGGACTTCGGCGCTGTTTCACACACACCATCCTTTCACAGCTAAAAGGGGAAACTTCTTCTAAGTTTTGCATTCCGAATAAGGGAATGAGACCTCTCAGTTCCTGTGCCCTGTGGTAGAAGAGTATGCCACGAAATACACAGCTCGTTTTTTAAAGGAGGGAAACATTGCTTAAAGTAAACCTATCCTGCGTAGCAGACGATAGTTTTTATAGAGGAAGGGAGAAATTTCGAGTATGCGCACGCGCACGAGGGGAGAAAAAACTCCCTTCGCGTGTTCCCCTCGCGCGTTCCATAAAAACTAACCGAAAAGACTAAGCGGCGCCTGTCACGCAGGCTAAAGTAAACCCATGTTCGTGTCAGGGATTTGGGAAACAGAAAAATATATTTTTAAATCTTGTCTATAAATTTCAATTTTATCCAAAGAAAATGTGAATAAATGAGGCAGTGTGTGAAACCTAGTTTCATGTTCAATTTCAGTTGGTTTGGATACTATTCAATTACGAATTTAATGAACCTTAGCCGGTACTAAAGCTAATGATTCATAATTTAGTCACCGAATTCGTGGCAAATAAAATTTTCAGGGCGAAGGGGTCATGTTCCCCTAAACCTCCAGATACGTGTCTTCACACACTTCGCAATAAATCCTTGATCCGTCGCAAAGACTGTATCCGTCTCAGAATTACTCTGCTATCGCCAAGTATGTGAATTTTGAAGCCTTTTGTGCAGGCCACTTTCCAACCCTCCCGATTTTCATTAAGCTGCTGGCTCATGCTCTCCAGATTTAAGACGAAAGAAGAATTTCATGAAAAGGGAAAGTCGGGAAAATAACTGTTGCTTTTCAGGCAATAAGTACTAGTAAAATCCAGGAGTAGAAGTATGTTTTTAAATGTTTCAGGAAGTAATCATTTACTTTCCTGTTGCATCTCACTAACTGAATCAGTATAAACATAGTTAATTGAGTGGAATGGTTATGAAACCCGTCAGACTCCTTTGTTATATGTTTTTGTGGACCTGAAAGTGCACAACGTTCAAAAGAATTCCGATCATTTTGATTGTATTGACCAATAAAAACGTTGCTTCCGTAACAATTTGCCAACAGAAAACAAAGGATTGTGCACTTTCAGGGTGCTTCCAACATAAACTGCAGCACTGTTGTTTTTATCATTGATGTTTGCCGCTTTTCATAACCAGTCTCCTCTAATAACTATAGTATAAATAACAGATGTTGTTATGTTTTGTTTATCAAAGATAAACGCCGTTTTTCTTGCAGCGACAAAATAAGCCGAAAAAATTAAGAGTACTAATCTCTGTGCTCAATCAGACGAGAGTCACAAGTTTCCCATGAGTTTTATAGTGAAGAAAGAAAAACTCATGACAGCTTTTTGCTAAAAACAACCGTGAAAGCTCTACTTCGACGGCTTTTTTTAACAATAGTGTTACTTTGTTATTTCGCGAGCACTTCGACTAAATGAAGGGTTTCATATCGAATATGCTTGCGCAAAAGATCTTTCAGATAGAAGTGCCACGATATTCAGAATACTGGGAAGAATTGACAGAGATAGGGACTTGGGGACCCCAATGTGGACATGAAACACAAGAGTTTGACTATGAAATGATTCCCGGAGAGAGGAAATACTCGGATATTCTACAATTACAGGTAAATGGGTGAAGTAATTTCTTGTAGTGGCATCATAACACTGCGGTGTGCGGGGAAGGCGAATAATCACGAACAAAACTGGGGCATGACCATCACACGCGGGGAGATATCGGGGAATCCCTTAAGTCATCGACTAGGCTTAGCTACAAAAATCCCTAAAAATATCCTTAAAAATCTTTTAGAATTTCTCCAAGAACTCTCTAAAAATCTCTTAGAAAATCTTTTAAATCTCTAAAAATTATTGTAATATTAACAAAAAAACTGGGTAACCTAGCCCAAACTGTCCTTACGAAAAATTTCCGAGCAAAGCAAATCGGCTTGGAGTAACATGCGACGGACGAAATGGCAACCGACCCAAGAGTGGGTTGAAGCTGCGACTGCGCAGCAACAAGACAAAAGCAAATAGCTTCTTCCAGAAGAATCTCCGTTAGTATATTCCCAGTCAGTGAGTCTCTTATCTTAGGAATCGCGGTTGTGAGGGATCCCGGCCATCAACACTGGTTCAGATAAGGAAAGAAGTTTTTCACTTCCTTAAACTTCCGCGCAGAGTCCTGATCCATTTTTCCCAAACGGGACTGACCAGCCTTCAGTTTATGCGATAAACGAGGATAGCTTGGGCTACTTCGTTTCTCGCTTCGCTGCTCGGTTACGTACGTAACACTAAGAGCGCCGCAAGATTTCCCTTTCGTTCATGGAGCCCTGCTTTACTACATCGATATCGCAGTCGGGACGTTAGTCTCCATAAAGCACGATTAACCAAGGTTCCGCACTTTTTCCCGCCTGCATGCATGGGAATTTCACCACCTTAATTCTAAGAGGATCCGAGGTCTAAGGAAGTAAAGTTTTGGCCAGCGAACCTAGACCATCTACCATCTTTAAAAATTCCGTAACCTATCCTTTGCACTTGCAGTGGTGAAAATCTCTGATCTGCCACCCCAAAACTTACACGCGCCCCAGTTAAGTTTTATTTTTTCAGTTGGCCACTGCCTAAAAAGGCTTGCACCACTCTCTAATCTAGTGACCTAAAAAGAAAATTCAAAACGGCATTACGACTGAAGGCTAGTTGAGAGAAAATATGTGTATCTATGTATCCTAGAATTGAGGGATTGATTTACGGAAAAAGCAAAATAGTAGCCTGCCTAGCAGGCACTTGGAAGTCGTGGGCGAAAGAGAGAATGGGCGCGCGCGAGGGAGACACACGTGTCTCCTTCTCGCGCGCCCGTTTTTTCTTGTAGGAAAATAACGGGATGAACTGCCAATGCCACGTGGGGCGATTCGCTTCTTTCTTCTAATTAAGGTGTCGCCCCATGTATTAAGGGCAACAGTCTTGGTTTCTGGATTCCACGCCATGGTTTCCAGATTCCATGTACTGCATTTCGGATTCTTTGATAGTGGAACTTTGATTCTGGATTCCAATCGTGAGTGAATTCCAGATTCCTTGAGTTGTATTCCGGGTTCCAAAGCCCAGGCTTCCACTTTTCAAAGTCAAACTTCCACAAGCAAAACTTTGGCGGATTCCGGACACTGCCGGGATTCCAGACTGATTTTGAAAAAAAAAATCTGGCAAGGAATTACCCAGGCAAAAAACTTCCTGCACCGAAAAAAATATCTCTTTTAGGGTATAATGCTGGAAAAATTCTTACACCGTTGTATATCGGTGAAAAAAATTCTATCCCCAATAGCCTGAACTTCAGACACTCACTTCGAGTCGTTTTCTCCTCTCAGCAAATCACCCATATCCTCCCTCAAAATTCAAATGGTCGACCCCTTACAAAGAGCCTGGTCCCAGACTATCACGATTAGGGCAGAGTCTCCGTACAAAAAAAATTAGGCTGACGAAATTTTGATTTTGTTGTAAGAGGTCCGGAATCACTCGCACAGCCGTGCTTGACTCCCGGGGGTGGGGGCTCCGCATATAAAAGGGTTTGGGGATGCTCGTCGTCTCGCTTAGGGGTGTAACTGAATACTAGTTGCGGTTGATTTATTCATTATTTAGTTTTCTGTGGTTGTTGTGCTTGGCTCAGTCCAGATATATTTGTGATCGAAACTAGAGAGAATTTTAAAAAAACTGAGAGTTTTTGAAATTGCAATGTTTGCGCAATGGACAAGTCTAAGGAAACGGTTGCTGGATATAAAAATGTTGTAGGACTTATGAAATGTGGAAACATCACTGCATATATACTTACAACTTTACTTGTGCTCTGCATTAATATATATGTGGTTTCACCTACAAGCAAGTTAAACTCTACGTATAATAATATTACCAATAAATACAGTTGACTGAGTAAAAGTTGTATAATATAATACTTTTCTATAAGTTAATACTTTTAAAGTGCACCTCTATTCATAATAAATTACAATATTTATAATAGCACATGTTTATGTTTACTTGAGATCTCAGTTAGAGACAGTCAAGCCTTTGTTTTATGGTCAGTGTGATTTTCTCCAAAAAACCAAACGTCTTGAGCAAATTAGTCATTATTATAATATAGCACTGGCATTTAACCAATAAAACGAATAAATAAGAACCCACACAAGTGTTAAACCTGATTGGGAATAGTGTGTCTACTTTCAGACTTTTGTAAACTCTGCAAGAATATATTTTGCTAAATTCAAATTGAGGTAAAAACAATTGTATTGTGATGACACATTGCTGTTACCTACGTCACTTTTTAAAAAATTCTTTTGAGCTGTGTCCATAAAAAAGGGCCAGGAAAGAACAAGGAGATTAAATACATCACTGTCTGCACATAATGAACAACATGCTTTCAGAATGATTAGTAAACAGAATATTCTAAAGTTCACAAGCTAAAAACATAAAACGTGACCTTTCACACTAAAAACGACTATTAATGTAAATTTAATTTACCATACATTTGGCACTGAAAAGTATAAACATGTTGTACGTTTATCTATTAATGAACATGAATACAAGTGCTTATATAAATCCACTATGAAAATACAGATAACCTCAAATGACTAATTGCTGGAGATACAAGAGGCTCCTGCCTGTTGCAATTAAGTCAAAGAGGGATTGCCAATGTACTGAGTCAACTAAAGATAACTTAACAAAATAAGTTAATCAACACTACAGTCAGTATTTTATATTAGCTACAGACATCATTAGCAGATGCAAAGAGTGGCAAAGTCACCTGGGGGTCTCAGGTATGGATGTGACTAGCTAAAGGCAATTTCTTTTTTAAATTATTTCAACAAAATGTTTAACCTAAAATAAACAAAACTGCTTACACATTGTTGTGTAAGACTGCCTGAAAGAGCTGCAATTTATTTTGTATGCCACTTAATCAGGCAATAATATCAACTTTGTTGTTGACTCACCACTTGACATTAAACAACAGCAGCTGTAGATGAAAAAAAAAGATGTACCAAAAATTACACATCGAGTTTTACTGAACCAGTTTTGAAAATCTCATTGCCAGCATGCAATTTTAAGTCACACTTGGTGACAGTCTGATCAGAATTTCTGGCCCTGGACTAATGCCACTTTGCATTATTTACAATAAATAATAAAACACGACATACCCACAAAATACAATATACAGTCTACAAAATTCTTAATGCAACACATCCAAAGTTACACCTTGTGTTGACAGCACCAACTACAACCCAAGTGTTCCTTTCCTCATCATAGTATTCAATACTGTTGGTGACACGACCACCCACCACATAGATGGTATCATTCACAACTGCAACACCCAGACAGCGGCGGCCAGCATTCATGGCTGCTACAGACTGGCTCCATGTATCAGTACCAGGATCATACATTTCAACACTGTTACTACAAGATTCTCGGTTGTCAGATCCTCCAATGGCATACAGCTTCTCACTTAGAACAGCAACACCGAGACTCCAACGAGCTGTGCTCATTGATGAGATGGCTTCCCACTGGTTTGTGTGGGGGTTGTATCGCTCAGCAGTGTTCAGTGGAGCCCACAGATGGTCTAAGCCTCCAACAGCATAAATCTTCCCTTTCATCACACCTACACCTGTAAAATAATGAATAATAACAGTTTTGCAAAAAATTTATGTCTCTGGGATCTTATTATAGATGAGGACACATTAAGTGACTGGCAATTATTTAGTTTTATCTTCCACAAACCGGGACTGCAATGACCAATCAAAAGATGAAGATGGTCAGATATTGGCCAACGCCTTTGTCAGGGTTCATGAACACACAAAAAAAGAAGAGGCCTAATATGCAGCCAAAGAGCTTGTTCAGGATTTCCTTCATCTACCTGCTTGTGAAGCCAGCAATAAATTATTGAAAATTGATGGCAGCAGTGTAGTACCTCTCTATTACAAACAGCTCTTTTGATCCCAAGCAAGGTCATAAGCTGTGTGTGAGTGTATCATTGCCTTTTGTGCAACAATTCCCAACTCAAATAACTTTAGGGACTGTTTTATGTTACAGCTGTATATAACAACAAGTTCTTACTGCATTCACATGACAAAGTACACACCAGCTCTAAGGCATTCCCGCATGTGTGGTTTATGCGCCAGATCAGTGCATCACTCATGTGCCACTTGCCCCAGACTACACAATTTTGCAATTTTCAATCCAGAATGAAGTTCATTTTCAGTTTACATGATACTATACCAGAATGAAATTTCTCACCAGAAAGAAAATTTCATTGCGATTGAAGACTGGAATAAACTCATTCCAGAATGACTTGTACAGAAATAAAATTATGCCATTTTGGTATCATGTAAACAAATGTAGAGAAGATGGAATGAACTTGTTCCAGAACAAAAGTCATTTCGGTATCATGTGAATAACCCCTTAGAAAGAACAATGTCAGCAGTAATAGATACCTGGATAGTAGCGAGCATACATCATTGATGGCAAAGACCTCCACATCATGGTTTCTGTGTCAAATTGCTTGGCACACATACTGCTGTGTCCCCCAACAACATAGATGTAACCTTCATACTCACAGACACCAGCCCATTTACACTGCACATCAGGGCCTGTTGCTACCTGTATCCACGAATTAGCTATGGGGTCGTACTTGCCAACCTTGTAACGACTTACAGTGTAGAGCTCATCACCAACAGCAACCACTCTAATGTAATCCTCTCTGGACACATGTGCAACCGACATGCCAGCAACTACTGTCCATTCCAAAGTGTCCACATTAAAGCACTGGACACTACTTATTTTCTGCCCATTGGACCAGCCACCTATGACGAAAATCTCTTCTGAAGCCATGCGAGGTCTGACGCGGAAATTATCGATAGCTGTAGTTGATTTGCTTTCCACAGCCGTTTGATAGCTAATAGCTTCACGGATCAATTCCTTGCACATGCGAAAATCACGTGTGAGTTTCTGGATGGAAGAACTTCCATGTAAATACTGAAGATTCATAAGGGGGAATCTTACATACTGCATAATGTCAGGGACAAAGTCCTTCCTTGCGTTCGTGTCATGCGAAATCCACTGCAATACAGCTTCAAAAACCATTTCCTCCGACTGAACTTTCAGTGAATCATCCTTAATTAAATCCTTCAGCTGTTTGTATGGCATTTTCTTGAACTCCTCTTCTTTGTAAACGCTTGCAAAATGCCAAAGCGCAAAGCGACTAGCATGTTGGCTTAATTCCTCAAGACAGAAAAGATCTGCGACAAACTGAAGACCGACACAGTTGGCCGGGGTCATGTTGCGTCGAAGAAAAGTTTCGCAGTGATCGACAAGGGAATTCAGTCTCAACAGCACACAAATTCGCAGTATTTCTTCCACGTTGGAAACATTCACTTCAAGTTCAGAAGTGTAGAAGTATCCCACGATTAGTTCAACCGCATTAGCATCGACTTCTTTAAGGATTATCTTCTGCTCGCTGGCTTCCGAAAACCCAGACAAAAACATGGCTCTAAAGTAAGGACTGCATGCCGCCAAAACGGCTCGATGAGCGACGATTTCGCGGTCTTCAACGACAAGCGTAACATCGGACAACTCTTTGCTTCGTCGCATGCTATCTAAAACTTCCATAATATCCCTTGGAAGAGACTCTTCCACGATTACAACTGATGTAGAGTCCATTGTGGCGGTAAAACGCTCTCATTGAAAGGCCAACACGACGCGTTCTGCTTCTGTTGTTGTTACTCCAAAACAAAGGGGACCGCGTGCTGATCTCGAACTGTAGGGACTGGAGAAAGGAAATGAACTTTTCAGTATGCGAACATGCTTGAACGCACTTTTATTGCTTCCTAACTTAAGGGCTAAATATGTATAACATGCCCATCAGAAGTTATTTTTGATACGAAATGCGAACTATTTTGTGTGAGATCAAAGTTCAGGGTCAAGAAAATAACACGCGACAATTCACTGTCCCTCCCTTCCCACTTCTTATTCTACTTCCCATCTTTGCTTGCTCCATTCCATGCCTACTCGGCAATATGGCGGATGATCTCACTGGATTCTTGCAAATCATCGTTTAGTAAAGAGATATGTTCCGCAAAAGGCAAGACAGCAAAGGAAGCCAAAAGGTACTAGCATGTTTGTCGTGCGTAAAATTTATTAATATCCGCCATGCTTGGAGTATCATTTGGTGAACTTATTTGGCTGTGCATGTATTATTGAGCATAATTTAACTTACATCTGAGGAATGCGGAGACGAATCGTGTATAACCCCAGTCTTCCTTTGCTCTTTACCCTGCTAAAGGCAGTGTACTTAAAAATTAATGTAATATTCCACAAGTCCTGGGTACGAAGATGGAATTTCCGAGGAGGGGCCAGACACCGGAATGCCAACCTGTCACAGTCTCCTTCCTTTTCTTTCAACGAAACGGGACAAGCAAAAATACTTCATACTTGTCGGTCGGGGGAGAGTGTGCCACTGGGCACTGAAAGCCTTTGCCTCTACCAAACTATGTTCAGCCGAATTTTTCAACCCTATTCTACAAAAAGAACCAAAATTTGCAATTCTATCCCCAACCAAAATCTCTAATTGTTTAATACCACAGATTAATTTCCCACAAATACTGGTATTTGAACTTAGCCACTGATTTTCAAAGGTGCAGTACTTTATCCTGCACAAAACTGTTCAAAACCCTACCACTTACCACCCAGCAGCACATACATGTACTACCTAATATATAGCTAAGATTCAAAAGTGCCCTCCCCTACCCCCCTTCTCCCTGAAAGTTATATTTCTCCACTCCCTGAGACAACTCAAGTCAGTTTGCAATGCTGGCGAATCTCCTCAGCTTGCATCTTTCATCATTGGCATCATTACTGTCTACAGAGTGATGCTGTACCAGAGATTGAAGATGATCAACCGAGAAACCCATTCACAGAGCTGAGACTTCTCTCCTCTCACAAAGACATTGTTCATCTTTTAACAGTCATTGATGAAAGAAGGTACATGTAAATCTTTGTGAGAAAAATTGATAATAAGATTAGACACCACTTTTGGCTGTTAAGGTATACCCATCAAGATGATAAATAAACTGACACTCTTTAGAATGTAGGTTCTTGTTGTTGTGGTTATCTGCAATAGAAGACATGTCTTAGTTATCAGATTTGAACAACATGCATTCGCATCTGTTCTTCATCTAACACTGACGCTTTTACTTGATACAACTGACAATAATACACAAACTTTAGGTCTATTTAATCAAAGATGAAGAAGGTAAAATTAGTTGTGCATTTTAGTCAGAAAAATATAAACCAATTACATGACAAAGACAGTAAAAAAAAGTGTCTGAAGAATTTCCAGTACATTGATCTTCACATCAGCATAGGTTCAATATTGCTACTACAAAATTTTATTTTCTTTCAGGTTTGCATCAGCATCTGATGATAATCTTGCAGTCATTTGGGATGCAAAGGTTTTTTACTTCTATTGCTGAATAAAATTAGGCTTAACCTTTAAACTGAAGGATGGATGATCTGTCTGAATTGGAATTTGGAGTGTTGGTTTTTCAAGAGAAGGGTAAACTGGAATTCTCGGCAAAAAACTTTTCAGAGTAAGGGAGATAACCAACAACAAATCCTACCCACATATGGTGTTGAAGCTGGGACTTAAACCCCAGGCCACATTATTTGGAGGCGAGTGCTCTCGCCTGCACATGTTCCCCCTCCCCCTGACTCCCCTCCCACTTACGCCTGCCCTATTAAATCCAACATATATTAATGCTTATTACTTCTCACTTTTTGCAAAATTTTGGGTTAAGGGAGGGATGGAATTACTGACGCACAATTTATATCAATTTCAGCTCTTGTGTTGCATGTCTACCCAATGAATGGTCAAAAAATAACCATTTTAGAGCTGTCTACTTACAAGCTGTATTCTTGTCCACAGACTGGCAAACGGATGAACGTTCTGAGGGGTCACTCACGACCCATTAAATGCATGCTTCTGTTGCACCAGAGACATGAGTTTCAAAATGAGGAAATAGCTGCTACCCTGTTGTTGACAGGTTCTTCAGACAGAACTATTTTGGTATCCTTGTTAATAGCACTGTCTAGCTTTACGGTAGCTTGATATTTTTATAGCCAGATTTTAGAAAATGTTACGGCCACATCTAATAAGCCTGTTTTGTTCCTTGACTATCTTACTATTTTGGTTCCATGTGAAAGGTTTGGGATGTTGCTGATGGTCAGTGCTTGCACACAATTAAAGATCACTGTGGCACTGTGAAGGTTTGTAGTAAGTGTACAGGGGTTTATTTCCACATCTCCTTAATGAAGGGCACTTGGAACCTACGGGCAGGTCTTTGAATAAGACTGTGCTTCCACCACCCACTTAGTGGAACCTTGTTAATGAGACCAGTGTTGAGCCATAAAATCCTGGTCATAGTAAAAAAGTGGATGCATTAACGGGGTCTTAAAAATAGGAAAATGGCTCGTTGATTTATGTTTGGGTCAAAAGAATATGGTCGTAATAATGAGGTGATCATAAGGTAGGGTTCCACTGTATTCTGTAAATCAACCTTCAGTCTCCCTTCATGCAGCTGTTTTTAGTGTCTTCAGACAGTGCAAGGGAGACTATCCCTGAATCAAATGGTTTCCTGGCTACTTGCTAAATATTCACTTTTTATAAATCTTAGCTTCCTCTGACTGACCTTGACAAATTATCTGGGACAAGTATGGAAACCAGTGTTTATTAGAGGGATCACCTCAACTTCTTTTGATAATCCCATCCTGCCTAAAGCTATAGGACTGTCTGGTGGGCTTAGTACCCTTCCCACCCCCTGCCTGCTATCCCCACCCAAGGCCCCTGTTAATGCATAAACACCATTTTCCTTTCCTTTCCAATATGGAGCTTGTGATCATGATGTTAGTTTGCTTTATTGTTTATATTCCAAATGGTAAACAGTGACTAGGAAATAATAGTAAAGTTTTTCAAGACAGTGGGTCTTGCCTCCTATGTCTCATAAACATTTTAATTGCTGATGGGTTTGTTGCATTTTGCTAATGTGAAAGTGCTCAATGTCTGTATTCTATATGCAGCCACTAGGTTAACTGCATGTATTCTACTTATTCATTCAGTGCTTAGTCAACATGAAAGAGGAAACAATTTTCTTTTCTGGTGGTCAGGATCTCTGTGTGTGGAATGAGAAAGGAGAGTTGCTAGACAAACGCGACAGGGCCAGTGAACATTGTAAGTACATACTGAATTTTGAAATTTTATTAGAGATTTTTAGTGAATGAACAATGTCACTGTTCTGTCCAGTTATATACATCATCATCATTTCGGCCATCTAATTCTTAAATGAATGATTAACGCACTTGCAGTTTCTTAAAGCCTATTTTGTAGCTTAGAGTTATCTGCATCAAATGATTTGACTGCCCATTCAAATTGAGTGCTCATTTCATTTGAAAATGTTTGAAATTTTGCCTCCTTATATGACTGAAGATGCTAAATTATTACACTGTAACATGCCAAGTACAGAGCAATTTTATCTGCCTCCATTGCAGCTGATATTCACACATTACTCCCAATAAAAAACAACAGAATAGTGGCAGCCTCCAACAGATCTTCTCTTGGTGAGTGTGTTTATTAGTGACAAAAACTTAGTGGAGGGAATACTTCGCTTTTTATATAGCCTTTTGACGATGATCTCAGATTGTACATGTACCCAGGCTTTTTTATGGCTACAAATGCTATTGCTCTGCTTTCAAAATTGATGACGGCACCAGCAGCGAGAATTATAAACCATTAGAGGTTCAATAAACAAACAACAACTCTGCACGTGCAGGACACATCTTTAGTGCATTTTATTATTGTCAAGGCATTACTATGACATGAAATTCTCTAAAACTACAATTTTAGGTTGGTTTCTAGTAAAAAGGTTGGCTGTAATATTGAAATAGGGGGTATAAGCAGTCACAGTGGATGGCAGTGAGGACGTCACTCATGAAATGAATTTTCGTCATTCCAAACCCATCTCACCTTGATAATCCCATGCTCAACATCTCAAATGTTAGAGAATTTCCTGGAGTTGAATTCTAGGGGACTGCACCCAAGTTTAGAAAGAAAAAGAAAGATTCATTGTCCCCAGCTGTAATGAACGTTCTCCTTAAAACGTTGAAATCTTTCCAAAGTGCAGAGCCTAATTAGTAGTCCAACCTTTCATCAATCTTACACTGTAAAATTAGTCCATACGTACGTCCTCCTATTCATGTAAGCCGGGATGAAATTTTAATGTATAAAGATACTCAATTTAACAGAAATTTAGCTAACCGTATCGGGTTACTTGGGCACACAAAATGATTTCGAGCCTTGGATTTTACATTTTGTTTGAGTAACTTATTGACATAAACGAGAGCTTCGCTTTAAGCCCTGGCTAAATCTATATATAATTATTATGTTTTTACAGTGGTGTATTCAATAATAAGGCCTTCAGATGATTCAGAAGCCCTGAAAATCGTGGAAATCAAGAAACTTTCACCTCACAGGGAATCAATTCGATGTCTTATCAATGTGGCAGGCAGGTTTAGTTTTTTTCATTTCGGTTGGATCTTTTCTTTACTCTTGCCTTTACGTGTACTTCAACGAAAATGAATGGTTTCTTCATTATCACCCAAATATATTGAGTCAACTCAACTCACCCACAAGTAGAACATTAGTTATTCCGGCCTTAGAACTAAAACAACTTCACGTTGCCTTTAAGATATTTCCATTGCCAAGCAATCGTGCTTTGTATATCAGGAGATTATCTTAAGGTCTTACCAAAATAATCATATTTATTATTTATTCAAAATATTTCCCCATCTCTGAAATCAAAATCAATTCTTCGTAACCAACTGGTGTTGACCAAATGTGGAAGATAGGAGCAATATTCCATGGATTCAATGATATAATATCCAAGCAGCCTCGTTTCTAGACAAATGTCCAATCCGTCATCATCATCATAAGCAGGAGGAAAACAAAATACACTTGTATAAGTGCCCTCAGAAACTTTTACTTTTCTTGTAAGAGGAGCTAAGTTTTTGTTTTAAATACTAGATAGTATGTTTGCCTCTGCATCGCTGGATGGAGCCATCGTTCTCTGGAGCACTCACAGTCTTTCTTACACAAGGCAGTTTAACTTTGTCAAGAATTACGAAGGACCCAGTCACACTTATCCCTCCAGCACTCAACATGTGTTTACTGTAGATCAGGTATGGATGATAAACAGACGCACTCACTTGAATTTTGACTTCAAGGCCTGAAAAATCTTCTTTTTTTTTCCGCTTTCTGGGTCAGTGGAGAAATCCCATGCATTGGCTATTATCTACAAAAGATAATAAAGTAATCGCTTTAAAAGACTTAGCAGACAGTGAAAGGTAATGGCATGATAGGCCCGCCCGTCTCTTCCCGCGCTCATTAACTTTCACGCGCCCCATATTACTTAAAGGGGTAATATGTTATTTGTAATTGAATATTCTTTTCTTGACCTTCTCAGAGATACATGTTTGCGTCAATTGGTCAAGGATTTTCCTTGTTCGATTCAATGTCAGGTAAATTTTAGCAAAATTGCGGTAGGGACTCTTACTGTATATGTAGGAATAAATCATATGCAGGATCTAGTTTGAATTTTGTTGGACAGATTCTTTAACGATGACATAAGAGGCACCTCTCTATAAAAAAATAATCTTCAGAGTGACACCTTTTCAGTAGACTGTTCACAGTCTCTATTTTTCCGTTAGATGGTCAAGATCGAGGGCTTTGCGCTACGGGCTTCCATCCTGCATGAGTGTCAAAACTGGCGGTTTGGGAGGAAGCGAGCTATTTTTCTCGCCCCCCACTCCCCCTACAGCTATAATCCCCAACGCCCGCCCCTCGGTACATTTGAAAATCAAGATGGCCGCCATTAACGGTAAGACGCGCTATATCTCGACGATCTCACGAAAAAATAGGGGACTGTGAACAGTCTACCTATTCAGTGTGGCAAAGATCTTTCCAAAAAAGAATGACATATAAGCAAGAAGTCAAGCTGTGGGACGTCCTAATCTATTTCTTGTTGACAATAACTGTCCCTTTTCAAGGCCGGTTTTCACCAGTGTCGGAATCGGTGTCGTAATAAATTGAGGTCTAAATAAAATATCGTAGACGCTTAAGCTCAACTGGAATTGGAGTCCCAGGATTCAGGACGTTTCCAGCTTCTCCGGAGTCTTCTTATGAGTCCGTCGCTTTCGATCTTGCGAAAACCAGATTGTCGGAGTTGGAAATAGTAACAGAAGAATAAACCAATCACAATGCTAGTTGATACGCGTTGTGATTGGTTTAGTTCCTCCGCTTTTCCTGCTCCCTGGTCAGTGAATTTTCAATTATTTATGATGCTAACGATTCAGAAAAAAAAATTCTCAACACCATATCCCCGAGATGGCATTACGTACTACGTTCGCTTTTACCTTTTTCTGTAGATGTTTGTGATTTGTAAATTGTTCCATTTTAGGAAAATGTCTCGCTAAAGTCACAAATGCTCACCATGGAAAAATACTTCACTCTCTTCTGTTATTTGATGGGTAAGAACTGTCGGTGTTTTTCATGAAATACCATAAGTAGTTTGAACATGATTGTTCATGTGACTGTGGTCCTGCATGGTCTGTTGTTGACAGTATAGACAGTGTCCATGGTGACAGTATCTACGGTGACAGTTTTTAAGGTGACAGTATCCATAATGTTAGTGACTGCTGACATTTTAAAAGCACCCTGTGCAGTTCTCATCATAAGAGTCAAAGTCAAGGAGTAAGAAAGCTGTATTGTTCTTCTGATTTTGCCATTAACAAGTTGCCGAAGGACGATACTAGGGACCTTACGATCCGACAACGACAAGGTCCATGAAAACGTCACTAAAAAAATAGACGCCGCTTCCTTTCAACCCATTTCGCGATTTTCCCAAGTCGGCCTGTTACTTAAAAGAAGGGAATTTATGTTGGAACTGAATAGAGTGGGCCGCGCCCCAGTTCAGACAGAGATAGTAGAGTTTATCGCCTTGCCGTTCCCCTTCTCAAAAAACTTCAAATTTGGTCATTTCACGTCGTAGTTGTGTAGGGACGGCAAAGAAATGCACAAAAAAGGGTGATGTTGTTTTGCTAACTAAACCTATTGCTTTTTGCCGCTACTGATGCTGTTGCCGTCGTAGTTTCGTAAGGTCCCTATTATCACGTCGGTAAGAATACAACTTTGGCAAACTTAAGAGGAGGGCTATTACTGGTTTGTTTCTCTAATAACAGTTTGATTGTTTGTTTGCTTGCTTTTTTGTAAGGTTCTTTCAATTAAATTCCGATATTTAGCCCCTCCAAAATGAGCCCCGGGGCTTATTTTCTGAATTTTAACGTTGTTTGAAATGAGAATCATCATTTCATAATTTAGTGTTAATTATTCCTCGTGTTTGCTGTTTTAGTTACGTCCTGGCTACTTGTTCTGAAGACGGTTCTGTCAGGATTTGGGGATCTCCCCATCCTCGCTTAGTCTGTAAGTAATATCAGCTTGTCAAAGTGTATCACTCCTTTAAGTGCCAACGTCAGTGTTCATACTTTGTGGTGGTTATTTAATTGACTCAGTTGACACCAGTTTTATTGCCTCGATGAAATGAGTGTCGCATCCTCGGAGAAGCAGGGGAAGTCTGTTGGGTCGGGAGACGGCTCGACAAAAGTTTCGATAAGAACACTTTCCCACATGCCCTGCGAATGTTTCTGCTCAGGAGTAGCCGCCGTGTTCAATTCCGAAGAAGTCGAAGCGTTGGAGCGAGTCAAAGTGGGTGGGGTAGGAGACGGGTAAGGAGGTGGAGGAGAGGGAGAGAAGAAAACTTCCCTTCTCCTCCCCCACCTCCTTTTTTACCCTAACGCCAATAAAATAAGTTTCCTTTGGTCGTGTGAATGAGAAAACTTGACAAATCTCTCACCTTGTCAAGGAAAGACCTGGCAAGTTTTCCAATTTACTCGAACAAATTCACTTACCAAGTAGAAGTTGCTCTAGTCCATGGGGATCAACTTTTGACACTTCACTTGCATTTTTTTTGTTTACTATTTTCTCTGAATAGGCGATGGCTCAGACGTGAAATCGTTTACGTTGCACATCGAACGATTCCTCGGAAAAAGGCAAGTACACAAACACTCGACACCTGGGGTCCTTACTATTTACACAAACCACCCGGGTGGAAAGCTGTGCACAAACATAAAACTGTAAAATTCAACAAGGTAGGAGAACGAATGGCTACAAAGTATATCAAAATCAGCTGAACAGGCTAAAAAGAGCAGACGAATAAATTGCATCGCCTCAAGTCACAGCCCATATTTTCTGAAGCTTCCCAAACGGAATGGCGCGAACCATTTGATTTTCCAACCGGTATTTCCGGTGTTCCCATGTAAATGGTAAGAACCCCTACATTAGATTGATTGGTAATTACGTCTTCCTGTTGTTTTCATCTCTAAAATGCTTTCTCTTTATTGTAGCATTTCAGAAATACAGCATCTCAACAATCCAATTCGTCCAGCACTTTTGGGGGAGTGTGTTGCCCATACCGGCGCTGTTAATGTAAGTCAAAGAAATAATGTAGCCGTGAAGCTACAATCGGTGGCAAAATTTTTGAGACACTACACACAAGTTTGGTAACTTCGGAGAACAAAACAATCCACAACCTTCCCCTGCCTTCCATTTTATGAAGGGGTGAAGAAGGGAATACTTAATTTTCCACATCTGAATTCGACAAAACGTCAGAAAGGCCCTTCAGGGCAAAGTGTCTCGACTAATTTTGTCGCCGATTGTAGACTCCTTTAGGCTTGGAGTTCCAAACACTCGCGGCTCGCTATCTATTATGCTTTCAAACAGACCGCACTGGTTTTTCGTTGTTCAGTTCACGCATAAACGTAGGCGTGGCAACAAAGTGATGACATGTTATTGTTTTGGTTCTTAAAGATGGCCGTTAATCTTGGTAGAGAGGGCTTTGCCTCGTGCGGAAGCGATGGCCTTGTTGTCTTATGGAAGGTGAGTTCTGTTGTCTGACTAGTGTANCGTGAAGCTACAATCGGTGGCAAAATTTTTGAGACACTACACACAAGTTTGGTAACTTCGGAGAACAAAACAATCCACAACCTTCCCCTGCCTTCCATTTTATGAAGGGGTGAAGAAGGGAATACTTAATTTTCCACATCTGAATTCGACAAAACGTCAGAAAGGCCCTTCAGGGCAAAGTGTCTCGACTAATTTTGTCGCCGATTGTAGACTCCTTTAGGCTTGGAGTTCCAAACACTCGCGGCTCGCTATCTATTATGCTTTCAAACAGACCGCACTGGTTTTTCGTTGTTCAGTTCACGCATAAACGTAGGCGTGGCAACAAAGTGATGACATGTTATTGTTTTGGTTCTTAAAGATGGCCGTTAATCTTGGTAGAGAGGGCTTTGCCTCGTGCGGAAGCGATGGCCTTGTTGTCTTATGGAAGGTGAGTTCTGTTGTCTGACTAGTGTAGTCATAGACTCAGTCTATATAATGCCATCACAAGACAGAATAATTGTTCTCTCTTTTTCATCACCATTGTCACGGTGTCGATCGCTCCTCTGTTTCTCCAATCCTTTACCACATTTGTACTCATACATTCTCCTGACGTCTAACTGATTGTGAGTCCATTTAAGTAGTCGTTTCGTGCTATATATTGAACTAATGCAAAGTTTTCTTTCTAGGATGGTGTGTTGGAAAAGGAAAGAAGAAACGAAATGGTTCGTCAAATTCTGTTGTCCATGGATAATAACACGCCGTGAAGACTTAGCCTGTGCCAGGCTCTCAGGTAGTATAGTGGGAATGTATTAAAACGAACAGAGCGAAAAATGAGACACGTGCGACTTGGGAAAGGGGGCGGTGTGGCCCCACGCGTTTTTCGCATTTCTTTTTACTGAACGACTTTTCACCACTATCTCGGAGCGTGGAACAGGCTATGAAGACTTGGCGGTAGAATCAGTCACTTTTTTCGTGACGGTTAAGGAAGCTCCTTCTGCCGAAAAAGAAGAGTCTGTGTACTGTTGACTTGGAGACAAGTAAAGTTCTGATGTTTAGAATAGGTTTAGTTTCCTACGCAACCGTCGTTTCGATGCGAATTAGGCTTGTGGAATGCTTAAATTATTTTTTTGTAAATGGTTCTTTTGTCTTTTTATTCTCAAAGCTATAGTTGGTTATTAAGAAAATATGATAAATATATTTGACAGAGATTTAATATTCGACCACAATAAAATTTTATATTAAAAATTTGCATATGAACGGATTTTCGTTTTTTCGCCGTTTTTAGCATGGTGCGTTTGACCGTGAGTAAGTTCACGAATCTGGGCGTTATCTGTGGATAAACTCAGTCTAGCTGCACGCACTAAAGGCCGGGATTGGACTTTGTCTCAGTACCGATGCGTTAATTCTCGTCCTCAGAGCCTCCTGGGGACACAGGATTTTAGGACTTCCGGTTATTTCTGATTCAAAAGTAAGTTGGGGGATTCTCTTTTAAAAGCTTTGAATCACCTAAATTTACGTAGTCATTGACACTTCTGAAGTGAACGCTATTAGAAACCTCGTAGAAAATCAGAAATGACCGGAAGTCCTAAAATCTGGGACTTCAAATCCTGTGTCACCAGAGCCTCCTGGTCCTCGTGCTCAGGCCTCCAGGAGGCTCTGGGGACGAGAAATGCGATGCGTGGTGGTAGTTTCAATAGTTACACGCGCGATTTTATAAGGTACCAAAAATCATAGCATATTACATGTATAATCATAACTATAACAAAATTGTCAAATCTGATTGGCTCTCAACTGCCCTGATTTCAGCCTTAATTGGACAGTTTCATAGGGCCCCTTTGTTAACTCTACTGCAATTAGTTTGGGAAAAAACACAAAAGGAATACGGTAACTGATATGTCTACGTTTTTCAAAAAAAAAGCAAGCACATGACCCCAACACTACATTATGGTTCCGTACTTTTCCGCTACTTTTCGATCAATGACGCTGAAAAACAAAAACAAATTTAAAGTTTTCGCTGCGCTTAGGCTCAATCAGATCACAATTTCATCCCAAGGTAATGTAGACTTGTGTCTGGTTCAGTGAGAAAGGACAAGAATAGGACAGTTTTTCGTTGTTCAGTTCACGCATAAACGTGGGCGTGGCATCAAAGTGATGACATGTTATTGTTTTGGTTCTTAAAGATGGCCGTTAATCTTGGTAGAGAGGGCTTTGCCTCGTGCGGAAGCGATGGCCTTGTACAGAATACCTTCCACTCAAGACAACAGACTGATCACATGTCATAGACTCAGTCTATATAATGCCATCACAAGACAGAATAATTGTTCTCTCTTTTTCATCACCATTGTCACGGTGTCGATCGCTCCTCTGATGTAGACTTGTGTCTGGTTCAGTGAGAAAGGACAAGAATAGGACACTAGATTAAGAGACATTGATATTAGTCTGCCGTCTGCGGGAAAATAGACAATGCTTTATTTTGAAATTTGCATTGAACACGGAAAAGACTAATAGCGGGTACACATTTCACCTTTCGAGCTGCAAATATTTTGTCCTCAAGCATCTGCAGTTGTTTATGTCTTTAGCACAGTAAACGTGCTCAGACAGCTATTTGATGGGTTTGACAGTTATATTAATAAGTTAAAACAAGACAGAAGGAAGACAATAAAATGGCATATAAAATAACAGAGCTTTTACTCGTGCTGTCAGTACGCTGAATCGGGTGGGGTGTTGTGAAGCCTTTTTGGTGTGTTAACACCCTACGCGAAAATGGAAAAAACAGGAGAATCAAGCTTGATAAAAAGATACCATGGAGGTGCGCTTCAACTGCCAAACGCAAAGCAAAGGCGAAAACAGACTTCGTCTTCGTTGACTTACGTAACCGTGATTGCACGGGCCATACTGAGTTCACCCCTCCAGAGACTGCCCTTGAGTGAGATCTACAAGTTTATCGAGCAGCGCTTCCCTGAATTCACTGAGAACAGAGCTAGATGGAAAAACACTGTTCGCCACAATTTGTCCCTGCACGACTGTTTTTTGCGTGGCGAAGTGTCTGTTGACAAGAAAGGGTGCAACTGGAGGATCCACCCATCCTTCATCGCCGATTTCCGCCGCGGAGACTTCTCAAGGCATAAGTTCTCACAACTTGATACAGCAGCTTCGTCTTTGGAAAGAAGGTATGCGATGAATCCGCATTTAGCTAACGCCGATGTGAACCAGGGTACTCGTTGCTACTTTTGCCAATCAGCTGGCTTTGTTTTCCCATCGCCATGTTTGTTACGGCAGTTTCAACGGCAAGGAACGCAGCACCCACAGATCCCTCGATTTCCATGGCGGCCTGGGATTCTCTAAACTCTTACTACAAACTTTTTGTTATCTCTTTACTTGCTAAACGAAGTGATGAATAAGGCGTCAGTAAGTTAGCTGCTAACTCAGTAAAAATTTAAAAAGTTTTTTTTTTCCTTTAAATATCCATATTTACTGCATCCTGAGTCTGGATAAACTAACGCTGGAGAATTCTACAATACTTTGTTTCTAAGACGCCGTACTTTAAGTTTACTAGCGAGCTTTAGCTTTAGCTACGATGGCAGCGAAAACGTCACTACTGAAATGAATTCGCCTCTTTTTCAAACTTTGTCATGTTTATTCTAACTCACTTAAAATGTCAGATGTAGGTAAATTTCCCTAGAGTTGAATTTTTGCGAAACGCACCAAACTTCAGCAAGAGATAGAAAAGCTCACCTCCTCCAACGACCCACGAACAAATTTCACGTCGTGGTCGGCCAGGTGCGGCAAAGAAATGTACCAAAAAGTGTGCCACACGTGCAAAATTGTTGTTTTGGTTATCAAACGTTTTGCTTTTTTGACGTCTATGTTGCCGTCGCCGTCGTCGTTGCTAAAGCTCCCTTTTTTTTCGCCTGAGGAAAAGCTACAAAGTAACTAAACTGAAAGTGTAACCTTTCAGATTATGTAGTTAAGCATTACCATTTATTCGCTGTTGTCACTGTATTATACACCAACTAACATCAGCCTACTTGACTTTGAACTGCGAAAATAAAGAGTCTTCTTTCCTATGATTCTAGCATTCTTTAATTGAACCCCTGCCTTTACGCCACCGAGCAAGTAACCGCATTTCTTCGGAAAAAGTGACATTGTTCGGGAATGATTGACGATCCTCTGTTGAAGCCCATAACCTTAGTTTTTTTTCTAAATTTGATATGAAATTTAAAAGTAAAAGTGAGATATATATGGCTCATAAACACCACTAACAATTTCGTAATGTTCACATGAAATTTAGTTATTCATATTATTAAAATGTTACAGTCTATTTTTGTTTTTGTAGCAAAAGTGCCCTCCTTCGGGGGAAATATGGTTTTTTTTTCTGGAACTACACAGTGTTTTAAGTCTTCAGTAGCGCGAGTCAGGACGATTAAACGTGACGAAGAATGTGAGTCAACTGTTTTATCATGATATATAGGGCCTTTCGTTTCAGTGGTAGTCTAAAGGGAGTGCCACGGATGTAATGTTTCCCTTTATGTCTCAAGTGCTTTCAAATTATAGTATTTTTAATTTTTTTCTTTATTACGAGAAAGACAACGGAGTTTTACTGGTGTCTAGAGCCGCGTGGTTACCATGCGTGCGTCTGATCAGCCATAAAGCGGGCAGTCACTTGAGCAATCTAACAAAGACGAAGAAGATAAACACGCGTTATCGGTTTCTTTGAGTCCTCTAGGGCAGTATTCCATAGTAAACTTGTTATTTTTATGCCGGAGGAGACAACACGTGGCAAGTTGATCTTGACAGATCGTAATCTACGAGAAAGCCCTTGGGCGGCCACCTAAATTGGAAAGTTCGTTTCTTAATCTCGAGCATGTGAAAGACGTCGTAAACAATCTATAACTTTGCACAAGCTATAACATTTTTGGTGTTAACAACTTCTTTTAAGTACTAACAGCTGAAATATTCGTTCTCTGTAACTGTTAATCGCTACTAATAAGTTAGAAATATTTTTTTTGTGTTTGTCGCCTCGTAAAGTCGGGCAACAATATTCTTTCTTGAGAAATCCCGTGACACAAAAGAGACTTGAAATTTCTCATGCTCGTAAGGTATTTAAAACAAAAAATATATATCCAGCTCAACATAGTTGGATAGACGTGTGTTAATTATGTTCAAACGCCTTTCAAAAATAAGGTACAAGATAATTTTCCACTCGTTTCTGAGCTAATATATCCGGATGGTTTTGAACCATATAGTGAATTACATGAGGCCCAAGAAGCTCTCTTTTTCACAAAAAAAATCAAACGTTAGTCTTTTTTATTCTTTAATTCTTTAATTCGTTATATATATGTGAAAACGACTATCGTATGTAGGGCAAAGGAACTCAGTTGTAACTGATCTGTACAACTTTCAAATTTATCTTGACGTCTGACTGGAGTTTTTTAAACATTATTTTTAATTAGTTCCCCGTTCTTAGCATCTGAAAGCATACAATTGTCTCCTCTTTTTCTATTGAACTGAAAGCGTTCCTCTTGTAGACATTTTTTCTTTGCATTTTCATTTTTTTGTTGTTGTTTTTTTCACACCAGCCTTTTTTTTTCGTCTCGCTTTACTTTTTTTAGTCAAACAATGCTTAGCCTTGAAACAAAAAACTGATCTACGTGAATACTTTGTTGCGGTCTGCACGTTTCCATGAAATAAACTACTTTGAATAAAGTTCAAGTTTATTGTTTTGGCACAATACAACATAAAGTCATAAACCTCTTGGCGAGGTAACCCAAGGAAACCACAAGCTACTACTTGGCTTATTAAAAAACTGCCTCTCTAAATAATATTTTTTAGTGTAAAACTATCATTGTGGGAGCCTGAAGCGCCTGTAATTCCTTGCGTTTCGTTTCCGCTTTAGGTTTTTATATTTGGGTTGTTTTGAAATGTGGCTAAACAATAAACTTAAACTTGAACTTGATTCGAAGCACAGCTTCAAGAAAACGTGTAGGTCACAACAAAGAAGCCGATTCTCTTTTTAAGTTTCCCAGCAATATAACTTTCAGTCCAGTAACATTATGTTCATTTCAAGGACCCCTGTCTCTATGTTATGAGAAAAAGAATATATAAATTGTATATATATATTTTTCACCTTTTTTATCACTTTACTTTAAAGAAAACTTATGTCGTAGTCTAAGTTTGTGATCGCAAGTTTACATTATCCATATCACATGCTTTGTAGGATTCTATCGAATGCCTTTTTATTTAACAATTCGAGAAAACTCATTAACTATTTATGAAGGTATTATTCAAAAGAAAGTCAACAAGGCTGAGGTTTAAGCCCCAATTTTCTTAGCAAATACAACTCAAACCCAAGGATTATTTAAGATGTGAAGAGTTTTAGCCAAATTAACGTTCTCACTCCTTATGAAGCTATGGGTGGCAGCGGAGGACAATTAAATCACACAATCCCATGAAGATTCAGCGCATTTTTAGATGTATAATTAGCCATTCAAGGCGGGTCATTTCTCTATTTTATTTCATTTCACTTCCTCACGGAACATAACCGTCCATATTGCTTTTCAGCTCGATATTGATGAAAGGGCCTCTTTAGCACGTGTATGACGCCACGCTTAAATTGAACAACAACTTTTAATAGATGAATGAGCTTAGAGTTCCTGTACTCCACGTGTTCTTGACCCCTTGGTCATTTCTTTCTCGCCATAGAGTCGCGCAACGGCCTTCGGTTCTTCATGGCCGGCAATTTAATGAGTTCCTTTTTAAATTAGAAATCTGTAAAAAGGCGTGTCTGAACCATTAATTCCTAACGGTTCACGCTATTGTAATTTTCTCCTCAGCCCACGTGTTTTGGGCCACGATACTTTACAAACACTTGGAGACAGTATTGGTCATTCCTTTGGTTCCCTTGTACGTCCACTCGTTGGCAATAGAGCCCTCAACGGTTCCACAATGTACCCATCCATTTCAAGAAATCAATTAGTTTTTGTTTATCATGTATATAGAAATAGTGATCTACTGTCATTTAATACCAAATGATTGCCAGTTAGAACGACTGTAGATGTACTTTACCCGCGAAAGAGAAACTAACTAGCCGAATAGCTACAAGTAACAAAAGCACACAATGGAAGTAGCGCATAACAGTGCGTAGAGTAAAATATCTCTAATAGCAACATCCATCCAATAAATGCACGAAAATGTTGTGATTCTCAATTATTGCCCCTTGCTTTAAGTTAAGTTCATTATATTAACTTGCGTACTGAGCTTTGAATAAAAACAGTCCTGTATACATTTAGCAAAGCGAGCTGGAGTCCTTATTAGTTAACCTACTTAACCTTGTCCAAGTGAAGTTTCCATAATTACGAGAAGCACAACAGAGGAAAAAGGGCCGACCCTCAGGCGGTGTTCTTTGTCGAGGTTGAAAACATGAAGCGGCAATCTACTCTGAAAATATTCCCACGGTCTGTTCAAACACTGACCACAAAATAAGCCGCAAAAAGAGGTATATTTACCACAGTCATTATATTTACTCAACTTGATATCAGTAATGTTTCACGGCGATGTGTGCAGATTACGTTGTAAACAAGGCGCCAAAAGTCATATACGTAGAAGAAAAGAGGAAAACGTCAAAATGGCTTACTGTTGTAAGATCTTGTAATTGTCTTTATCAGTTTCCAGTTTCTGTTTTATACACTATGGGACATTGAATGTCTATGCTAGCGTACTTTTTACGGTTAGACCATTAAATCCTGCAAACTTTGCCGCTATATCTCTTTTAAAATCTCGCTTGTCGCTTTTTGTCTTTTCCGTCTATTTTGTCCAAGATTATAGAAACAAATGCTCGTAAAGAAATATCTCTTGACAGTTTGCTAATTTAGCTTTGCCAATTGTCCTAAATGTGGCAGCTACGGTTTTCCCTAGTCTATTTGAACTGCTTGGTAGGCGTTCAGAGGGGAGCCGGAAGGGAAAATGGAAAATAAGGAGCTCTGTGCATTAATTCTAGCAACGCGGAGGAGCAGTTTTTAAGTAAGTAGTAAGAGCAACAAAAATGTACCCCTCTCTAATCGCAGAATATGAAAACGTATCTCTGCAAACTAAGACTAATCTGCAAGGTTTGGTATAAAAACCTTAGAGAACTCTGCCTCCCTCACGCTGCACAAAAACAAACTGCTAAATAGAATCCCGCTAGTATACGTTTTGGTGTGTACGCGTAATAGTAAAATGGAAATTTGTTCCTTCTGCAGTTAACTATGAAGTGCTTGCGGTTCATTGGTAACGGAGTGTATTTCAACTCCCCTCATGCAAGGGAATCCAGGATATTTTTCCTTGTGAGATTCGGAATCCGGGATATTTTTACTTGTGGATGATCCGGAATCCCAATAGCGACTGGAATCCGGAATCCTCAGCGTGGAATCCAGAATCCAAGACTGTCTTGGATTCACGCCTTATTGAGTGTTTTTCACATGACGTCACGGCGGAATCGGCTCCTGTCCCAAACCAGACCTCTGGGAGTTGAACTCTTTTCTTGTGCAAACGATTTCTTTTGTTCCAATAAATTTGCATAGATACTGGCCACGTGAGTGAAAACACTCTATATGGGCAGGAGCCCAACTACTAATTGAAAATCACTGCTGAATTTTTATTGTGTATGAACAGAAAAAATTTCCAACTACTTTACAGTTTAAGGCGTTTTAGTGTGCCTCACTAGAAAAAAGGACGTACTTCGGGCTTGGCTGATGAAGCGTCGAACCGCGGAAGGAATAACGTTTAATATCTTAATCCACTCGTAGAGAAAAGAAAAAAGCAAAAACGCCTACATTTTTAATAATGAAAATGATTTGTTCCAGCAAGATACCACACGACGTCATATTGTCTGGCTCTAAATGAGGTTCAAATATTCATTAAAGAATGGGATTCACAGAATCTCATTCATGGTGCTTAAAATCTCTCGAAATCTTTTTCCTGCGTGTGTCAAATCCCAGGATGAATTTCAATCCACAACGACGCTTCTTCGGTAAAAAATAACCTTTGTAAGTCAGTATTACACGCGTCGCTGTAAAAGTCCTCTCCCTCAAAATTCCTGCAAAAAAAAGTATGGTAAGAAATGTCTAAAAGATTACTTCCTTCTTTTAAACCTAATTTTGACCTTACACTGAAATATCAAGAGAAATTTTCCTTGGAAAAGCATTTTGTTTGCGGCCTTTTTTACAGAGCATGGCCAAAAATAAGCGCAATAGTTCTTGACGACTGAGGACTAGGGATGCGTTTACCCCAGTGACGTCAAACAAACTTACCACTGTATCGTTGGTAAACTTCGGTATATAAAGGTTTGTTTTCTGACTAATTTATGGCATCAAAGCCCTCTAATACGATCTTCCCTGGCGCCGAGCTCAATTGCGTTAGATTCAATTTCACTTTCTCCCATTTAATGCATGCCATATAAATCACGCAGTTCAGGCGCGGAGCTAGGATATATACTAACTAATTTCCTAAACGAGCACCGAAGGGGTAAGCCTCCCAGGGGGATCCGGCCGCGGGCTCCCCAAGCATACCTTATTATAGGAAATTAACGCTCCATGAAATTAAGGTATTGGAAATTAACGCGACTTAAATTAACGCGAATTTAATGGAAAACGACTTAGCTTATTTCTTTTAATTGCGCTTTCTCCTCCATCTTATTCATGATAAAGGAAATTAACGCGATTAATTACGCGAAATCAAAGGAGAAGATATTGACATCATTTCTGACAGCGGCAACGATGAAGATGAACTCGAAATATTGTAAACCTTCGCCCTAGCTTTTGAGAAAGATGAAAAATAAAGGGTTAATTGAAAGAAGAAAAGCTTGTAGTTAATGTTTTTTAGGTGTCAAGAATGTCTGGACAGGTTCCAAACTTGGGGTTAAAATACTGGGAATTAAGAGCGCGGAAATTAACGCTGCACTTAATTAACGTCGCGAAAATTAACGCTCAACAAAATTAACGCGACTTAAATGAACGCGAATTTTAACGATTCGCGTTAATTTCCTATAATAAGGTATTTTTTTGATTTTTACTTCTTAAGTCCCCTTTCCTGGTTTTCTCAGTCATTCAGACAGGATATTGGCCAGATTGCAACTTGGAAAGTGTTTTTATTAGTAAAAATTTAGTTTTTTATGAAAAATGTGACCGATTTCCGTAAAACGGTGGAAACCGGTGTGGATCCGCGCTTGCAGTATAAGACCTTATTATGGACGTTGTGCAGCAAACTTTAAGGCTTACTTTTCAAACTATGAAGGGGAAGGGTAAGCAGGAGCCAATATTAACCGGCTCAGGCGGCTTGGCCTAACTTCACAGTTTACTGGTTTAGACTATCATCTCCCTACCCGAGAAATAGTGAGCTGCCGGCCACAGGAATAGGTGTAAATAAGAAGTGTAGTTTATGAAAAACAGACAAGTAAACAATCAAACAACAATTTATTGTTAACATGTTAATTGGGTTATACTGTGAGAGCTAAAAGGGTGAAACGCTAAAAAATCTTTCTGCGCTGCAGAAAAAGTTATTTTTCACACGTATACCATTTTTTTCTTCGTACACCCAATGCATTTCTGGGACACCTTGCAGACTGAAAAATGAATTCGTTTGAATGCTTTCCGCTCGAGGTGGACCTAACAATAAACAGATTTATGAAACCGCCTTTTCAAAATACAAATCCGAGTAATGCGTTGGCCTGATCTTAGGCAAACATATGTTCAGTAAAAATCGGCTGTATACTTATACCAAGAGAGGATAAAGCTTTATCCTCTCTGGCTTATACAAAATATTAGATAACATAAGGGCGATCCCAGAGCAGGTATCAATTATGTTATTAAAAACACAATTTTCGGCAGGCGAAGGAATTCGTTTCATAGCACGTTCCTCCTCCACTGTCAAATTATTCTCTCCTAAGAATCAGTCAATCCAGCAAATAGGTTTACAACATGAAACATAAAAGATATGTCTGATATACACCGTAATAGATCTATATATGTTACTAGAGTGAGTTTTTGTTCAGTACCTGTTGGATGCCGCTATAGAATACCATTGTTCACGTTTGTGGTTAAAATTATATCATAATCATACTTTATAACAGTCTCTACGTGGATATCCTCGATATAATAAAGAAAACAATTTAAGAAGGCGTCTCTATCGACAGCAAGAACTGAGCTGTCAAATTTGTGGGAATAAATCAAAATTGCAAAAGAAAACTAAGTTACTGAACAGTGCTTCGGTGACTAATAGGTACACGTTCATGGAGAGCTAAAAGAAGTTAAAGAACTTCACTTACCAGAAACATTTTAACGCGCCTACAACTGTACGATATTGCTCTTTTTGATGACGCCATTTGTAATACTTAAATCCCTTATTTGGACAACTTGTACTGGTTGGTTGTCCTCACAGATAACATCCCCCATGTTATAAGCAGGCACGTAAGGAACATATTGTTTTTTGTCGGCGTTTTGCTGTCCTTTATCTCTGCTACTCTGAGATTCAGTTTCATCATTCTTCTGAATATCTCCTGTTTTATCATTACTTGCCTTCTCGTTTACATCTCTCCGTCTTCTACAAGGTCTCGGTGCGGAGTTAACACAGTACAATAAAAGAAGTAAGCAAGTCGCCACCGCAAATAGTTTCATGACAGATTCCAAAAGGATCCCACCGTAACTTTTGCTGTCGGAGAGAATGAAATAGATATCTTAGCTAATAACTCTCTTTCAACCCCATTTAGCTATAGAAAGCCAATTTTTTTCCCACTCATTCCATGTTCTCTGTGCGGATTCGGTGAAGAAGAAAAGCACAACCAAGATACAACGACTGAAAAGGATAAATAATTCATCGAAAGTGAACACGTATTTTATTGATAAGTCTTCCAGCTGTCTTTGAGCAAAGTGTATCTCCTTTTCGCACGAAAACATTGCTTAGAAACAGAAAATTTCTTCAGCAATTATATTTAGCTGGAAGAATACTTCCCATCGGGGAACACGTGTGGTTTAAACTGCTTTAAGTACTGTATGGAACAACTGACCTTCTCGGTGAGACTCGGCTACTGAACTTGGTAGATTGTTTAAGGTGCATAACGGGTACCAAACAAATAGATAGAAAAAAGGAGTCAGTTACCAAATTAACCAGGAAAGGTTAACAAGTTTCACACAGAGCACAACATTTCCAGAGTGCTCTGTACATCTATTGAAGAATTCATGTCCATGATCTTTCCGATAGACAAATTATTCATCCGTTATTATTGCATGCATGTCTATACTTTGAAAGAAGGCAATTGAAGTCGACGGCTCTTGTTTGTGATTTTACGCTACTCAGTTCACTACGCTGAATCGACCATTCTTGCTGTATCGTGACAGTTTTAATAGGGGTAAGACTATATAGATTAAATCATCTTCTGTTTCTACAGACATTTTTATGGCTCACTGGGCCGTGTCTTCCCCCAGACGATCCCACTGAACTCAAAGTCGCGGAGACTAAAATATATACTAATAAAACAAACAGAAATTGGTGGGAAATGATGGAATAAGGCCATTTTCACGCTGACTACCAGTGGATAAACTATAAAAACAGAATGCTTTTTTTTTTCTTCCTCAGTTCTAACCCTTCTCAACGCGACCAAAATGCTGTAATACACCCCTGGCAAAATCAAAGTTACCGCAATAGTAACCAGTAAGTATCGGTAAACGAGAAAAAGGCTATAATTTATGAATACGGAATTGAGTTCTGTGTTCTTCGATTCACTAGACAAGATAAAATTCAAACAAGGGTCCAACACTTACCTGCGACCTGAGTTTTCCCAGATGGGTTGGTGAATTGCAGAAAACTGGTTATGTCTTTTATTGCTGATTCTTATTGGTTTGGGGCTGGACAAATCCCTAGCGTCAAATTAATTGTTACGCCAAGGTTCATTAAACTTGAAGAATGACCTCAATACTCATTTGGGCTGGTACAATCGGGCACCCGCACAGAAACACAAGAAGAGAATAAACAACCAAGGTCTTGTTGACAGAACCGTGATGCTTACAGCCGCCGTTTCGAGACCACCCACTTCTAAACCTCCTGTACTCTTCAAGTTTCACTTTTCGCGCACACAACTTGGCTGATATCATTTACAAGTAACTACAGTAGTCAAATATCCTTGTTCAAGTAATCTGCTCCAAGAATACGTCATTCAGTACCATGAAATCAGATCATTTATCAGTGTGAGTTTCTGGTTAGCGTCTCTACTCATGTCAGCTGTCTACTGAATACGATTTTTGTAGCATCTCTTTTAAAGGACTTTAGGCTATGTGAATAAGTCTAAATTCAGGATCATTGTCGAGAGGGCACTGTGTCATTGACATGCAATTTATCTGGAGCTAGCAAATGCTAAGGGTTCTGGAAAAACCGGACCGACTGTGTAATTAACTGCCAATTTTCATCAGGTAATACGGCAAGAAATTGTCATCTGTTTGCTAACACCTGCAATTCTAAAGTGTCAGAAACAAATAAGAATCTCAGTTGGATTATACTACTGACGTCGGGCTCTAAATTTGGAAACGTTTTTAACTGCACAATCTTTTACTAGGTTTATTAGTTTATTGAAAAGCCCTAGTAACCGAGAGGATGGATTTGGGACTCATTGATTCTACACGAGCAAAAGCAAACGACCGCGAAGATGATTTTGAAGTCTTGCAGACTCTTCGCTGTCAGATAATCTATGGAACAAGTGCTAACAATACCCGTGGTCTCGACTTTGATAAGTGACAAACGCAAACTGGGGTAATGTTTTGTCTTCAGTTATTTGAGTGGTAAAGAGCGTAGAGAAATGGTGTATTTACTTCTTTTCGAAACTACTCATTTCAGAGGTCCTTTCTTGCGCATTTAACGCTACATGCTACTCAGCATCTAGCTTTCTAACAGACTAAATTTTAAAACTTCCCATTTCAATGATCAGATGATGGAACGAGTCACAGTTTCATCAAGTTATGTAAATCCAAATGTCATGAATAACCATTTGATTGGCGTCTATGGAATTATCCATCTGTTTTGATATTTATCTTTATCTGCAAGGTGCTGTTCTTACGTTTTTAAAAATGTTGTTGGCGACCGTTTCCACAATACTGTTACAGGTCTGAAAGGCTGGTTCCACCTGTCCCGATTCTCTAGTGGAAAAATCGCCCGTCTGATCGACGGTCCGATTCAGTTTCTGTTAGCATTGAATCATGACATATTTTATAGAGTATAGCCAAGATACGGGATGAAAGCCCTTTTTAGACCTCTTGGTATAGCCAAATACAATCTTTGTCATATATTTTGTTGTCTAACCATGCATTTTGACGAAATTGTCAGACAAATTTTCCATTCATGGTATCTTAATTAGTAAGACGGATCTGTTGCTACTCAGTATGAGATCATGTAGGCTCTAAAATTTTTTGAAAAAGTGACAATGGTTTGAAGGGTGACGAAAACTTGTTTAAACAAGGAAGCTTGTATTATGACCCAGTCATGTTGATTTAGACTCTTTAGACAGTACAGAGTCGTGCTATAGACTTGTCTGTGCTAGCTGAAGTTGTGGTGTTTTCGTGTGAACGAAGTCAGTTTGTTTAAACCATTGCTATCTTTTAATTAGTACAGGCTGTGTTCTAATTCTAGCAGTAACATGTCTCATGACAGACGATCGAAAGGCCCTCGAACAACGGATCAGCGGCGCGGACAACGGATCAAGAGAGAACGCCTAGGGACTAGGCTGAGTGCAGTGTACTTTTTCCGGGGTAAATGTCGTCCAAAAACAACATGTAAGGGGGTGGGGGCGGGGTAGTGAGTTTGCTTTCAGCGGAGGCGTTGCTACCTGTACGTCAGTATGCTTGTGCATACCTGGAAACGTTCGAAGATCAATAAATAACAAAAAAACTAAGTCAGTGATGTCTTTTTTGAGATTGGTAGTCGATTCTGCTCTGCCGTCCTCTTCGTATTACAACATGGCCCCCACGAAAAAGCTAGCTAAAAAAAAGTAGTCCTAATCCCTTCTCAGCCAATCATATCGCAGGAAATGGTATAGATAAAACAGTCTATGGCACTGACAGGCAGAGAGGTGTTTTACCCGCACGAACCGTAGCCTGCTACACAGCCGTTTTTAGTGTCGTCACGCAACGCTCCAACTTGGCGTGACGACACTAAAAACGGCTGTGTATCAGACTACTATTATTCATTCAAATATTTTCCTTTTCTGATTGGCCCAAATAACTGTACACCTAAAAATAAGTTCACCAAAAATAAAACTCGAAGGATGCCAACTGCTATTTGCAGAATGTCTGTCAGCCGCGGATCTAGGATAAATACTGACCGATTTCCTAAACGAGGGCCGAAGACGCAAGTACTATCTAGCGGGATGCTTTGGTTTTTAACTCTTAAAGTCCCCTTTCCTGGGTTTTCGAGTCATTCAGGCAGGAAATTGCCCAGGTTTAAACTTGGAAAATGTTTTTTCTTATTTAAAAAAATATATTTATTATGAAAAATCTGACCGATTTCTGTAAAACGGTTGAAACAGGTGTGGATCCGCGCTTGTCTGTTGTAGTAAACATCTCTTTATAACCATCTTGAATTTGCCGAGGAACTGGTAAATGAAGACGGGAGCCGACGAAAGATGTAATTTCTGACGATTGACAGACATGGGAACGAATTTGTCAGAATTTAATATGCTGAGGGCACGGTATAAAGGCACCCTGGCGTTCCTGGGATAGTATCGGGCTATTTATGGTTTTGGCGCGAGATTGTGCCATTCTACCAGTCAGCTCAGTCCTTCTGATAGTTTTCGGTTTGCTTTGCAAGTTTTCCTTTTCTATATTTTATTTTGTTACGTCTTCAGATCTGTATGTTTTGAAATAACGTTTCTTATATTATTTCGATATATAGTTTAAGAATTAAGGTATTCAGACCCGTACTCTTTTCCTTTAATATAATTTTGGCTGCCTCCTCCATAGGCTTTGCCAAGTCGAGACAAGCTAGAAGCGCGAGAGAGGGATGATGGGAACGAGCGTAGAGCGCGAGCGACTGGAGACGAGGCAGTAATATTGGCGTAGTCTATGTAACATTGTAATGTATTTTCCCATGATCCCTTTCCCCGAGGTTTTACGTGCCACTGCATTAGTAGGGGAATACGTTTCCACACATTTTTGGCCACTTCTCAAGGATTGTTTTTTCAGTAGTTTTTTGGACCTGGCATTGTACGAGTTCTAGCATAGAACGTATATTAGTATTGTGCTAGAAGGATATCATTTTTGATACATTTGCATCAGATGAATGACTAACGCATCCTGAATAAAGGTTTTCACATTAAATATCTCGTGTTTGAATAAAGAATGATTTCGCCTAAACGCAAAAACAATTCTTAGATTCGGTTTTCGTATGATCTGAAGAATTATTCAGATCTCGCGGGGAAACACCCTCCTCCATCTGTATAATTCTTCGAGATCACACTCAGCCCCAGTCAATAATTGCTCGTAAATAACCAGACTAATCAAACTGAAAAATTCTTTATTTGACACATATTAAACTGTTTTCTATTGTCATCAAGTTGACGTCTGCCAGTTTCTTTGTTGTGCCTGCGATTCGAGGAAAATGACGCAATTCATTCCAGCAAATTATTCTGATCAAGCGATGGTAATCAAAATAAAAACTAGTGTAGTAGCTAGGTGACAAATGATTAAAAATCTTTACATGGTTGTTCCACCCCCTTCCCGGCATCCCTTCCTAGCGTTAGTAAATAATGCTAGCAAGGGATACCGCAAAGGTGGCAGACAGTGCTTTTTGATTATACAGAGGAAACCACGCGCGACCACTACTCGTAAGCAAGCATTCTCTCTGGTCGTAAGCAAGCACCTTGCTCCCAAAAGCAACCACCTATCCAAAACACCGGAAAACAGACAGCTTTAGTTCACTCTGCCGTTGATCAGTCATTTAAGTTCTTTGATCCGAAAAGACGGACAACCCCCTCCCCCACCCCACCTAAACGGACTCCTAGAGTTCGAACGCCACTGTCTTTCATTAGCCATTCCAGTTCGTCGATTCTCTGTAAGACGAGGGGTGACTTTCCCATGCAGCAGTGTCCGTTTTAGAGAAGGTTGACTGTAGTAGAAAAGGCTTGTTTCACAAGTCTTAAGTTTGTTTATTTAGAAGTTAATCAGTGCAACAGGTGTTGCCACCAATTAAAAATGTTGAAATAAACCCACGGCTTGAGACCAGTTATTTTAAATGACTTTACTTTAGATGGTGAAAATACACTTTCAGAAACAAAAATTTAAGACATATGTAGTGAACAAAACTTTTGCAATAAATTCCCAAAACGGCCTTCTTCATCTTCCTCCTTTTTCAGTTTTTGCATTAATTAAAATGAGATTTCTAGGTTGATTAATGATGTTAGTAATGCCTACCATGGGATATGGTCAAAAGAGCAGAACTCCATTGGCCAGCCGAGAGGGTGGTTATTTGATGATCTCTACTACGGGATCGTATTTCCAAATTAGATACCGTTAGACATTCAATCTGTGGTTTAGGGATTACCTGCTATAACTAGTAGCACTAGATCAGTTATAACGCAAGTGAACTTCTTAACGAGTAAACGCATAACATCACAAATTCTCTACGGTGAGGAAGGAACACTCACACAAATTTCGTTGGGAATTAGAAAAGACCGCTACACTCATATTAAGAGTCTTTCTCTTTTCTTTTGGGGTCCTCGATCAAGAACAAGCCACTTAACTTGTAGGAGTACTCACAGAATGCCCTGAATGCCAATCCTGCTACTATTACCAGCGAAACAGTAGAACACCTGTGAGGGAGTATACATCCTCCTGTACCTTTTTGTTCCAAGCCTTTTCCCTGACAAAATTACAAGCCATATAGTTCGTAGATAAAAGTGATAATGTAACTTACCATTAAAAGGCTAAAAGCGAAAATTATAGCAACAATACTTCCATTTTAAACGGGATTACCTACATCAGTGGAAACAGCATGATTTTCCTTTTCTATCTAGGGCCTTAAAACATGACGCTTGAATAAAAAAAAATTGCAGTCGTTAGGCGCGTTGTAGAGTAACAACTATTATAGTCGTTTGTTCTAGAGATGGACCTGTGCATAGAAGAAATGGACGACTGGTTTTTTCTATCAAGTTTCCTGCATACCTGAGAATTCCTTAGATTGCATCTTGCTCTAATTTCCTGAAAGATAAAAGAACACTGGTTGTGGGTAAGAAAAAAATTTCCGTTTTTACCAACAGCGCCGACTGAGAAGCTATCTAGACAGATTAGTGAATAGTAAACACTGAGCAATAAAAACTATGACTCTGAGAGTCTTGCTCAGTGTTCCGCGTGAAATGCAACTTTTTGGATCCCTCTTAATATTACGGACACATCTCACGTGTGCAATAGATCGCCGCTGTTCCTTGTTATCTGCGAAGATGGCTTAGTTAAGCTTTCAAATCTTGTAAGTAGCTGTGTTTGATAATATCCAAAGTTAGCTCATGTCCCAGGCACGGTTCGATATTAGCTATGCACGTTAGCTCATAATGGAGGCACGACCAGGTAGATGAGATCATTATTAAACGCTCGAGATACCACTCAATATTGGCACGAAACTCAATGTTCTGATTGGTGGTCGTCGCTTCAAACAATAATTCACTTGAATGGGTCTTCATGAAGGGACAAGTTTTGTCAAGCGGCCGTTAACTTGCAAATTAATCGCCTCACTAGAGACACTGCAGGCTTTATGGCAAGTTCAAAGCGATTGAAGTTGCTGTTTGTTGTACGACGTAGAGCGCTTTTGAAAACAGGGGTTAAAATAGATCGCTGAAACGCCAAATATAGCCGCCTTTAGCCGGAGCGGAAGTCAGAAGTCCGCGAGACAAAATTAAAGGCTGTAATCTCTTAGAGGGAAATTAATTAAGAGGTAAGTTCACGGCTTGCGTAACTCCGTTATGGTTTTCATCTTAAGTAGTTACATTAATTTAGTCTCCTTCTGAAACTTTTAGAGGGGTATATTTCTTGTAATCTAAATCCAAAACTGAATACTTACTTCAGAGAAGGCTAGTTAAAAAATGAAGAATGTGTCGCGTTTTTGGCCAGTTTAGGTTAATCTACAGTTAATTAAATGGCATAGAAGTAAAAGTTCTTAATGTTGCCAAAATTAATACCAAAGGGCAATTATTTTTGTTTTTGCGAGCAACTGATAAAAATAGTCTTATCAGTTTTGTATCGGTCGAAACGTTTTTAACGGTCTAATTTTTCGAAATGTTTTTAGAATCCTTTATATCAATCATCCTTTTCAAAATAGACAAACAGAAAGCTGAAAAAGGAACGTAACTGTGTAAGAGATGGATAACACTTTTTAGCCTCCATATATTTTGAATATATACCTTTTTATTTTAAGTTTTCTTTCTAATTATTTTCACTCTTTCAAGAGCCGTGTTGTTGTCATTTGGTGGCTCTATTGTTGCGAGTATCCAGTAAATAAATCCCCCACGACGTTTTTGTGAAGATCTGTTTCAACCACCTGCTTTTACCAGACAGAAACTGTCAGCCTGGTCCAATTAAATACCGCAAACAATTAACTACAATAGGAAATTTCTAAATCTGTGTCTACACGAACAGATCTGGTGTCACTTCTAGCTTCTCTTGTAGCCTCTGGGAGTCTCGCTTCGTTGATGAAAGTAATCCTTCTCGTTGACGTCTTCGAGGTTTCAGAAATGGGCCACGGTAGCCAAATCAGCCTCTTGTACAGCCGAAATTTCTAAAGAGCCTAAGTACATATCATTTTATGTTTACCGGTACAGTATACACGTGGGAAATGAATTCACTATAACGGCTTCGTTTTTCAAGCCATGTAGAAATAAAAAAAGGTTTCCTGTAGGAATCTTTAGTCCAGCATAGAATAGGGTAAAAAAATACAGAAAGGGTTGACACATCTGCTTTCCTTTTTTGTTTTTAGCCAAGAAGAGTGATCAACAAGTTGGTATAATGCAAAGATTGGTTATCCTGTGGCTTACCGTCGGACTGTTAACCCGTGCAACGCATGCTCGCCATAACATTACCGCTGCATTGGTGGCTTTGGCACCTGTATTAGACAATGATCAGGAAACTGCCCTAAGTATGGACGGTAGAAATGAAAGCTCGGTTCTATCTGTAGACTGGATTCTACTGCTAATGGCAACGGCTGCTCAGTTTCTGTTAGTTCTGCATCATCGATGAATTGAGAGAAATCCAAAGAGATATCATGATTTTCACTGGGAAACAGGAAAAGACTCAAATTTTTATACGTTGATACCCAGTCACACTATACTAGTCACATTGACGAGGCCTTCAACTGACGCTTAGACGACAGGGCGAACTGCCTCCCTCTCATGCGCTTCGTTTTACGCACAGAGGCGAGCACGAAACGCGAGTAACTGGTGACAAAGCGCAAGGGACGAGGCAGCGACATGAATAGCCTACGTAGCAAGCGTTTCCGTTTGGCTTCGGAGCAAAAGAAAGACAGAGGAACGGGATTTCCGGTTCTGGCAGCGCGAAAAACGGAACGAGATTCAAAAAACTCCCCGCTCTTTTACTTGCGACAGTTTTCGAGCGGTCTTTGACTCTAGTTCCTCGTTCTTTTCTCCGAAACCGCACGGAAATGCTCGCTACGCAGACTACGACATGGGTTTTTCAGGCCTCTCCATCAGCTACTTCTGACTCAAGATGATGAATGAAATTCTTGGCACTCAATCCACTGATAAAGAAATCGCCGTGTTCGTCATCGCAATGATAGAGCCGGACCTTTTAGACCAGTCTATGGTAGAATCTAGAAAATCATGAATTTTCTTCCTGTTTTAGAAATGATTATCAAAGGTTTGAAGCTGCTTTAAAAATTTCACAGTCATGTAGTTTTACTGAGTTGCGCATGTACAAAGTATTTTCCTAAAGATAGGCCATTAAGATGGAACGGGAACGCTTGACTTAGGCATACCCGTACCCAAAAATATGTCAATAATAAATTATTATAATTATTATAATCTATTGAAAAATCGTTTGTTGACCAAGCTGGCTGCCTGGCTTCGCTCTTGTTTGCGTTAGTTTTTCTCGACCTCGACTTCGTCTCATACAAGGGGTATAGAATGGTAAATTCAAGACTTTGCGAGGTTTCAAAATTCGAGGCTGAGACGTGAAAAAATTCAAGACTTCGACCACACGCAAAATCACCAGAAAACGAGACTTCGAGACCACGTTTTTCGAGGAACCATTTTATACCCCTCATGCAAGACAATACAAAAGTGAAAAGAACTTGGTTAATATCCAGCCATCTTAGCTTGGCCTCACGCTTGATCAATAACGCATATATAATGTATTCAGCAGCACGGAAAATTACAAAGTTGCGTCAACCTGCTGGTCACACCATCGTATCCGTTTTCCTGAGTTGAATCATGCGAGGTTGTTATGTATAGGGTTGATAAGGCAGTGCAGTTGTCACGATTGCCAAAGAATTTTGGTAAAATAATGAAAACAAAGCAAACAACTCGGCAGAGGCTTTGCTGGTAAAGGATCAACAAATTCAGTTTTAAACGTATCTCCCTGAAAATACTCTTATCGACTGACAGTGTCGACTAATTGTTGTATATTGTAGACAATGCTAGAGACACGTCCAAAATATTCTAGTGTAAATATTTCATATAAGTGATAGCAGTTATGTTTTATAAATAAACAATTTCACTGTGTATTCCTCTCTTATTTCATTTCACCAGCCTGCGAGGGGCGCAGGCTCGCAGGCTCGCAGGCTATTCATTTCCTTTTCTTGCTGGCCAAATAGTCGGCATACACTGATATGGAGGAGCGAGTAAGTGGTGCAATCAGGGAGAGATCGGGTAGCACTCTTTCTAAATTTGGCGGGGGCTAATCATATCTTTTAAGGGTAAAATTAGTGAATTAGTACCTTAAATGATTGCACTGCGTTGTCGTGGTAAATTGATAAGAACAAAATAAACTTGAATACCTTTAGTTACCCTCCACGGTTCGACAGTATTTATGGCTTAGGTATGCAGCTATTTCGACAAAGGTTGTCGGGAAAACGTGCACGCGACAATCCCGAAAGGTTATATGGGATATGATCAATACACTCTTCCTGACGACTGCAATTGTCGAACCTACTACTTTTGTTGCTTTCCATAAGCACTCACAAACATATGTCCATGGCATCTCCTACCATTCTTTCAAGTTTTTTGGAACAACAGGGAACTCAAAACCACCCACAATACCTTTCGGGATTGTCACGTGCATTTTTTTCGACAACCTCTCTCGAAATAGCTGATAAAAATAAACAAACAAACAAACAAAACAAAAACAAAGAAAAGAAGACAGTCCCTTTCTCCGACTCACTTTTCTTTTGAAGGAAGGGGGGCAGATGTACAGACAGCATTTCGCCACAAAGGCCAGTGGGAGCCAGCAAATGACTGGACCAAATAAATCAAATAAAAAATTTAACAGGATATGGAAGAAAAAAGACAATGACAATTACACACAATTCAGCGGACAACCTCGTCCCCATCCATTTTTAAGGGAAAAGCCCTGGGGACGAGGTTGTTCAGCGGACCAAACAGACTGCGAAACACTCAATGGCAGTCTGGATTTCAGTTTGTGCTCGCCTTTGTTCCGCCAAGTCAGCTTTCCTAAGTGTAATTATCAGCATCACACTTTCCATTAACGACCTCGGACGACTGAGAATCAGGCTAACTTTCCACAATATTAAACCAGTGCATCGCGCAGCCGGAAGCCCAATGTACCCCTTTTATGGGGTCTCATTTAATCCTTTTTATAAGCAGAGTTTTATTAAAACAAGCAACTACAATACGAAGTAAAATGAAATATTTATTTTTTATTTTTGTCTGACTGGAAGCTTGCAACCTGTTGCCTTCAAATGGAACCGGTACTATCCTCCAATGTCCTCCCGCAAAACCGCCAAGTCACCCACCGCGCTTCCACCGCCGCTTCCTCCCCGTCCTTCCCCACCCCGAAAAAGTTTCCCCTAAGTCCTCTCCCCAGTCTTTCGCCAATCAGTGGATATTCAAGATGGCGGCGTCCATGATCAAAGTTGTTCATCAGGTGAATTTTTGTCGCTTTCTTCGCCCTGCAGTGAGACTTGGCCAATTATATTCTACGGAATCCTCACCATCGGTGGTTGGAAAGCAGGACAAAGCATTGGAGGTGGTGGAAGATGAAGCAAAGGTAGAGAAATGTATCAAAAGGGAGTATACGTTCTGTTTGTGAACATCGATTCAATGTTGTTATTGTAGCCTTCTTGTAAAATTCATCTAAATTTTCAGCCAGCAGGATATTGTTTAGATCATAAGATCACATAGTACGTAAAATCAAGATAATTCTTAAGATACTGAAAAAAAAAAATTGCATGCGTCTTTCTTATTTCCTCCTATGCACATTTCCAGCTGTTAATCCATCAGCAGGCTGTGAATAACGATTTATGTAAAAGTATGTGGTTTGTATTTGGATAACAAGTAGAATAAGTAGAATAATCAGCAGAATAATACATGCTCTTGGCTATTTATTTGCCACTTTTATGACAGCACATCCCAGGCACATTCTACGGGTCGGATTACATATGACTATGGTCTCCTATCCAGAAAAGTGTTAAGGATTGAGGAAAAACAGTTTGGCGTGCTGTACAATGTATTGGTAAAGCACTGGCCAGTACCCCTGGCCTGTAGAATGAGAAGTACATTTTGTCTCTGTCACAGGAGCATTAATTGTCCTATCCTAACTATTTTGATCAAGTTCCTCTTCCAAAACATTCCCTGTAATGTTACTCACTTGAGACAATGATTCTGAAGGCTTTTATTACTGTATAATGTAGGAGGTAATCTACACCACAACTGGTGTTCCAGACTGGATTGTCAAAGAACGCAAAGCCAGAATTTTTGTGCCAGCGAGGACAGCTATGCAGTCTGGTACGTTTAACACAAAGAAATGGCACTTAGAATTTGATACGATGGAAAGATGGGAAAATCCATTGATGGGATGGGCCTCAAAGTAAGTGATTCTGTTTAGTGGTTTGTGCTCTACAGGAACATGTTTGTCATAGTTTAAGTTCTTGCATGGAGATACCCTCAAGAAGCAGAAAGCGTGTTTTAGGCCTGGTTTTGCACACTATTGGTTGCATTAGTGACACAAGAAGTCAAAAGATTGGACACATTTTAAGATTTGAAATTATAATAATTATAAAGTATAGTAAGAAAGCAAATAAAATTGTTTTTAGTTGTGGTATATACTATCTAAGTTATATTTCTGCCATGTAACATCTAAATATCTTATATTTTGTACTTATTATTTACTTTTTTCTTCCTCTATTTCAGTGCAGACCCTGTGTCCAACATCTCACTTACCTTCAGCTCAAAGGAGGCTGCGATAAACTATGCAGAGAAACAAGGTAACTGCATGTTGTTTCCTTCTGATAACATTTTCAAAGATGAAAAGAAAACTTGCATGATAATATTATATTACTCCACAGAGCTTCAAAATCAATATTTTCTATTCCCTGAATTGGTCAACGGTTGCTCTGTTCCCCAAGAGTTATACCAAGATATCCTAAGGTCACTTAACGTAAATGGCCTTGTTCTTGCTGGGATAAAATGGCATGAAAATCACAAATTACCTTTTAGTGCCCACAAAGAAATGGTAGAGTTTAAAAAATACAGAAAGGAACACATTATAGCTAGAATTAATAATATGTAAAATCAATTTTTTTGGTAATTATTTCTTTGTTTTGTTAAAATAATATTTAGGATGGAATTATGAAGTAGATGAAAAACATGAAGTCAAACCAAGGGCAAAGTCTTACGGGGCAAACTTTGCATGGAGCAAGAAGACAAGAGTCTCAACCAAATGAAAACTTTTTGGAAGAAAAACAATAATTTGTGAAAAAAAAAAAAGATAAAGTTTTTTTTGCCCTTTACATTTAGTGAACAGTTTGGCAAAAGTAATGTCTACATAGTCATGTGAAGAATGGTGGTGTTACATGTAAATANTGGATTATAAAATTTGGTGTTAAATTGTTTTTTTCAACTTTGGTTTGTGCATTTTAGGGAAAAAAGGGAAGGGTTTTAAAAAATTGTTTTTAAAAAAAAGGAAAAAAAAAAAAAATAATTTAAAAAAAGCGGATCTTGTTTGGGGGGGAAGGCCAAATTCCACCCGAGACGGGGGGTTTTTCCTATACCCCCCCCCCCCCCCTGCTATTGAGGGGTGGATGCAGAAAATTTCAGAAAGACAAAGCCAATAGACTTTCCAGTGACATTGGTCTTTCCATTTTCGGTTCAAAACTCTGAGAGCTTCTGTGTACAGAAATGAAGGCTCTTAAAGGCAGATTTCAAAGAGGGGCTTGACCTCTAGAATCTAGCCTTCCGACATCCAGGCCAGGTAAACCTCTTCATTTTATTGCCAAACGTTAGCAACCATGTCTGATGTTAGGACCTGGCCCTGTGCTTGTTTCTGGAGTTACATGTACTTCTGTTCATAATTCAAGTAGCATACAAAACTTTCTTTACCAAATATTTTTGAAATTCAGCCAAGCATAAATAAATACAAGCAGTTCTGTTACATTGTGAAAAGCAGTTTACTACAGAACAACCCTGTTTTGACTTTTCTCAACTCACGCAAGTCTGGTGATTATACCCCTAGTCAAGCTGTTAAATAATTAGGTCCACAGGTTCACCAGTTAATATACACACCTTACAGTCCATAGAAACTAGAAGGGTGTCTGTTGGTTGGATGTATATGAACATGCAATGCTTTTCAGAGAACACAAACCTGATGATCATGACAACCACACACACATCGTTCAAAACCTCAAAATATTGTGTTTAATAGTAACCTTATACCGTCCCAGCCCCTGGTGTTTAAAAGGTCAATATCAAATAGGTAATCTAATTTCGTGCAGTCCCTAATACTTATACATTTGAGAGCGATTTATCCAGCATTTTTGTTAAATATAGGACTGTCTATCTTTTGAAAAATTGGGGCTGGAAGTTCTTCTGTATGTATAATAATACAGTGAAAGCTCTCGTATTTGGACACCCTCGGGACGCAAAAATTGTGTCCGTAACTGCAGCTGGCTGCTTACGAGAATGTAAAAATACAGAGTTTGTATGGGAGTTGAGAAAAACAGGGTTTTGTGGAGGTGTCTTCAAGAAGAGCTGCCAGCTTACGAGAGTGTCCAGTAGGAGAGCTTCTACTGTGGTATTTTAATTAGCAGAAACCAGAAAACAAAACATTATATTGTATGTAAATACATTACTATGTACCAGTACATGATTGTAAAATATGTTCCCTGTTAATAACAATGGCATATTGGAGTCCCATTACGTAACTTCCACTATAAAAAGGGTGCAAGAAATTGTCACTTGTTGTACTTGCGTATTATAAATTGGGGTTTGTTTTATCATGGCTTTTTCACATGCGGCTTCCAAGATATGGAATTCCATGCCAGTCAGTTGTGAGCTGAGCACTTTCAAATCAAAAATCAAAACATTTCCTTTTAAGCGTGCTTTTCAGTTGTAATTTCATGTTTGTTTTTCATTATTATTGTTATTATTTATTCATTTTGATTGTTTGCTTATTTATTTTATTTTTTATTCCATTTTGTTTAACAATTATGTCATTGTCATATATTTTATGTTTATTACTATTAGTACTGATTTTAAAGCACTTTGGATCACTAAGAGAAAGGTGCTATAAGTGTACATTATTATTATTATTATTATTAAATGTTATTCTGTAACTTACAGTTAAGCCTTTATTATGAAATGTGCATCATAATAATATTTTGTAATTTTCACTAAAAATTACTAAAAATTAATCTTAATGTGTGACACAACAACTCATTTTTATTTTTCACTCCACAATTTTTTTGCTCACAGATTTAATCCCATTGAAATCCTAAAGATATTATTAGTAGTCTTATTGAACATTGTTCACATTTTTTCCACATAATTAGTCGGAAATATTCCAGTTTTGCCGTTAAGCGAGCCCGACAACCAGTTTTCATCAATTTGTTCCTCCACCTGAATGATATCACCTTCATTAAAATCAAGCTCTGAATCGTTTTCTAAAAAAAATATGAAAAAAAGGTACAATAAGAACAAAAAGGAAAGTTTAATAAGTGCACACTCAGAAATAAAATAAAAGAGGTATCAGTAGTTGTGCATAAGAGACTTGTGGGAGAGAGGGAGAAGAGACGGATCATTGAATAATTTCTAAAGAACTCCTAATATTTATTGTTTGAACTGTGTCACCACTATTTTGTGGTCTCCTGCAATTCAATGAAGAACATAAATTCTATCTACGAAAAATTTTGACACCTTGATCTTCAGTGTGTTGGACAAGTTTAAAGTAGCTTTCTTGATTCTATGCAACATCATAAAAATGGAGCTCAGTGGGTGTTACCTCATAGTTGGGGTTCTGAGCTGGCAAACTGATGCTACAATGTAGCTTCAAAACTGTTTCATTCCATCTCCACAGAAAATAAGGGAAAACGAGACATACAGTGCCACCCAAAAAATATTTAACAATTATTCCTCAAGCGCGAATGGGCTTCGAATGGGCTATTGACTCAGAGACCATGAGGGCGAGAGGAATAATTGTTTTAGTAAAATCCAACTAGTTGGTCAAAAACAACTTTAGCTAGCAAAACGCAATTCAGCTGCCATTGTTTTGGTCTTCAAAGCAGGCCCTTTTCGCTACTAGTGGGCTATGACATATAGCCTAGTAGTAGCTCAACCAATCAGAACACAGCATTGATAATAGACCACTAGTTGGATTTTACTAATAAATAATAGAATCGATTCTAAATGAACTGGACAACGATTCATCAGTTCTTTTGATGCATCATGATCTTGATCATTGATCAAAAATCCAGTAATGGATCATCCCAAAGAAATGTACATGTACATGTATCCATGGTAACACACCTGACTCAAAGTCGTATAAAGCTTTGAATGGACCACTGTAATAGGAGCCATTTGATGCTGGGGGTGGAGCTGAGGGGGGAGCTGATGGCGTTGGTGCTAAACTGTATGAAGACTGAGGTTCCTCATCACTATCGTCATCTTGATGATTTCTCCTGATGCTTCGACGTTCAGTCCGAGGGCGACTGCCAGCTTCTGAAACTCTATCAAACAAGATTGTGTTTTGTATCATTAATTAGTTTGCAAAGCTAAAAAAATACCTGAGTGAATTTTATAATAGTATTATGCACACACTGTATATTGAGGCTGCATGACATATGAAATAAGACCAAAGATTAATTATTATTATTCAAAGATGAAGGAAGGAAAAGTTTATTAAATTGACAGAATGATGACGGGAAACATGCACCAAACCACTGGGAAAATTGAAAAGAAATAATAAAAATAGAAACTATTACGGATAACTGTTATAGACAAGTACACTGCCATCCATTATCTATTTTCTTCTACAGCCAGAATCAAACGATTGTTGATACGTCTAGTAATGTAAATGTGTAGGAGTGTAGTGCACTGCAGCCACATACTTGTTGTTCAGAGTTGCAACCAAGCTTTCCATGACATCATAGCAATGTTTATGATAGTCAAATACCGCTTCTGCTAGAGCTGCAAGCTGACTTACTTGTTCCACCTATTATAAAATAACCACAATACATGAATAATGTTATCCTTTGAAGTGGAAATGCATTCATTTGATGAAAAGGCTACATAACTGACTGTATGTTCCTTACTTCAGTAGAAACAGGCCTAGCCAGTAAGGATAATTATTACAATAAAATCATTGAGGGTTTGGTGATGAAGTGGGGTGGGCATATACTGTAAAGTAGTTTAGGCCATTTTTGTTTTTGCTAAAACGGCTTAAATCTTGTGTTTACTACTGAGAACCTGTTAACTTTTTCCTTTTAATTGTTTATCAAATGATTTTTTATTCAACTCTGGTTTTGCAGTAATCATAATAGTGGCTGATACATTAATACTGTTACTAACGTTTGCACTGTAGGTTGCACTAAAAGCCACATGGTTACATGTTGATGTATGGTATATGAAGCAGGAGATTTGAACCAAAGCAAGCATTAAAATAAGCCAGAGAAAAGTAACGGCTCTTTAAGTGAGATGTATACAGTCACTTACATCAGAAGACTCAATGAGATTCAACATGCTGTTATAGCAAACTTCTTTGGATTCTTCAAACTTTTCCTCTGCAGCTCTAATTTCTTCCTCTGGAACTAAAAGGGTAGCATGGTATTCAGGATATGCTTCCAAAGATGTCAACCTTGGAAAGCCAAAAAATTCTGGAGGCTGACACTCTTGCAATATTAACACACCCTACCCCCAATAAACACAAATCAACCCATTCTTCAAAACATTACATGGCTGTGGCTCTGGACATTACATGTAGTCTTACATACATGTAAACTAGAATAGACCATCAACAATCACTTTGGTCCATGACTATAATGACAAATAAAAGCCACTCAAAAATACCACCAGAAACTGTTCTATGAACTTAAAAATCAAAATCATCTTAATGTCTTGGGAAAACAAACAATAGCACTGAAAAGTTCTGTTGTCGTCTTTTCGCTGTTCTTCAAGATTTATTATTTAATTCTCAGTGTCTCAGTATTCTACAGTTTAAGTTAATTAGCATTCACGCGTCGAAATCGGCTCGCCTCTTTCACTTCTACATTTCGAGGCTAAATAGCGTGATTTACAGAATGATTCGACTAGCGTGAATCTCCGAGTCTTCGTTTCTAAATCTGAATTCTTGTGTTCATGACCACTGCTAGCTCAAAACTGAATTTTTAAATATGGCGCTAGAATGCAAAATACCCTAAGGGAATTTAGGGGACGCGTTACTATTGGCAACGCGGATATAATTTATAACAAGCTCAATAGATATTTTCATGATCCAGGAGTTGGTGACCCATACAGATGACTGGGAGATTTCTGTCATATCTGACAGAGTCCTGCATAATCCCAGATAGTTGGTTATACATTTGTATATCATAATGCGCTTATCGACATGTCAGCCACAGTAAACATTTTGGCCTATTACAACATGACTGCCTGTGTATGGACATATATGGTGGTCAACTGAACTCTTACAGTGTACAAACATTGTGCATACACTGTACCATCTGTACCTTTGTGTGCTTTTCTCTTTTTGCAATCAAAATCAAGTCGTCTGCCCTGAAGCTTTTTTCTGTGGTGCTGTGAAAATGAAAATAATAGTAACATTATAAAAAAAACTTCTTAACACCAAATTGAATTTAAAATCAAAGAGTTAACACTATCATTAATTTTGACAAATATAATTATTACAGTGTAATCCTATTCTCCTCACATGATGTAGAACCTCAGTCATACCATCTTACAATACTAAGCATTAAGGTACTTTCTATCCTAACGATGGTTTCATAACTTCTAAATGTACATGTACACTTTGCTGCAATAGTCAAATTGAAGTTTCCACTCTTCCAACCAGTTCACAAACACAAACAACAAAAAAGGAAAGCCAGCACTAGAAGCTCTTTACTGGTTTAATTGCACAACATGAGAGTTCAAAACCATTTGAGTACCATTATCTCCTTGATATCTCTGTTCTTCAGCTGTTCAAGTGGGTCCAAGAAATTTTGCTTGACACTTGAATCAAGAGCTTCCTTTATTTCAGCTAAATTTGAGAATGCTTCTCCAGCATCCTTCAGTGCTTGACCTGAAATAAAGAATGTCAACGCAATTTTAGTCTCTTTTAAATACAGTGAAATCTGCTATTATATAGGAAGTGGATTGCATCTTAAGGTACAGTAAAGTGGATATCAATACAAGTAAATCCCAGGCTCATCTTCACACATTTTTCTGTAAACGAAACCTGTATTATTTTTGACCCAGACATCTTGTTATTGTCCAGGCCAAATACAGTGACTTAATAAGGAGCCCGCAGAATGATTAATCATTATGTTTTGGTCGTGAGTTCCACAGTACTACATGTAGGACAGCTATTTGAAAATTGTGGTCACCAGAACTCTTTGTATTGGGTAATGAACAACAAGAGGGTTCTATGATGTTGATCATAAGGACTAATCAGGCGTATCACAGTTTGAAAGATCTGTTATCCTGTATATGCAGATCAGTCAGGGCCTTGTAGACAATCAAAAGAATCAAATAGCCCTAAACATCACTAAATACAGGTGTAATTAACAATTATTCCTCAAGCACGCATGGGCTCTGAGTCAATAGCCCATGAGGGTGAGAGGAATAATTGTTGTTTTACTAAAATCCAACTAGCTGGTAAAAAATATCGAGACAAAACAACTTTATCTAGTAAAACATGATTCAGCCACCATTTTGGTTTTCAAAGCAAGCGCTTTTCGCTATTATTGGGCTATAACATATAGGCTAGTAGTAGCTCAACCAATCAGAATTCAGCATTGATAATAGATCACTAGCTGGATTTTACTAATAACACATGGTCATATGATGCACAGGGTAGGAAGTCAATCTGATTTGCCAAGTTCCCTACTCCTCATACCCCTGACCCTTCCCCCATTAAAAAAGAATTTGCTTATCCCATGAAATACACTCCACCTACACTCCAAAGAACTCATTAAACTGCGTTACTGTGCTTTCCAGATCAAATTGGACTTTAGAAATGTTGGTTCTGGAGGAAAGGGGTAAACCAAGTTTATTTGAGAAAAACTCATCAGAGCCATCGCTGAGATATGAATATTCAGGGCACAAATGAGAGGGACTTGCAAGCAGCCTCTTTGCTCCATCGTAGCTGTTGAATGAAACAAGTGTCTGCTTTCCCTGCTAGCGGAGGTCTCTCATGACAAAGTGTGAGAGACCTCTGTGAGCAGGGAAGTGTCTGCTTGGTATATTTTTACTTTTTGATAGCATGAGAGTGCTGCACATGTACTATCTTACCAAACAGTGACTCTTCCCCCAGATCTTCTCCACCTTTCATCATAGTTTCTCCCAGTAGGCCCTCGGGTTGAGGGTATCGTGATACTTTAGCCTCTCCACGGACTTTGTGAACAGTTGACTGCATTGTGAGCTTGGCTCGGGCCGCTTTAAATGAACATCATAAACAATTTGTCATCCTCTTACAGTACATGTACAGTGTAAACCTGTTCATCATGAGGCTCCAAACAGATCGAATAAATTTGATCGCCAAGCACGCAGCTTTTCCGTTTTCACGTGCGCGTTTACTCAACTGGAGTTTTGGGCTCGACATTTTGGTGCGCTGGGGGTCGTCTAGGGGGTGGTGACGCGTACTGGCTCTGTTCCCTTTGGGGTCTCCAGCATTGTTCTGCGTTTAACTTAGCTTAAATTACATTTAACCACATTACATACTTTGAAAGTCGTTGTACAAACAAATACTGGTATATGAAACCCTTACAAGTGTAAAAGGTATTTAAACGATACAGTCAAAATAATTTCCAAGGGTGTCCTATCTCCAAAGAGCTCAGATCTCTGAAATGGCTACCACAGCCCAAACTGTGTTCTTCTTGGAAAGACACTGTCTGGGCCATTCACTTTTTTTACAGGGTAAGGTATTGCAATGAAAGTACATGGGAAATAAGCAGCTTTTTAGTTCAAAGTGTGGAAAATATGTGAATAGACGTTTTGGAAGGATTATGCATGTACCTGGATTAGGCTGAAGATATTCTTTGGTTTTGTGGCTTACATGTTCAACAAGTCCTGCAGTTACATCAGTTTTCTAAAATAATAAAAGAGAGGGGGGAAATGGGAAATAAACAATGAAAAATAAAGTACTGTTGGTGACCATAATATTTACAATAAACCTTAATATTATCAATGTTTAAATAACATTCTCAATTATTTTTGGTATTCCAGTAGAAAAACTATAAATTATAAATTATTATAAATTATTTTTGGTATTCCAGTAGAAAAATGGACTGCAGCAACATTATTTCAGGCAAAATATCTTACTCCAAAAATTGGAAAGAGGAAAAACAGTTCAAATTTCAGCTAGTTACCCCTGTGACCCAACTAGCAACCCTCTCCTTCTCTTTCCTCACAGCAGTTTCTTTTCAGCTACAGTGTAACCCTTTCACCCCAAAGAGTGACCAACATTTTAATATATTTTCTCCTTAAGTCACAGAGCTCAATCAAACATAGTAAAGCAAATAAGAAAAGGTTATTATCAACCAGTGAAAATTGTCTTGACTGTTAAACAAATTCTCCTTATTTGTATATGTACTAAAGGGAATGCATGGAGAACAGTGTGGAGAATATGAAACCTGATTGATTAATGCTACTTTTCACTAGCAACGGAGTCGGAGTTGTAATCAGAAGCATAAAACTATATGATCTAGTGAAAACAGCATTCTGATTCTGCTTAGGACTCTGTTGCTTAAGATCAAGTGAAAACTAGCTTGTCAGAGTCGTAAGCACAAGTGGATGAACTAAACCAATCACAAAGCGGGGGAATGTGCACTGTGATTGGTTTCTCCTTCCGTTTTGCTTCTGACTCCGACAATCTGGTTTTCATTAGATCGTAAGCAACAGAGTTGTAAGTGGAATCAGAAGAAAATGGAAACGTTCTGATTCTTCTGACTCCGATTCTGTCGCACTTATGACTTTGCTTCCAACTCCAATTTTTGATTTTCACTAAGTCATAAGCACTCTTGTGGCTCCCCTTATGACTTTGACTCTGACTTCATTGCTAGTGAAAACCAGCCGTTATTGTCCTCACACAAATTCTGCAGGCTGATTTCCACACAATTCCTGAGGGAATTTGTCGACAGAATTTTCTCTTTGAGGGGGGGTGACTAGGGGTACGCAAATCTGCCAATCTGTTATGATTTATTAACCAAACCCACCCTTCAATTATTGCACTGAATCCAAAATCCAGGCAAAAATATTTTAATAATATTTTTAATAATATTTTTAATATTTTAATATTTTAATTACACGCAAAGTCCAAAATCCAGGTCCAAAAATAGATGAATCCGCAATCTGCTGCAATTGCAGGATCCAGAAATCCATTAAAATCTCGCTTTGAATCCGAAATCCAGGCAAAAATATTTTCAAAATCCACCGATCCATTCGCCTATTCATCCCTTTCCTCTTTGGTTGTCATTTCATTAATTCTTATAACTGTTTCTTGTATATTGATATTCAAGGAGCTCTGTGCTCTAGCAGAGCCCAGTGGCCCCTGGCGCCTAACTTTTGCTCTTGGGCGACTAGAAAATCTTCCTTTTTTCATACAAATCATATGCTGGGCACCCTAGATTTTACAGATTAAGAGCACATGGGCTCCCTCCAGTTTTCCTTAGAGCACAGCCTTGATATTGTAAGGAGAAAGCTGATGTTGGTTACTCTTGGCCCTAAAAGGGTTGCAATGTAAGTCAATGCCAGTTATCTTTACCTCCATGTGATCCAGGTTCCACATGAAGATTTAGTAAACATAGACCCTGTCAAGGTTCTTTTTCTCAAAGGGAAAAATGTTTTAGTGCCTCTAATTATTGATTAATATTACAAAATGCTTTAAAGTCAAAATCTTAAAAAGGCACCCAGGATTGTAAGGAGCTTTTAAGTGGAGGATATCAGTGATGCTGGGTATACAAAATGCATATCGACCACACATATCTCACAACAAAGTTGAGATGGGTATTTCAAACAGATTTTGGCACCATTCTTGGTGTTTACACCCGGTTTGATAAAATTTATGCATTCTTTGTAACAGGTGCACAACTTAAGATGGAATTATCCATCGAAAAGGGATTAACCTCATTGTTGGATTATATAATATCACATATACACGGTTATATTGAATAAAGGTTTCAAAACATTAGTGTAAAACGATAAGCTATCACGTACACTTAAGATTCTGTGACTCACAGCTCAAAGGAAGACGCAATTCAAGTGCGTTCGTGAAATAGATCGTAGTTTTTGTTTTTTATTGAGCATTGCTGAAACAACTGCAGGTTACAGCGATAAAAATAGAAGCTTGACTAACAGTTTCCAAATTACGCCTTAAAAATACGACAGATTGAAATCAGCAGCATGTGAAAACCGGGGAATGGAGGCCAATTACAGGCTACAGCTGTGGCTGGAATGTGGTAGTTATGCTCAAGAAAATAAACACTAACACGAAATCTGTGAGAAGAGAAAAATAACAAAATGAAGTCAGGGCAGCAACAAGATCTGCGTTCGTGGATAATTTCGAGTGTAAGTGCCATTTGACAGTGAGTGTCATTCAAGCCTGGGTTTCTCATGCCAAAACCGCGCCATGGTCGCAATTTGACTCATGAAACTTGTGATAGCTTATCCAATACTTACTCTTTCTAACTCTACAAACTCTTCGTCTAGCCTTGATCCCTTGGCGCTTCCAATTTTTTCACTCATGAACTGTGACACGAAACGGAAATCAAATTTGTGAATTTCTCAAAGAAGCTAAGCGATCAGCAACCACAGCGCGAGAATCCCAACTTGTTCTTACCTGATTAGCTTTGTTAATCTGTTTTTTGAACCCTGCTAAAGACATGATGACTTTTCCTTGAACTAACGGCTTTTTGATCGTACAAGGTGAACGTTTTTTAACAGCGAAATACACGTAAAACGACAAAAATAGCACTTGCTTAACCCCTGACTTGACTTGCCACATCGAAGTTGCCTACTCACTTCCTTCGAACGGAAGATCTGGGTTCTAGTCATGTGATTCAAAATGGCAGATGTGAGGAAAACAAGAGCGGAAAGAGTGGAAAGCCCGCGTAAAGCGTTATTTTTTCGCCTTTGGCGTCCCTAGCGATGGAGAATTTTTTAATCGCTACTTGATTTACAGCATCTGATCTGTGAATAATGGGTGAGAAATGCCAGTGGTGCTCCTTGATGTGTGCCTTATGTCGTATTGGATGTTATCGGGTATGAGTTTTTTAAAATTTACCTTCCTTTTTGACGATAAGGCTCAAATGGATTGTACCGCAGATAAGATCCTTATCACAAGTCAAACTTTTTTTGCCACACTCGACGTGATCATGAAGGATAAGGGAACAGTCCAATGATCATGTAAAGCTTGATGAAAGTTCTTAACAAATCCGGTCACAGTCGAAGCATTTAGAACGTCTCCATTCATAATCAGAAAAGAGATCATAACCATAATTCCAGGTAAAGCAGACGTGAATTTAAAGAGTAAGTTTAAGCTAAAACAGATAATATACATAAAGTTATTCCTTGTGTAGGTGAAAAATTAGGTTTCTACAGTGCAGTACCAAGAAGTCACAGCGTCATATTGACAACCATCTAAATGTAGTAGAACTAGTTTCTTAAAACTCTTTGGGTGGTAATAATGAGGTGGCCATTTTAATTTAATTTGGGGTATGCTGTTGCACCAGGTCCTCTGAGGGTGAATTTTAACAAGTGACATCACAGGTAGCCCAAGCTCGAAATATAAGCGTTGGCGAATATTGGCATTGTTGCGTGTAACATTCGAAACACAAGGATTTGTCTGGGGAAAAAACTATCATTTCTGTGACCTAAAAAAAAAAAGGATTTCAATAAAAAAAGAGCTTACATTACATAAAACAATGTGTGTTACGTTTCTCCTGTGTGGTTTATGGGCTGACTTATGGCTGTTTTATGGGGCTGTAAACGGTGCATATATTCTTAATGGAAAGCTTAACAACGAAATACTATTGTAGTGTGGGCAAACACTCTGCTGTAAGGAGCCGGCAGCACCAAGACCGACGTATCCAGTGATTGCGATTGGATTGAGCCAAGCTGGCAAATCATTGCTTTGTGCTCTACTGAGTGCTGAAACTGTAACAGATGAATTGCAACCCACAGTTGGTAAGTCTTTATGATGTCAATGAAGCCAGAAAGTGAAAATTTATTTTATTTTTTTATTGTTGCTTATTTAATTGCTCATGCCAAATCCCCTACAAATGAACTCTTACCCTAATAAGATGTAGGCTATATTAGGCTTGTCACCACGAGATACATGATTGTATAATGCAAGGTACCCAGTAACATTCCAGGGCAAAAAAAATGAATTCCAGCTTCCCTTTTGGACAAACAATTCTTGAATTGCACTTGTTCAGATCCACTGCTTGCTTGTCTTACTGTAAATCTTCTATTAAGCCCCCCTCTCAAATAAACCCCCTCCCTCTAATAAGCTCCCCCTTTTCAAGGGAAGAAAGTTTATAAGCCCCCCTAGTAAACCCCCCTCCCCTCCCCTAAATATTCTTCACTAATAAATGGTAGACTGTATTAATCAATCACGACTGTAAAACTTCATTTGGACTGATCTGGGAAGGTTTATTTACCAACTAGAAGTTCGGATTTGTTTTTGATCCTCGGCTTCATGACCTCCAACTTCTTGTACTTGAGCATTTCTACTTTGTATTCTAGTTTTTTAATGGAGAACTGGTACCATCGTCTTTTCTAAATTAAATAAGCCCCCCTGTCTCTATTAAGCCCTCCCCCCCTCAAATGGGTTTGAAAATAAATGTAAATAAGCCCCCCGGGGGGCTTAATAGAGAACTTACAGTAGTTAATTTTAAGATGGCTTGCCGGACCCTTGCCTATCAGGCAAGTAACCTAAAAAGACTTACCATACTTACTTAAGACCTGTAGACTGTAGATATTTAAAAAAGGTTTTGTGAAGTCCTACAGTTGTACATACCCTACATTTTTTCAGGTTTCTCTGTGAAAGCTGTCCAGCTGCCCACAGCTATCCTTAATGTAAAGGAACTTGGAGGTCAGTCTGATATACCTTCATACATGTAAACCTTTTGTTGTTCATATACAGTAGTGTAGAGATTTTCTGTTGGTATTTCCTTGATTCTGAATAAAAGCCAGTCAATGGTGTTGCTTAGTATAGTGTATTGGGGTAAAAGCAAAGTGCAACAAAAAAATATAACAACACTCTTTCAAATTCCAAGAACTGTATATGTGAATAGGAAGAAAAATGATCAGTGAAATTAAATTGTCAGAAAACTGTTATTTTTACTTTTCTAATGAATCTGTTTCTGTATGAGTTTAGGTGGAGACAATGTCAGAAAATACTGGTCTCATTACTTTGAAGGAGCACTTGGTGTGGTGAGGACATTTTTTATGTTACACTAGAGATTTTTTTAAGGTCATTTCTTTAACATTGTCTCTTTTCTGTGGTTTTCTTTATCTTGTGTGAAAAACCTTCAGAAAGAGCTGGTGTAACTACTGTATTTAGATCTTGTTTATTGGCTGACATTTTTGTTTCTTTGCGGTTCGAAAGCCTATCAGTTTTCATTTCACACTTTGTGCTAAAAAAATGATACTTCTCTGTTTAGGGTAGATCAACAATCATGCTCTCAGTTAATATTATTCAAATTATGTTTCACTCTTTACAGTCCATGTATTGACAGACATCTTTCTTGGGAGTTGTAAAAGTGAGATCACCACAGTGACCTCTATAAATAACTTTACAGACACCTCCCTTATAGGAGAATCTTTGTTTACATTTTCTGCCTCATTAACATATGCTCATCATTATCTGATGAAGCTAATAAAATAAAAACCCCTGAATATTGAAAGAGCATAACAATTTCAGTTATCTCTGAAAATCTGAGCCCTATATACCCAATTGTTTCGGAGAAATTCTCTTTTAAAAACTCAAAATTGTACAAAAAATATATGGCTCATAAATTTTTTGCCACCCAGCAATTACACAGTTTTAGATGGCTGATATTTCCTTCAATATTGCTTTTAATAAGCTGAAAATTGCACAAATTGTTTAAGTTAATAAGCTTTTTCAACGTTTGCATTAAGTTCATATATATGGCCACGGCTTCTGTGAGTTAAGTCGTATGCCAATGAGGAAAACTGTAAACAAGGACGTCAACAAAGATTCGCCTATATGGAGTCTTGCTATGAGGTTAAGCTGTATGTTATTAAGAGTAATTTTTTATTGCAGTTTTAACAGCTTTTTCCTGTGTTAGGTGTTTGTTGTGGACAGTAGTAGTAATGATGATGATGTGGACTTGGCAGCAGCTGAGCTCAAAGAAGCTCTCTCCCACCCCTCCCTAGAAACCCTTCCACTTTTAGTATTGGCAAACAAACAAGATGTACAGGGAGCACGTAGCGCAGATGAGGTCAGTAATAAGTCTTTTTCAAGTTTAACTTCAAAATGCATTAAATGCATTTTGCTCCAAAGGGTTTTCTTGTTAACCCCTCTCTCCTCAAAAACCAACACTTCCAAATTCAAATAGCGCGTTTTCACTCTTGTGGCCAGCATCTGTGCAAATTTGATGGAACAAAAGAAAGCGTTTACATAAACTGAAAAGTTCAACTCTGGAGCACCAATATGGCCGCTGTTTCGTTGTTTTGGAACGCCAATATAGCGGCCACGACGTCATGTGAAAACGCTGTATTCGATCTGGAACGTACAGACTCGATTAAACGAGTTCTTAAGAAGTCCCAAGTGCTCCAAGGGTTATGAACAAGTGAAAAAGGATTACAAGAAATGTGAATAGTTATTTCTCAATCCATAGCTATCAAGAATGATGGGCCTGGATGTGATAGCTCGTAACAGGGAGTGGCATATACAGCCCTGCTCCAAAAACGACGTGGAGGCTGCTCGACAGGGGCTCGGCAAACTGGTGACGTTCATGTGTCCCGAGAAACAAGCTGTAGAAGAGAATCGGATATGAACTGTTGTTCAAACAGCTACGCGCAGTTGTATTACAAGTCATGTTTAACATGCCCATATATGTGCAGTTGCTTAGGAAACTTTTGATCTGTAGTCTTCTAGAGTGTGTCACAGATCGGAGTGGCATAAGGTAATACAGTCGACTTTTAACGTCCGTGAACTCGGGATAGGTATCCTCCGCGAAGGTTCTTAATAACTGACACTAAAGAGTTTTGGCATTGATGACGGGAAGGAGTTCTCGTACGAGCTTCAACTGAGTGCGAAATTTGAAAATGCACGCGTGGTCATTGACGCTTTTATAATTCTAATTGATGCCAAAGCTCCCTTCTCTTCAGTCCATTAAAACGCGTAAAAGGAACTTCTTTATTAAGTCCAAAATTGAAGAATAACGCTCTATAATTTATTGGACAGACGATAAAGTACAGTCGTGAGAAGACTTCTTTTCCTCGCTTTTGATAGTTACTAACGAACAGCGGAACAAACTAACGTCTGTCTAAAACGACAAATGATTTTGTCAATGCAATAACTTATGTGAAAGTTTTTAACAGGGGTTCAGATCTTGCGATTAAGCTTTCACGATTAATAAGTGGCCGGGTATTCCGAACTTTAGCCGCAATCAAGTCAACTAAAGGATGGGCCTCGAAAACCACGCATAGCCTAAACCATCGGCAGTTTGTTCATAGTAACCCTGGGGATTCTGATGACAAAAGTTTTAAAGGGAGTAAAACGACATTTCCCTAACAGCGTGCGAACAGCGTTCTTCAATAAAGCAAGCATCTTACCGACAGTTCTGTTTTCTATAGTTTTTTTTTTCCCGCATCTTGTGCTGTATCCAATTCTAGAGTGTTTGAAATAGTCCTGTGACCCAGCAAAAGGAGCAAAAAAATTATAGGTAAATTAGATGTATACATTAATTTATATACCTATTAAAATGCTATTTAACCCGTTAAACAAAAAATGTATGGATAAGAAGTGCTTCTTGTTGATGTTGTTTATGCTTTGAACAAGTAAAACAGAATTCCGGTTTTCGGACCTGCACGACCCCGGAACTGATTTAGGCTTCCTCTTGTGTGGGTTTTGATATCAACCAGCCGGACTGGCGTGCCACGGTCGTGCATTAACTGGTAAGCCTTGATTAACCTTAAAATAATAATACTGCGCGACAAATAATACTGCAAGACAACACGGAAATTGCCTGTGGGACCAAAATTAAGGGGAATAGGGAGCTGGGAAGAGTGGGTTTGCAATCCTGTCTGAAAGTAACTAAAGAGGCCCTTTTCAAAATACGAACTGCTTTTGAATTTCAAGAGGGTAGTGCTTTTCTGACGCAAATCCTCTTCACGCGATGAAGACTATATGCCGTACTCGAGAAAGTTTGTACGCGAATGCTACGGCTCGAGTTCCTAATCCCTTACCCTCTTATATAACCTCGTTCATGTGTCTTCCATGTAAAGTGCTGTCTCTTTTAACTAACTACAGTTAAAAGATCAAACGGTAGTGAAAATGAAACGGCGTTAAAAGACGTGTCTTAGAGGTACTCTGTAAACTGTAGTACCAACAGAACGACAGTCTATACCTCAGCTCGTGAAATCCCTACCCGTCACAGACCTCTAACACGAAAAAGGAACCCCTCTCGGGCTGAGCTTTCAAGGAAATCCCAAGGAAGGATCAAATGTGATGCTGCCTTTTGGGCTGTTTTTTCAAATTGTTCAACCCTATCGCCAGAGGTCCGTTCTCAAAGTAACTACATGTACGATAAAATAACCGTTCGGCAACGTTCCAGAATTTTTTTTTTTTTTCCTGGCGGTCTTCTTCAAACCATCATGAATCACAAACTGAAAGAAAGAAATGAAAGAAAAAAAAACCTCAGGCACCCAGGGTACTGGGTAAAATTGTTCCTGTTTTTGTTGTAACTTTTCCAGCTGTCGACTGCTGTAACGCATGCTGGTCCATGCTTTAACGGAAACTGGTCATAGTCTAAAATAATCCGCACTTAAGACGTGATTTATTGTGATAGCTTGTGGTTTGAATAAATATCGAGAGGTCCAGACAGCTCAGAATAATTATCTCTTGATTGATTTTCACGGCGTTCTTCAGACATGCGAGAGATGCTTTTGCAGCATTTAAAGTTGTTCGTGGGCATTGTTCAGCTCATAACTGCTTGTTCTTCACTTTCCATGAGCGAGTTTTATCCTTATGGAGTAGGCAATGGCGACACTGAACTTCCGGCAAATGATGATGGTAGTTCTGGAGAAATACCGATTTCTATTCTCTTTCCGTATTTCGATCGGAACCATGATTCACTTTTCGTAAGTACTGTTGTCTCTTTAATTTGCTGATTTAAGTAATTTTTTACATTGAAGCCTAGCTTCAGCTGTAGCTTCACCCCCTGAACCTCTGAGTCTCCGATTGTAAGCGTGACGATTCGAGCTATAAATCACGATCTTTGTTTGTTGATTGATTTTTTTATTTAAAGTTTGGTTTTTAAGCATCATTCACAGAGTTAGATGCATATTCTTTTTACTTCCTTAGCATCCCTGGATTATGTTAAAACTTTGAATTTTTAGTTTATTCCATCAATCTATAACCGAAAGCGGAAAAAAAAACATTAACTAAAAGAGTATCTTGTGCTGCGCCTCATGCAAAATGTAGACGATTAGCATAAGTTGCTTACACCGAAAAATTACTTATTGTGTACGTGATTACCATGGCTTATGAGATACCCAAAACTATGTTCTAGAAAACGACTAGCAGACGTAACTACCTTACAAGGTCGTTGTTAGAACAATTTTTGAACGAACGATAGGTCTTGCATATGTAATGATGTTTTTGTCGAAGAGAGGTCACGTTTTTTATATTTCACTTGATTTATTCATGCCATAATTTTCACAGAATTAAGACATTTTTTTGCACACCACTGGTTTTTAAGTTGATTATCTTACAGCGCATGTCACATAAATGACACGGTATACTGTGTGTTTAGAGGTAGCGTGATCAAATGGATTAATTCAACTGCATAATATCGTAGATAGGAATTCATAGGTATTGCCACTTTCATTTGTACACGTGACCCAACACTGGATTAGCTTCGCGGAAAAATACAGCATTTCTAATTTGTGATCCATAAAAAGCTCTAAAAAAACTTGTTTAAACGTACTAACAAATGGCGCCTTATAAAACGTAGTTTGGTGATACACTCAATAAGAAGTCGAAAGTAAGTAATGGCCGTTTTATATGAGACTGGTGTAGGCAAAAGTCTTTATTTTGCGTCTCGAGTGGGCTTTTTTCTATTCAAACATTTTTTTGTCAAAACTAGCAGAAAATTTTCCATAAACCGCCGCTTATAAGTTCACCCAGTTATAAGCCCCCCACCCCCCAAGTCATTGGCACCTGTAAACGAAAAAGTATACATCTCATATTGTATGCCCCCTCGCCACCCGGGATTTAAGACCGGCCCCCCCGGATTTAAGACCCATCCAAATTATGACGTTTTCAGTGCAGCTTAATGAAAAGAAAAACAGTGAGTGAAAAACGTATTGAGATAAGGGGGATGAGGGGGGGCGGGGGGGTGGTCATCCAGACCCTTGGAAAAAAGGGGGGCGGTCTCCAAAACAATTTTTTTTGGGCCCTTCGGGCCTCAGTTTGGTCTAAAAATGGGGGGGGGGGGGGGCCCCCTGGGATCCCCCCGTGGGGTCAACATGGTATTAGGTGGTTTTAGTTGTGGGCTTTTATTTTCTCTGTTTTAGTGCTCTCTATCAGGAGTTTGTAGGGTGAGGGACAGTGAGAGAAAAAGAAAGAGGGGGGGTGAGGAGGGGGGGGGGGGGGGGGTGGGGGGGGGGGGGGGGGGGGTGGCCGTCAGGGCCCTGGGAAGAAGGGGGGGGGGGTTTCAAAATATTTTTTTGGGGGCCGGCGGGGCGTGAGTTGGGGGAAAAAGGGGGGGGGGGGGGGCTCCCCTGGATCCGCCACTGTGATCAACATTGCTATAGCTTGTTTCGAATTAGGGCTTTTTCTATTCCGTTTTTAAGTGGTCCTAGGGCTTATAAGCTGCAAGCAGTTTATGGTATGGGAATACATCAGTGTCTTTGGTCTTGAATTGAATCTCTCCTCTGTTTGTTCTTCAGGTGAACACTAATGGGGTAGTGTCATTTTTAGTAGCAGTAAGTCAATTCACCCCAGATCCCTTCCCTCTGGGGGATCAGCGACGCCTCATCTCACCATTCTGGGGCGATGTGGACACAAGAAAAGGAGGGACTGTCTCCTATCGGGAGAGTACAGATACGTTGCTGTTGCAGCGAGCGACTGCTGATATTCGCCGGGCGTTCGTAATTCATCAAAAGTTTACGGCAACGTGGATTTTTATTGTAACCTGGGACAGAGTTGCCTTCTACGGAGCTAGTGGGGGCATGCAGAGTAAGGTATGGTCGGTTACACTACTTGAGGTCTTATGTATTGAAGAGTCTTCCCACAAGAAATGAGCTAGTCTGTTCCAGGCTCCAAGATAGTGGTGTGCCCGACGTGGTTACGCAAATATCGACTAACAAGCTTTGCAACTTACAATTTATCTCACGCAGACACAGGGTCCAGAGGAGATGTGTTTGTCGTTAGAACACCAAAACTCGTCGAAAACCTCTGAAAAAATGGGTTATTTTGATCGCGTTACAGTTTCGTTACACATTCTATAGACCGCAAACCAAGAGACTGAGGGCTCGCAAGATCGGCTTACAGTATAAAATAAATAAATAAAATAAACTTCGTGCCTCGGTCGCCCTTCGGGCGACGTGCCATGCGCCAGCGAGGATATGGCTTGCGGTTATTTATTTTCAAAAGTCGATCTGGGTCAGATAAGAAGCGAAGAAATCGTTTACGGTAGATTTCTATAAAGATCCCATTGGGCTAATTAATCGTGCTAAGCGACATGTATAGACATTTTTCAAGGTGAGACTTTAAATAAGTAATTCATTTATTCACACGAAACTCCTCTGGACCCTGTGACGCAGATGAACAAGAGTTTTCACTGGGACACGCTTATAGAGCGTTTTCATGCATATGACATCACGGCGGCCATATTGGTGTTCCAAAACATTCCCGTGGGAGTTGAGCTCTTTTCTTATGTAAACACTTTCTTTTGTTCCAATAACTTTGCATAGGCGCTGGACACGTGAGTGAAAATGCTCCAGAAAGCCGTTTTAGTATTTAAACGCATTTTCGTGAAATTGGGCGTAACCTGGAGATACCTGTTTTGTCTTCTGTTTTAGGTTAACACCTTTCAAACGATTTTGGTTACAAATGGACGCCATTCCTTTGCAATATTTAATTACAATCTGATAATGTGGACAACTGGTACAGCAAGCGGCGGAAATTCTGAAGGTTTGGGTGGCACACCTGCCCAGGTGAGAAAACTATGTCCTCCCTCCTCGTCCCCAGTATTCGTTTTTGCTCATACGCGGGTGTTTGTAACCGGCACTTCAGACGAAGCTAAGGGCGCTTTCCATTTACGAAAAAAACCCGGAAATTTCGGTGGTAGCAAAAGTGGAATTTCCGATTGGTAAAAAGTTGTTCCATTTGGTCGTAAACCCCGGTACGTGGCGGTGCCCGACCGTAGACCTGGAACTGGTACAAACTACGAGAAACGTAAATGGAACACGACATTAGTGGGGACTAAGATATGCAAATGAGTCACTCACTCACTCGTAGTAGACGCACTTCGTAATTAATCGGGTCCGAACTCGAGAACGCGAAGATCTATCATTTCCAAAGAAGCACGCGCTCGCCGAAGTTCGGTAGCATCAAATTCCTCGCTGCAAGCGTGCATCGTGCGCTACAGCACGGTTAGGATAGAGGTCTTACCAAATTTAAGACAGGCAGGAATCTTTCAAATTAGTACGATTCAAAACCCTTTGACCCGTCCAGGCGTTAAACTTGACAAGAAGATGAGCATTTGCTCTTCGACTCCTTCAACTTCGACGCTGGCTTGATCCCCTACCTTGTAGTACTGTACGTAGTAGGTTATGTGTATGAATGAATTTATGGCGGTCAGTATAAAACACGGACTGCGCACTACGGACTGCGGACTGGGTATAAAATACAGACTATAAAATACGGACTGGTGAAATGTATGGTAAATAAAGGCGCTTCTTCTTCTTCTTCTTAAGGACTCCCCAAGATCACGGGGGGAAATGGCTGTGAGTTTGAGCATTACCTTTTTAAAATAACAGCGGAAATCGAGACAAGAAAACATAACCTAATGTTTTGCGTCCTACTTCGCGGAGGAGTTGTGTCGACCATAGTCTTTCTTTGATTTGGTTTTCGCGTTTGTTAGCTGAAAGTATTAGCTGCGAAATTGATGAGGAATTTCCAGAAAATCGCTTGTGTTGAGGTAATTTCAGGCAGGAATCTGGAAATCGTTGTTTACGTTGAAATATGACGCAAGAAAGTGACGTTGTAATAGGCATCTCTTAAGGTGGTCCTTAGAGTTTGTGACAGCAGGCTGTGCACGAAGATAGTATATTGTAAACCGATTACAAAGTCTTAACATCAGCTGTACCACTAACACCAGTGACAATTTTCCTTGCGTTTGGTGCAAATGCATGGCGTAACCGTGCGGATCCGGTATTAAAGACAACGTGTGCGAATATTCTCTTGAATTAATAATCCATGCAGCTTAGGTTTTCAACTTTTCCATCACAGGCAGGCTTCAATGCTGGAGATGGGATTAGATTCTTTCAGATAAATGGCTCAAGAACCAACGACATTCTCAATCTCCCATCCACTTCAAACGTGGCTCTTCCAGGACAGTGGATATTCCGAACTGATGAGGCTAGTGTTGAAGCTGGAGGATGCAATACTAAAGGTGAAGCTTTCTTAATACATCGCACAGTGCTTGGATATTTCTCTTAGAGGGATTGATCTACCACAAGGAACTATTTTTTAGGGTGATAAGTCCTTTCTTGGGTATACTGCGAGCGTCTTTTATTTTTGTTTTGAACCATTGTAGATCGAGAGCAAGCGTGAGGGGCGAGCGGGCGAGGAACGAGCGCGGAAGCCTGAGAGGAGACCTTTTTCCTCTCTCCGCCCCAATATCTCCTCCTTTTGTCATTAATTTGCATAGTTTTACTATTTCACTCGCCGCGCGAGCCCTGAGGAAGGAAGGACGACCACTCACGGTCTATTTCTTGAAGCACACTTACCAGAAACCGACGCTTCTTGTATTGATGTCGATATTCTAGGCAAGAGACCATTTATTAGGCTCGATTTCCGCCTTCTCCCAGGTCCGGTCTTTGATCATTTTCCCGAACAGGGGCTGGTAATTGAGCCTACCATTTTATATACTCAGTATACTCCATTTCTTAAAACCCTGTTTATTGTTATCTTATTACTACCTTTATTTACACCAATAGGTTCTCTGACCATTTCTCCTCGATCTGGGATAATGCTGGGAGGAACAAACTTGAAAATGAGTGGACCTTGTTTCAAACAGAATGACAACATAGTTGTGCAGTTTGACGGCAACGTCAATATCAATGCAACGTTTGGAACCGAAATTCAGTCTTCTGTTACCGTGCCTGTTCTAAACAAGACTGGAAGAGTACCCATCAAATTGTCTGTGGATGGTGGGAATTCCTTTGATTACAACGGAGTTTACACTTCAGGTATTTGTCGTTTTATTCTTTGCTGACTTACGGTAATGAATGGAGACTGGGTTGACTGGATCCAGCGTGGCCTAGCCTCCAGGTTGACACCACAGGTGTGGAGGGGAACAATAAAGTTTTTTTTTTTTTATGGGGAGGATCCGCGGCGAGGTTCATTCCCGTTTTTGCAAACAATCCTTTCCTGTGCCTTCTATTGACAAATGTACCCGTTTCACATACCTCTTTTAGAACTTTGCATTCATTTAACTGCTAGAGTACACTGCCTATAAAATATGAACAAATCACAAAACCAGAATGCTTTCTCGACTTTTCCACGGCCGTAAAAAGCATATGTTAGCCCTTTTGGCTAACATATTCATTTTTTTGACCATTATGATACCCTAACAACCTTTCATATACTTGGACAAGTGACATCCCTACTCTTTCATAAACTTGAAGCCTGAAAAAGGTACCCCTACGGGTGGAGCCTTCCCGTACAGGTCATCAAGAGAGTACCCCCTTCCCTGCTTGATTTGACATTGAATTTTCTAGTAGCAGTCATTGAGTGAAAGACTTCCAAGTATCTCCTCTTCCATCATTTCCCTCTGTTTCAGTACCCATCAATCGTAATATTCCTGATGTCCAGCGGGAGGACGGTGATCTATGGCAAGAGGATTCTTCGGTAGATATCAGCTGGGATTCCGGCACCATCGGAGGCAATGACGATCAAGTCTCAATCGATTTAGCGCGTTATAAAATGGGCGAAGATAGCGTCCCAGAGCTGGATAGTTTTCACACTGTAGTGGACTCGCAGTTGAATACTGGTCACAGTCAGTTTGTCGTCACACAAGGCGAGGGAGATGGGTAAGGGAGGTCGCCATGGAGATCTATCTAATTACGTTTTTTTTAAACTGTGCAAGGTCTTTTACGACGGAGGAGAAGTCCCGACACATCTACATTGGAGAGAATGTATTGCATGCAATTTCTAGGATACAATATATGTAAATCCATGTTGTTTCTAACAGTACTTCTCATAATGTGAGCAGCGTAGTACATACAGCACTTAACACAAAGAACATACGACCATTGTATCAGATGGTTGCTTAAAAGAGGTTGAAAAACGAAAAAATTCCAAAACCATCATCCTGAAAAGTGGTTGCGGTCACTTACGAGAGGTGAACGCACATGGAGGTTCGAATATATTTTTTCAGGTTTCGAATTCCAGGTGCCAACTTGGCACTTTATCAAGTAATTTCTTTCAAATGTAATTACCTGCATGTTTTCTCAGTAACTAGCTCCAGGGGCTCCTTTAGCATCCCATCTCCGGAAAAGTCATGTCCCAGCACTTATCTGAGCTAATATTCTCACCTGTTTTGATGACGTCATGCTCTTCCGCACCTTTCAGATGAGTTTTTTGTGCTGAGAAAAAAACGTAAGACGCTAACTCCCACCAACGGCGTCACCAAGAAAAAGGGAGAAGGCAGGCTTCTGTTTTTTTTTTCGTGGCCTAGCCCTTGCAACAGAGCAGCAAGACATCCTTTTTTGGAGAAATCTCGCGAAGTGACATAGTTCTCCTTCCTCTTTTTGTTTCAGAAACATCGAAGATCGTTATGTTAACCTGGTTCGGATATCAAGGAAAGACGGTACAAACAATGTTTCTCAGGCTCAGTGGGTGTGGAGTGAATTGTTTGCTTGGAGAAATGCACCTTGGGCAGATGAGAGGTGCAAAATATGGCATCAGAAAGAACCTAACCCCGGCGAATTCAAAGGTACCTTCCACTATTTCTTGACGATCAAATATGAGTAATGATTGTCGTCAATTTGGCGGCGACCCTTTGGACTAGTTTGGAACCTCAAGACGAACTACATGCAACATTTGGTGCTCAAGAGAGAGTATGCATCACAAATGTGGCTTTTTCTTAATTCCCTCGTCCACTATCTGCTCGTTTGCTGCGTGCAAATTTGACAATCTGCTCCAAGGAAAAACTCGGTTTGACCTTAATCATCTTACAATTTATACTGGATGTTGCTTAACTTAAAATTTTATGTTAGTTTTTGTGGCGCTTCGATAGTATTCGGAACCACCCCCCTCCCCCCCCGCCCAAAAAAGGCGAAAGAATGGAGGGGGGGCATGTGATGAAAGAGATTCTTTTACTCCTTCCGTATTTCTGTCTACAGACGATCCCAGTATGCAACCCTGTCCTAGGAGTATAACCCAGGCTATGGCTGATCGCGGGCGTTTCATGTCCGATGAAGAGTGCAACCCGTCCAATCGGGATGGCTGCTCTCGCTTCCACGAAGGTGCCGTTCATTGCTTTAAAATGGTCAATCCAAGGTAATTCGTTAAGAGATCAGTAACCTTTCCAGTTTCTTGAAACATGAACTGCAAAGTTAACATATTAGTAAACTGCAATATGAAATTGTTCGTGTTTGTTCACATATAAAGCGCCGGCGCTAATCAATCCTGGATACGGAACTGGTGAAAGATTGTCAACGAAAAAGCTAACGCCGGAGAAAGTGTTTTAAAATCTTAACTGATAACGAAGAAAGTTGTTAAATTTGTTTTCCTTTGTTTTGTTTTGTTTTTTACCTTCCTTTTTTCTTAGATTAGATTTTATTCCTCTCCGTTTATGTTGCCATTAAAGATTTTTTCGTCCTCTCATCTTCTGTTCTCTACACTCAGTGGTACATTCTTCTGTTCCTTTTTAGCGCAAAAGGTGCTGGTCAGCAGTGTTGCTATAACAGCTTTGGTAACTTAATGATGGGTAAACCAAATGCAGGCTCCCTTGATCGAGTCCATCCAAATGCTGGTCTGCCTGTGATATCACACTTTTTCCATGATTTAGTGCCATACCAGGATTGTTGTCGGTTGTCTGATAGTTGCGACAAGTATTATGAGAAGCGGCCGTCGGATGACGGGTCAAAGTACCAAGCACCAAGACCTGGTATGTGAGCCAACTCCAGGAAGTAACATTCCATTTACTCTCACAAATGGGGAAAAAAACTCCTATGTAAATTAAAGAGCAATGTACCATAGCAAAACACTATCCCAAGTTCAAGTAGTTTTCCATTCAGACACAGGACCTCGCTTTCCTTAGCAAACTGACATCCTCGTCGGCTTATGAAAACCTCGAGTGAAATGCTCTAGCCAACAAAATGACTTTGTGTTGTGTTGCGAAGTTCCAAAGCCATCTGTTTTGGTTTTTTGTGTTTGTTATGTGATGCGTTGTTTTCTTTTCGAAAACATTTTACAAGCCTTTTATTTTCAAAGGGAAAAGCTGAGTAATACCGAAGGTCATGAAAATCACCTGCTCCTTTCAGGGATTTTATCAAGTATGCAAACTTTCGATTGGCTGTTTAATCGGTTGAACCGAAACTTTTGACAAATAGAAGGCTTCCTCGGTGAGTCAAACGGAAGTCAAATCGTTGGGTTCAGTTACAACGAGAATCACGAGTTCCAATCCCAGTCAACCCTATTTTGAGGTTTTTATTTTATTTGAAGTTATTTTTTTTAATCCCAAATTGATAAGGACTCTGCAATGATAAAAAGTATCACTCACAAATGGTATCTTTTTAACGCTGTAGCCACTGGTTTTGGTGACCCGCATATGGTGACCCTAGACGGCACTCCCTTCACATTCAATGGCTACGGCGAGTACTTTATTTTAAAGGTTAGAGGGGTAAACTTTACACTACAGGGACGAATGGAGCCTCTGATTGACGACGATGGAACAAAAACAGATGCTACTGTTTATACGGCGTTTGCGGGCAAAGAATCTGGATCAGATACTGTTCAGGTCAGAGATTAATCAATTCTAGACTGAGAACAGATCAGTTTGGGTCCGTCTCCAGTGCTGAGGACATTGACTTTCTCTTTTGACCTCCCTCAGTCTGCAGTTTAACTTGGCATTCGGTTTCCCTCAACCAGCTTTCATAGCTTTGTCCTTGCTAAAGAACACATTTTTAAAGAAATACCAGCAGACTTTTACAGTAACCGATAGTTATAATCAGTACTTATTCTATGCACTGCATCGTGAGTAAATTACTCAAAATACTAAGGAGATCAAGTTGGCCGGCTAAAGATTTTATTCATTTCTCTCATCTCCAGGTTTCTTTTTTATTTTCTTCGAAAAACCAAAATGGAATCGTAAAAAGCTAGGACTAGGAATAGCACTTAACCGGCCTTAGCCTGTAGCAAACGAAAATTCCCTGAAAGATGACTCAAGGAAATGCCTGTCAATGTAAAGATCTAAGATTGAACATTTTTGGAAAATTTTGAAACTATTCACTCATCGCGACGTGATAGCTGCGACTTTCTAACAGCCTATTTACGCTCTCTCACACCGCCATGTTGTTCTGTCTTGCTCAAGCGTCTGAGCTGAATGATGACGTCACGAAAATCTTGATATATTACTTTGAATCGCAATGCATTGTGGGAAGATATTCACTCCTCCTCTGTCACTTTTACGTAGATTCACTTAAATGGGCGTGGACTGGTAGATGTCCTGGTGAATGGAGAAATGGTCGATTTTGATGAATTATCCTTTTTGGAATTCAACGGAGTATCCGTGCTGAAGTACGTCAACACATCCAAGTATTCCGCTATCTTTCATTCCGGGATCTCGGTAACTGTAGAAGGACAAACAGAACTGCTTGGTCTCGTGACGTTAGTTCCGACTATGTTTAAAGGTACGCTACTTTCTCGGCTCTCAAAAGAATCCGTTCCCATTCTTTTAAAAAAGAACAAACAAAAAATAAACAAAACTATTTGTCTTTATCGATTCCTTTCTTGGGAGAAACTTAATGGTTTTTTGTTTTGTCTCTGTACTTTTTACAAAGAGAAAGTAAGGTGAATAAAATAAATGAATATTAAAATGAAACTTAACATTTCACCAGCTTTCATATTAAGTAAGTAAGTTTTAGAAAGGAAAATAAAATTTGACTCAATTTAATGTCAGGTAACACAAGTGGACTTCTAGGTTACTGGGACGACAGTCAAGAATCGGAATATCTTAGACCCGATGGAACGTTTCTGGAAACGAACTCTAGCCTTGAAGAGATTCACAGGAATTTTGGACAGCTATGTAAGTATTCTGTCCTCAAAATTCTCTGAAATAACTTCTTCACGTCATTCGCAAAAAAGTCCGTTTTTGCATCACCATAGCATGTAAGTACACCTTATTCAAAAATGGCTTGCACTAAAGGACAAATTTATTGAATGGTCTAGATATCTTGGTCCGTTCGTCAGCACAAGTCGATCGGAGGCATTGTGGGTTAATTTTCATAGGAACAAAAGAATAACTAAATATCACATCATTTTGGAACGACGCGTATTTTGTGGAGCAAAAAGCAATGCAATGCAGACAATTCAAATTTGATGCAAACGCTGTATTAAGCTCAGAAATGTGAAATGTAGCAGAGGAAAAGCTGCAGAGAACTAAACCTTAAGTAAGACTAAGTGTGGTACTCATTATCACCATTATCATCATCATCATCATCATCATCATCAAAGTCATTGTCGTCGTTATCATCGTCATCACCAAACGTCATCATCATTATCATCATCATCATCATCAACGTCAACATTATCGATCATCATTGTAATCAATTCACTTGACGATAAACCAGGTTATTTATTATAAGGCATGCATCCTGAACGCTGGTGTGGACCTCCGTATAGGGCTCCTTATGGTACCCTTCATTGTAATCACACTGGCGTTTGCATTTCTTAGATAAGTCACTTCGAGCGTTGGGTTAAACAGAGGATTATGTGTGAGAGAGTAATATGCAAAACTGAGAATTTGTTACTTCATCTCTTAAGGGGCTTTTTTTTTGAAGGGGTGACGACAGAAGACGAATCCCTGTTTACCTATCAACAAGGCAAAAACCATGGAAGTTATTTCCACCCTGACTACACGCCGATATTTCCGGACAGTCAAGAACTGGTTTTTGAAGACAAATCTCTGGAAGAAGAGGCCAAAGAGGTTTGCGGGGACAGTGAGCAGTGCATGTTTGATATTTACACAACTAAGAAGGTGACGATTGGAAAGGCCAGTAAAGAAACTGTGGAGCAGTTTGTCGCTGTTATCAATGATACTGTTAAACCAGGTAGGGCATATTGAATGTTTTACGATAATAGACCCGCCATTCCATTTTTTTTTTCAAATTTTTACATAAATCAGTTGCCTAAAATCCGTCCACACCGCTGAAAAAATGCGCCTTAAAAGTAGTAACGTTGCCGAGTTTGAGAGTGATCTGTTGAACTCTTACGAAGATTTAACCCCGCAAAGTCACGAAATTTTACAAACTTTTGTATGATATAAAGTTGACCCTAACTCGACGGTTCAAAACGCGACTTTGCGAAGGTTTATCGTCGCTCGCTTTAAATTTTCAGTAATACTTTCATGCAAACTTGGCAAGTTTACTAATTTAGAGACACTCCGAATCTGGCAGTGGTTATAGATATTCCTTAACTGGTCCCTATCAGAAGTTGAAAAAATCGTGGAAGGGTCTGTTCTGGGACCTCTGAGCACATCATAGGCGCCGGCTGACTTAACCAGAAGCGAGATTTTAAATGTTTATTTTATCACTTAGAACCCCAATTAAGGAGGTAGGAATTATATAAAAACACTCACTTTCGGAGATTCGTTTTGTGGCTTCGTCAAGATTGTACTTTAAACATCTTTTACATCTACTCACTCCCTTTTGTTTAAAATGCTGCCAGTTAGCCTTTGTTGCTTGCAATTAATGATAATATATTTTCTTCTCACTATGGTTATTCGCTGGTCAGTCAACACATGTAAACCATGTTTCGCTTTTAATTACATCCAATCATAATGTCGATCCTTTACGCGAACTCAATTAGATGCTGCCTTAAGAGCAACCTAACAAAACTTGTCCTGTTTTGCCTCGAGATGCGCAAATCAAAAGACCGGCACAAACACCGAAACCCTTTTTCGCACTACAAAGTCTGTAAAGAATCAAGTAACGTTGTTCCTTTCTTAGCTTGCGTGCCTTTGGACTCTGAACTCACAAATGGCATTGTACTGAGAAATGACACTGAGAATGGCATTGATTACAAATTTACCTGCAATAGAGGATTCGTCATGAACGGATCGAATCACGTGACTTGCAAAGACGGTGTCTACAATGGAACAACCCCAAACTGCCTTCCGAAAGGTAAGAAATATTTCCACTTCTATCGATTGGACGAATTCAACAACCCTACCGCTCGTAGAAATTGCGTCCAATTTGTGGCTTTCAGGTAAAAAGAAACGGTGCCTAGGGGATCCAGTCGTTAGAATATACCGCAACTGAGAATAGAGAATTTTAGCTTATGTCTACGGCAAAGAGCAAACTTAAGTAAACAGTTAGTCCTAAAAAAAATCTGGACAGTTACTCTTATGGGTGAACACTGCATGAAACTTCTTATTTTTGAGTAGATGTAATGAGCTGTAACTGAAAAGTTAACAGAAAACTTGGTCACGTGGTTCAGTTGACGTAAACGTGATTCTAGATCTCTCCCTTTTCCCTTTCGAGCTTTTCTCCCCCTCCCCTCCCCTCCCCTCCCCTCCCGTTTGGGCTTCTGTCACGCAAGCTATCGAAAATAACTCAACAACAATATCAACAATAACAGCGACAACAGCAAAAACTCATACTAAATGCCGACGTGTGATTTTTTTTCTTACGCAGAGTGTTCCCCTTTTGAGTACGGCAACCCGACAAATGGTCGCGTCGAAGGAAATGGTCGTGTTTATCGTTCAACCTATCGCTTCATCTGTAATCATGGTTACGTCCTATTTGGTCATGATACCATCACCTGCATAGAAAACGGAACCTGGAATGGGACATCGCCAAGGTGCCTGAAAGGTAACAAACTTTGACAGTGTGGGTTGAGTAAGCTATATAACGATTTTGGTGAGATACGTCTTAGCTAGTCTTGGTTTCAAAACATTTTTGTGTACAGTATTGGTAATTTGCTTTTAATATACAGCCAATTAACACAAACGGACGAAAATCCAGTCAGCATGAGCCACGATATTGCGAACAATCGAACCTCCTGTAAGCGACCAACAAAATTTATTTGTCATTTACGAGGGTAGAACCACAGGGAAACTTTTTTGAGTAGAGGCCGCGACATACTTTTTGAAAGATATTTTTTTTGACGCAGTTTCACGTTTTCACTGCAAGTTGTTCGTTAACGATGAGTAGCGTCGTACATACAGCGAGCTCAGAGATCAGAAAGTGACCAGAAAAAGTAGTCGCAGTCTTGTCGCGGTCACTTACGAAAGGTGGTCGTTTTGCGAGCCTCCTCGGAGACCCAGGGGCAGATAGTGGGGGCGAGGGAAGGTCTAAACTGGCGGGAAAAACCGTCCTTTACTTTTCTTCGCGCCACTTTTTTCCCGCCCGTTTAGACTAACTCTAGCTGCCCCTGGGTCTCCGAGGATGGTTTGCGAGAGGTCCAACAATGAAGCTTTCACTGCCAACATTTTTGTGTTTTGGATAGATGGTCGCTTAAAGGAGAGGTGGTCAAACGTGGACGTTTGACTGTATTATTACAAACAATACAGAATGATTTTTACGTTAGTAATCCTAATAGTTTGTAGTATGAGCTCTCCAAAGCACAACTACAGCTCTAATCATGGGCTACGGCTGTGCACGATACATATTAGTTGTCAAGGGAACTAATCTGGGTAAGTATGCTGATTGTTTCTCGATAACCGCCGACCCAGAAGTCTCCAAAAGTCCTTTGTTTTTTTTACAGAGTGTCCAGTACTTCCATCGTCATTATCAAATGGCATTGTGTACGGTTCAGGCAACGTGGAAGGAGTAGTTTACAGATTTAGCTGTCACGATGGTTACGCGCTCGTCGGTTCAGAAATTCTATACTGCCGGGAAAATGGAGACTGGAACGCTAGCGTTCCTTCTTGCTTGAGAGGTTTGTCTTCTTTTCTTTTTTGTTATGTTGAGTCGATGCACAGGAGCCTGGATAAGACTTTTAAACCCTCTAGGGTCTGGATATATGATACCGTAAAATTCCGAAAATATGCCCCTTTTTTTAATAAGCTCCTCCATGCAAGTTTAAGTCCCCTCCGCCTCCGCTAAATTCGAAACGGAAAAAAGCTTCCAATAACAAGCACTCTCGTACAGAAGCCCCATATCAGAATCCACATTTTAGGTTAAGCTCAAAAGTTAGCCTTGTCACTCGTTAGATGCCCATGAAATACAAACTGTCATCAAGAGCAGGCTGTCAAAGGCCATTATGGCTCTTGCTGTCATATATAGGTGGGATGTTTCTTAGCATTGCAGACACTATTTTTGGATAGCTTTTATGCTTGATGGGTTTGTTGTTGTGTTTGAAGCCAATATGCCAATATCATCATCAGCACCAAGTCCCTCGGTATACAAGCCCCACCGATTCAATTTCTGCAAACAATGCTTATTGTATAACTTATAGTTTCTGTCAACAAAAACTGATTGAGGGCAAAATGTTTGCTATATTAGTTGAAGCAACACATTGTCCTTGTAAACTGACCTTTTTCCATTATATGGTTAGTAACATCATTAAATGGTCAGTTTAAAATGAAAAGACGAAGCTAGATGACTTTACGGTGAATATTTTAATTGCTTTTATTTTTTATCTTCATTTCAAGAATGTCCAGCCCTTCCATTATCGTTATCAAATGGATTCGTCAGTGGCAGGGGCAAAGTGGAAGGATCGCAGTACCATTTTAGTTGCAAGAAAGGATACTCATTAGTAGGGGCAGGAACATTATACTGCACCGATCAAGGCATCTGGAACGGTTCTTTTCCGACCTGTTTCATCGGTAGGCAGCTTGCTTTTAGCTCTTATGTTGTTATTTAAGACTTACTGGGCTCAACTAAAAATGTTGAGGATGGATGATTGCCAATAAGCATTAATTGAAGACTGTTGCCTCGCTTGGCTGTCACTAATGGAATTGTTAGTTGCCAATCGATCTCCTTACAGAAAGGTTTTAATCGTAAAAAGCACTTTACAAGATTTTAAAGGACTAAAGAATCCTGTTACTCTAAGATTGTAAGAGACTGAAATGAATTTACATGGCGAGGATTTGTCAGTCTAAATATTGTATGGACGTGGGATGTGGGATTTGTCCTTACTAACTTAAGCCTCTTTTTTAAATGAATAAATTTATTAATTAATTAATCTATTTATTTATTATCTTTAGAATGCCCAGAATTACCTTCGTTTATACCAAACGGCCAAGTTTATGGCAGCGGTTCGATACAAGGCTCCCTGTTCAGATTCAGTTGTTTGGCCGGGTACTCTCTTGTTGGACAGTCTAAAACGTTGCTTTGCAGCGCCGATGGAAAATGGAATGCTAGCGTTCCAAGGTGTCTAAAAGGTAACTTTAAAAATTCCTGTCATAATAGATCGCCGTTCTCTGATTCAGCCGTGCATTTAGTATCGAGCACGGCGTCCATGGTGCTAATACCTGATGCAAAGGGAACTTTGAAAGTGTCTTATTTTCCTTTGGTGCAGTTCATCACTGGGAATTGTCCAACAGATCAGAAACACATCTTTCAATTAAGTGCTTAACGTAATTATCGCTACACTACGCCACGCTTAACACATTTCTTGTAAAAATCTCTCGCCAATCTTTTAATGTGCGTTTGTTTTGCTTCATCGTGGGGGAAGATAACCACATGTTGCGTGTAGTATCACAGTCCGATCTTATTATCATTGCGGTGATGTTGGTACATTACTTTTCAGATTGCCCTCTTCTTCCATCATCCATTCCAAATGGTGTCAGTAATGGAACTGGTTCGGTAGAAGGTTGTCACCATTATTTTACTTGCGATGAAGGATTCTCATTAGTGGGAAGAAACACGTTGTTCTGTAATGACGAGGGTAAATGGAATGGCTCTGTACCTACCTGTGTGATAGGTAAGCCGGCAAGGCTGTTAATTCTTGTTCTAATTTACAAAAAAGGATTAGTTCAACGTTTATTTCGCCCCATGTAAGGGAATGCAACACAGTCTTAGATTCTGGATTCCTCGCTATCGATTCTGGATTCCAGGTACTGAATTCCCGGATTCTTTGTTAGTGGAACATCAATCTCGTACCCAGAGTCTTCAGGCTCTTTGGTCAGCCGCTGACCAAAAAGCCTGAAGACTCTGGGTAAGAGATTGGTGGAACATGGATTCCGGATTCCAAGTATCGTCCGGATTCCGGAGTACAGATCCCCTTACACGGGGCGATTTATTAACGGAAACTTCCTGGCATTCCGCTGGGATATCAACTTCAAGAGGTTGACCGTAGTTGTGATTTTTTTTCCACAGAGTGTCCTAAGCTCCCTTCAGCTATTGAACATGGCATTGTGAAAGGTTCAGGCTACATTTACGGCTCTCTCTATAAATTTAGCTGCCTCAATGGGTATTCCATCGTGGGAGAAGATATTCTGTACTGCACAGAGAAAGGCATGTGGAATGGGAGTGTTCCTAAATGTCTCAAAGGTAAAAAGAAATGATTCCATGGTTACAACAATTATTCGGGGGAAGAAATGAAAAGGGCGAACTCCCTTTACAAGTATTATCGGGTACAGCTTGAGGCCTGAAACACTATATCACATTCCTTGCGCAAATGCAATCATTACTCTCATAGAGACCTCCACAAACCGAATATATATTAAGCGAATTCCGTGAATTTCGACAGCGGTGCCCTACTTTTATTATAACCAGTGCTACCATACGTCTGTTGACTGCCATCCAGAAATAAATTTCTAAGTCTAGATTTGCTTCATCCCATGGGCGTATGTACCTTAAATTGATAAAAGTATTAGAAAAAGTACAAATGCAGAGAGCGATTGTCAATTCGTTGTACAGTGTCGATTTCAGGGTAGCCTTCCACGCAGACGCGTTGTCAGGACTTTGTCACGCGTTCCTGTTCCTAAAAGAAGCCCTAAGAACGTCTGCGTTGGAGACTAATTCCAGGTCGCCCATAAATCCGCATTCCGGATTTCGGGAAATTTTTACCCGTGGAATCCGGAATCCTGCGCTTTGGAATCCAGAATACAGCTAAAGAATTGGAATCCCACTAGCGGCTGGAATCCAGAATCCAAGTTCTACTGACAAAGACTGGAATCCAGTACCTGGAATCTGGAAACCATGTTATGGAATCCAGAACCCAAGATTGTCTTGGATTCCATTACATGGGGCGATCCAGGGCAGTAGAGCACAATAACACACACGCAATGCAGTCATAGTTTACCTCTAGGATGGTCTTTTAGGTATGGTTTAGCAACGATAAGATTTGGTGACTTAGTCAAATATACTGAATGTTTTTGTCACAGAATGTCCCAGCCTTCCTTCATCTATAGCACATGGATTTGTCAACGGCAGTGGCTATTTGGAAGGATCCCAACATCACTTCACATGTGGCAGGGGATATTCACTTATTGGTGATGACACGCTAGTCTGTAGGGATACCGGTGCTTGGAGTAATCCTCCTCCCAAATGTCTTATAGGTATAAAAAAAACTTTCGCTCTTCTTTGCTAGACCCAGAGGACCTTGCAAAAGTTCACTTTTTGTCCACAGAAATGGTGAGGTTTTGGAAACAATATTCTAGAATATAAAGTATAAAACAAACCAGGAAATGCTATAAAAACAACTCTATACATACTAAGTCACTCACAGTTAATACATTTGTCTCAAACAAGTTATGCTTTAAGTTTGTTTCTTCAGATGAAAATAAGTGTTGATTAAGCACATGGCTTTGCATTAGCATGCAAATTCATGAGGAAATAGGAATATTAATATCAATATCCCTGCTACCATTTATGTCTTCTAAGAATGCCCTTCACTTCCTCCGTATATAAGACATGGTTTCGTCAATGGCACTGGATCAGTGGAAGGTTCTCTTTATAGCTTTAACTGCAAGCAAGGATACTCTCTTGTTGGTAAAAAGAACTTGTACTGCACCGCAGAGGGGGAATGGAATGCAAGTATTCCCATTTGTTTAAAAGGTAATTACAAAGTTATCGTTTTGGAAATTGATTCGATCATTGCAATATACTGATAAGTAATTAACAAATTTTTAATTCGTCTTTTGACATACAAATAATCAAAAGCTTCGTGTAGTACGCAATATTTACTTGTCAGAGTAATTAATAATAGAAAATATCTAACAGGTAATTTTAGCTAATAATGCTGAAAAGAACAATTTCAATCTTAGTAGAACGAATGACTGGATATCTTCTAAGGAAGGCTGTGAGACACAACTCCTAATGGCCAGTCCAAAATCCTCAAAAACAAACTCCACAAAATATATCTATTTTTAGATTTTTTTGCAGTTTGCAAACAAACTAGGCACAAGCCAACTGCCCCTCTATGGACTGTAAAAAGATATGAAGATAACATAACACTGTAGCACGTTTCGTTTAAATAATAACACTGATCTTACAGTTGTTAAAGACGACATACAAACCTTACTAGTTGAACGAAAACCTGCAACAAATTTGACAAGAATGTAACGTTTTTGTAGAGTGTCCAGAACTTCCTTTGTTGATAGCCAATGGTTTCATCAACGGTTCAGGCGCCATGCATGGTTCGCTTTACACTTTCAAGTGTCAAGATGGTTATTCACTCGTTGGTCACGAACTCCTGTACTGTACAGAAGAAGGGAAATGGAATGCTAGTGTTCCCGTTTGCTTAAAAGGTTAGGTCTGTTCTCTACTTGTTTTTCCAGTCAATGCCGCTATCTCGTGAAAAACATCTTGTTAAACAGCTAACCAGGGTTCGTACAGGTCATGAAAAACCTGGAAAGTCATGAAGTTTAAGAATTTCATTTTGTAGGCCTTGAAAGTCATGGAAAGTTGAAGTAATGTTCGGTAGATTAATTACCGCAGAGGTGAAAACAAGGACAAAGTAAGATAGAGACAGGTAATTAAACAACTCAAATGGCAGACAATTTGGTGGACGTCAACCTTTTCACCTTGTGACGATGCAAACTCCTCTTTCCTCAGAATGTCCTAGTCTGCCTTCTTCTATTAGTCAAGGGTTCATCAATGGCTCTGGATCAGTGGAAGGTTCTCTTTATAGCTTTAGCTGCGAGTATGGATACTCTCTTATGGGTGAAAAGAACTTGTACTGCACTGCAGAGGGGAGGTGGAATGCAAGTATTCCCATTTGTTTAAAAGGTGCGTAGTAAGGGATAATCCCTCTGGATTTTCTCCCCCATCACCTCACCACCACCACCACCACCACCACCAAGAAAACGCCTACATTGTCATATTGTGACGATGCAAACTCCTCTTTCCTCAGAATGTCCTAGTCTGCCTTCTTCTATAAGACAAGGGTTCATCAATGGCTCTGGATCAGTGGAAGGTTCTCTTTATAGCTTTAACTGCAAGCAAGGATACTCTCTTGTGGGGGAAAAGAACTTGTACTGCACCGGAGAGGGGAAGTGGAATGCAAGTATTCCCATTTGTTTAAAAGGTACTTTACAGAGTCATCGTTTTGGAATTTGATTCGATCATTGCAATACTGATAAGTAATTAATACATTTCTAATGCGTCTTTTGACATAGAAATAATCAAACGCTTCGTGTATTACGCAATATTTACTAGTCAGAGTAATCAATAATAGAAAATATCTATAGGTAATTTTAGCTAAAAGAACAATTTCAATCTTAGTAGAACGAATGACTGGATATCTTCTAAGAAAGGCTTATTCTGCGAGACACAACTCCTAATGGCCTGTCCAAAATCCTCAAACAAACTCCACAAACTATATCTATTTTAGATTTTGTTTGCAGTTTGCAAACAAACCAGGCACAAGCCAACTGCCCCTCTGTGGACTGTAAAAAGATATGAAGATAACATAACACTGTAGCACGTTTCGTTTAAATAATAACTCTGAAAGATGCGAGAATCATTTTACAGTTGTTAAAGACTACATACAAACTTTACTAGTTGAACGAAAACCTGCAACAAATTTGACAAGAATGTAATGTTTTTGTAGAGTGTCCAGAACTTCCTTCGTTGATAGCCAATGGTTTCATCAACGGTTCAGGCGCCCTGCATGGTTCGCTGTACACTTTCAAGTGTCAAGATGGTTATTCACTCGTTGGTCACGAACTCTTGTACTGTACAGAAGAAGGGAAATGGAATGCTAGTGTTCCCGTTTGCTTAAAAGGTTAGGTCTGTTTTCTACTTGTTTTTCAAGTCAACGCCGCTATCTCGTGAATAACATCTTGTTAAACAGCTAATCAGGGTTGGTACAGGTCATGGAAAACCTGGAAAGTCATGAAGTTTAAGAATTTCATTTTGTAGGCCTTGAAAGTCATAGAATTTAATTGTCGGTCATGGAAAGTTGAAGTTATGTTTGGTAGATTAGCTACCGCAGAGGTCAAAACAAGGACAAAGTAAGATAGATATAGGTGATAAGACAACTCAAATGGGAGACATTTTGGTGGACATCAACCTTGTCAATTGTGACGATGCAAACTTTTCTTTCCTCAGAATGTCCTAGTCTGCCTTCTTCTATAAGTCAAGGGTTCATCAATGGCTCTGGATCAGTGGAAGGTTCTCTTTATAGCTTTAGCTGCGGGTATGGATATTCTCTTATGGGTGAAAAGAACTTGTACTGCACTGCAGAGGGGAGGTGGAATGCAAGTATTCCCATTTGTTTGAAAGGTGCGTAGTAAGGGATAATCCCTCTGGATTTTCTCCCCCATCACCGCACCACCACCAAGAAATCGCCTACATTTCCGGCTCGAATGCAGTTCGTCCTCGTAGACGAGATATTTGCGTATAAAAAGGTTCATTCGGTTTCCCGCTGTACCGACTACATGCCCTCTACGTGAATATTATTTTTTGATGAAAGTTCTCGTGAAAAGAAAAAAAACTCCCCGAAAAATGCTTCTTTAATGTCGCGGCTCGTAAGATCGATTGTTTTAATGGGGCTCTGTGTTCCAATATACATACAACCGGAATATACATAATAAAGGTTAATATGCCCTACGTATGGCAAGAATGCATGCCTGCATCGTTGCGTATTTCCTGTCTACTCGGCTAATGAAATTTCGATCGTTAAATCTTTATCCTCGTTCAATCCAAAATCAGAAGCATGAAACTCAAAATATCAAAAAATTCGATAGTGGTCCCAAAAAAGGCCTAGAGCTGATCTTTTTGAAGCTTGCTGAGGACCTGAAACTCTACTAGCTTTTGGCCGCTGTTGAGTGGCTATGTTAAGTATAGCCATTCAAAGATTTCCAGCAACAGGTGCTTAGTTATACTAAAAACCGATCACTCTATATCCACAGGCGTCCTTTTTATTGTCGTATATGTTGTGAAAGGTTTTTTTGCCTTTGTGCTGATTTAATAGTACTTTCCTTTTACTTCAGATTGTCCCACCCTTCTTTTATCTCTGCCAAACTTTGGAATGGTTACTTTCTTCTTCCTTCAGATTGTCCCACCCTTCCTTTATCTTTGCCAAATGGAATGGTTAGTGGTACAGGCTCCGTGGAAGGATCTTATTACTATTTCAGTTGCCAAAAGCACTACTCCCTTCTTGGGGCAAACACTTTGTTTTGCAACAAAAAGGGGACGTGGAATGGTTCTGTTCCCGCATGTTTTAAAGGTAGGTAATCGCTAATTTCATAACCAGCTGTAATAACATTTAAAACACGGCTTACGCACGCGCGTCTTTCTGTTCTGATAGAGTGCTCTTGAGAAAATGTTGAGAAAAAAGGAACGTTTAAAAATTTAAAATTAAACGCGATTTTCCATTTGTAACCGCGCCCTCAATAGTTCGGCAAAAATTTTATAGCAGTGCGCCATGGCCAAGAAAATTTGGTCATCTATCCATCCGAGAAGTTTAGTTTTCTCGTAACCAAGGCGCCCTGCTCGTAACCGTACGACTTTCCGTCCGCTACAAGTAAACCAATGTGGAGTATAGTATGCTTCTTATATCCTTACCACGCCATCCATATCAAAGTCGTTAATTAACGCCGTCAAATAGGGAATCCAATGAACTTTTAATTTAGGCACTGTTTGAAAGATCTCTTTCCCTGTATGAGTTGAGTTGTAGAGTTATCTGTGACCGTTGTTGTCTAGGGAATGTGTTAAGCTAACAGGGGCAAGAAAGAGCGGGGCGCGCGCGGGAGACACGCGAGCGTCCCGTTCTCCCTTGCGCCCATATACATTACTTCCGTGCGCCAGCTACGCAGGCTAGTGTTGCAGAGGTTTCCACTTTGATACTATGTTGTAACAAAACTACTAGATTGTCCAGAAATAAACCAGACACTTGAACATGGACACATGAATGGCAGTGGATCCACTTTTGGGACAACATATAGCTTCTATTGTGATGAAGGTTATAAAATGGATGGGCAGAGCACTGTATTCTGTGATGAGCAAGGTCAATGGAATGCTACTATTCCAGTTTGTTCAAGAGGTAAACAATTCAGTTCTCTAATTACCACAAAAACTTAGAACGCACATCAAGAAAAAAAAAAGCGCAGAATGGCTATTGCAGAGCAAAGACACAAAGGCCATGCAAGGCGAGATATTGTTTATTCCCGCTCTGTTTCCTCATATCTCATGTTAAATGACTTAGTTAAGGTGACACTTGACGGTTCCAAGATAAACTGGTAAGCCTGTAGGCCTCTAAGTTTCCCCACCTACATTAACGACACTTTCCAGATCGTATCGGGATTTGGAATGTCCCCTTTTGAGAAGAGAGGGAAACCGGAGTACCTGGAGAAAAATCTCTCAGAGCAGGGAAAACAACCAACAACAAACTCAACCTTCATATGGCGTCCAGGCCGGCACTCCAACCCGGACCACTTTGGTGGAAGACAAGTCCTCTCACCACGGCGCCATCGCTGCTACCCCTAAAATGTTTAAATGGTTATATGAACGCCGCCCTGCTCCCCAGCTGGTTGTTTTGGTTTTTAGTTTGTTCATCTTCTAAACTGCGTTATATTGGGTGTATTGCAAAGCTAAGATTAACCTGCGATCAGGCGGTCCTTCTTCCCTTTTTGTTTCTCGCTATCCCCGGAAACAAAAACACCTGATCGCAAGTTAAGCTAAGAAATGCTGGAACGCTTTCCAAATTTTGACATTGAGAACAATTTTGCTTTTCTCCAGTGCATGTAGGAAAAATAGCAAAGAAAACGGCCTGGTACGTAGTTCCATTTTCTGCCATGAGTGGCCTTGTATTTATTATTGTTGCTACCGGAGTTGTGATCCTTTTGCTGCGTCGATGGAGATCAACGAGAAAAGGCGAAGAACCCATGGAAGGTGAAGAAGTGGCAATGAACGAACAAGCGATAACTCCAAGGAAGACTAAAGTGAGGTGGGAATGTTTGCCAATCTTAAAAACATCCAAGGAACCCCCAACAGTGGTGTGAAACAAGCCCCGCCACTTATTTATTCTTGGAAGTCTGCATGGGAACTACTAATTAAGTTATTTAGGGGCACTCGAGAGGTACCAGCGAAGCTCCATGTTCTCAAAATGCTCGGGACTATCCAGATTTTAGCCAAAGAAATATATAGACAATATTGTATCGCACTGGGCAAAAAGAGAATGTTTCTGAATGCATGGTGTAGTACCTCCACTTGAGAAATTCATTGTAAGAGGCGTTCTTGGTGAGGATAATATGGTATTCAGTCTTTTTTCCTATTATATTGCCAAAGGTACAAGTTTATTACCTGAGTAAACATCAAACTACACTAGAAGTGTCACTATAGCGCTGACTTAGATTTGAAAAGAACTACAGGATACCATTTCCTTCATCAGCCACGTTAAAACCTTACCTTAATAACGGGGAAGCGTCACGGATAATAATAATAATCATCATCATCACCATAATCATAATCATAGAAATAATATTTTATTAGGGACAGACCATTAGAAAACTTATGCGGGGGGGGAAATAAAAAAAAAAAATTTTGGCAAGGGAAAAATTAAAGAAAAAAAAATCTTTCACGCGAATTAAACCTAAAAAAAATTTATGTAAGGGCCCAAAAAAAAATTCAAACAAAGAATTTTATAACGAAAAAAAATTCCCGCGGCCCGAGAATTCCCCCCCCCCCCCCCCATAACTGTTCTAATGGTCTGTCCCTTAGGAAACTTTCATCACATCTCTCTGGTTCAAATTAGACTTATATACAGTAAAATGAAAGATACCTAGAAATAAAAATAAATATTCAAAAACTAAATTTAAAATTGGTAAAAAGCTACAATTGAAATACGAACAAAACATTCAATAAAAAAGCTAAGCTTAAAATTCACAATGTCAGGTGTATTTCTTATGTCTTTGTCTAGATTATTCCAATCTTTCAGAGAGTGATAACACACTCGCTGCTTATCCCAATTTTGGCTGCAAGGGGTAGTTTAAGCATGTCTCTATTTCTTGTGTTACAATTATAAACGTCCCTAGCCTGTTTGCTAGTAGCTCCATGGAGTGATCCATGATGCCATTAAAACACTTGTAAACATATATACGGCGATGATAAAATCTATTTATTATATAAACACCAATGAAATACGAGGTGAGCTTTCGCGGGAAAACTTGATATCTTCACATGTGAAAACAACATGTTATCTTCACATGTGAAAATATCACCGTTGCTATGGCTACATAGTAAATCGCGCCTTTCACACCAAAAAAACTATTAAAGTGAAATGGTTTGGTAGTTCATTGGTGTTTATATAATGAATATTTTTCAACACTCGAAGAGTAATTTCGTATCTCCGCGCGGCCATGTAATATCCTCTATATACGTTATTCCAGGCTGAGCCACTTACGAGGGCATCAGTAGCTGACGAATAAAGTGGCCATTTTAGGGCAGTTTTCGCGGCCTTGTTCTGCAAATCCTGCACGTCATTCAACCCATACCCAATCAGCATAATAAAAAACTGGTAAAACAAGACTGTTACAGAAAAGTTGGCGAGCGATAAAGGGTAACAAATGCTTGATCCAACGTAAGAGCCGTATTTCAGGTCTGTAGAAAGCGGGGTGCGACGGGTGCGCTCGTACCCCCCCCCCCCCTTCCCCCAACAGGCGCCAGAGGTCCACTTTTTTATTGATCAGCGTGATCAGCGAATATTGCTCTATTCTGATTCACTGATTGTGTGGTAAAATTGAAAATGCTGCTGTAAAAAAGGTCACAAGCCTGGCTTACCCTCTCCACAAAACGTGTTTTAGCCTTCTCAAAGTGTAAAAGGGATTTGGTGTGCCTACAAAACATTTTTTCATTTCTCGATAAACCCTGAAGGGTTTGTTTGCCATAGTTTTCTGCAAAGTGTTGGATCTGAGTTTTTATTTTAACAGTCGGCGAGTTAGTCTCCCTCGCAACCGTTTTTTGGATGTCACGCAACGCTCCCCCATTCTTTTGGGGGAGCGTTGCGTGACATCCAAAAAACGGCTGCGAGGGAGACTATCGACAAGTATGAGATTCCTGGTCCGCAGCTTTGACGTGCTGGACCCAGCTCTTTGTGTTGCTTGGAGAATATCAAAACTCCTCAGTATTAAAGCTACACAACTCTTGTTGCTCTTAGCTTGGAGCTAGCCTGAATTTCATCTGATTACATCGAATCGTTATTACTCCCTCTGTAACTGAGATGAGAAAA